AACTTTAAGGCAGTTAGCCGTGCGAATAAAAAAAACCCCCATTAAAATGGCAACTCACCAGATTTAAAAAAAAAAATTGCCCCCGCAGAATGAGTGGCCATAGACCATGGCTGACGTCAATGTTTTCGATGGTGGAAATGTATTTTCACCGTATTTAATTGTTCCATCAAATGGTCCCGCTTCTTTGATGTGGACAGTTACAACATCTGGTCCAGGAGTTTTCCTCTCCTTCATACAGTATGCTGCTACTTCTGCCGTGTCACACCCTGAGGCTCCGCTGATCAGAATATGTATACTGGTGGAATCCGATGAGCTATGAAGCTCTTTTTCATAGATGTCCAGTAGGGGTGGGTCAGAACGTTACAACACACATTACCAAAACACGATAGGAGTGCAAAGTATAGGAACGGTAAACACATCACTTACAAATTGTGCAGATAAAACTGAAATATATTTTTTATCTCGCCAGGTAAAGCCCACCGAGCTATTAACTTATTTTTCAGAAACGACCTGGCCACAAATGATCGCTCAACAAAGCGGCGTATTGCGTGTAAATTAAAAAGAGCGATCTAGCTCAGTGGGCCTTACTTGGTCAAATAAAATGATAACGAGTTTTAGTTTAAAGCAGCGAAATCTTAAATAATGAGACCCTCTCCCTTAGGACCACCCCTATAACCCCTAGCCGGCTACTGGATCCTGCTGATCCCATTAATCCAGGCCACGGTGAGTGGCCCGGAGCGACCCCTAACGCAGCGTTTTTCATTGCAAGGCCCAGCGGGCTACTGGCAGCCCCTGGTGGCCCTATAGTGGGGCCCCTGACTGGCGACCTCCCCCCATGCCCGACAATACACGAAGGTGAAAACAACCCCCATCATTATCATCGTCGTGCTGTCAAACCCCAATGGTGTCCAACGTGTGGCGGCCCCCTCACACTGATTACAAAGCTGTCAACCCCTGAACAGTGCCCCAAACTTGCTACAGACCTTATTGGTCACCCCCGTGCCCCTTATACATCTCAGCGTTCATCCTACAAAGTCCCATCATGAGCGGGAAACACCGACACAGAAAAGTTTTGCCCGTATTGAAACGGATGTAACGTCGTATGGACCTGAAAACTCAATGTCCCTGTACAATAATACGGGGTAAACCGTATGGGTTGACAGATGATGCGAGATGATGTCTTGTCGACGAAAGTGGGCCCTCTTCTGAATATTAGCGGAGAACAACTGCCCTAACCTCTGGGCCCTTCCGACTGCTGTGGGTTTGGATCGATTCGGTTCGACTCCCCGTATTTTGAAAGTGAGCGGATCGAATCTATTTTGATATCCGCTCGATAAACTGTAAATTCCGGATCGCTTCCGAATTGTTCCTAAATTCGATTCCGATTTCGCGGGCACTCGCCTCCCCGCGTCTGCTGTGGCGAGGTCGCGACGTTTCGCGATCGGGGTCATGCACAAACACTTTATTGAAGTACTGTAATCACACACAAATCAAATACAGTGAACCCAAACTAACTCGACCCTATCCAACTAATCCTACGGGGTCTCCCACTATCGGAGTCAACAGTCACTCAACCAAACCTCAAATAGCCCCATCTAGTTCCCGCCAAGCTAAACATACGACCAGTTCTCACCAATCTACCAGCTAACTACTAACACCAACTAACTACTAACACCAACTAACCTTGCATCTACCTCAGCACCCCCCAGCATTCACATTATACACCACTTTGTTGAGCTGTCATTTGGTGGCCAGGTCGCTTCTGAAAAATAAGTTACCTCAGTGGGCTTTACCTGGTAAGATTAACAAATTGTCTAGTTTTTATTTGTATATATACATCTTAAAATGATTTGTTTACCGTACCTATACTTTGCACTGTTATTGTGTTTTAGTATTGTAACGTTCCGACCTGACCCCGTGCCTCTACTGGACATCCGTGAAAAATAGTTTAGTTGTATTTGTATATATGTATTTTTTTTAAAGTAATTTGTTTACCTTTCCTTTGCACTCCTACCGTGTTTTGTATTAGAACGTTCTGACCTTATGCCTCGACTGGACATCTGTGATTTTTTTTTTACATTTATATTATTAAGTGATTTGTTTACGTTTTTATTTAAAGCTTTCGTGAATTTTATTGTTTTATATTTTTATTATTTTATTGTTTCCCTTCTACGTGACTTTACCGAAAGAACCAAGAATATGATTTGTTTACCTTTCCCTTGCACTCCTATCGTGTTTTTGTATTGTAACGTTCTGACCCCGTGCCCCCCTCCCAACTGGACATCTGTGAAAAAGAAAAAGAGCTTCGTAGCTCATCGGATTTCCCCCAGCATAAAGATTCTGATTCTCGAGGTTCGCGTCCACTCCCCACCGCGTCTTGTCGCTCGCCCCCCTACCCCGCTCTGGCCCTCCAGGGCCCCCGGGCCCTCTCGTCTGGGGTTGCCGGACGCAGGGCCCTATGGTCCAATAGGCCACAGTAGGGCACTGTGCCTAGGGCCTACAAACAAATTAAGGGCCGACGAAAAAAAATGTTGACCATGTTTTTTTTTGTCTGTATGCATGATACTAAATTTAACCAAGATATCTTCTTGAATAAATATATTTATATAGCAAAGATAGAAAGAGGCGGTCACGTCAAACATTTTTTTTTATCATAACGTGAGAGAAATTAACACCGGCGATGTACTTTTCGAGATTTCTTTTCATTGCAAAGTTAGTAAATAGGTCCCTGCAGGGTGGGCTGGTAGGAACATTGGAATTTTGCACAATTTTATGACATTGTTACGTAAAATTGTGCAAATTGAGAGCGTTTTCCCACCTTTTTGCCCTCAAAATCGTTGAGGGTTCTTCTACACCGAACAGCACGAGATTTCACTTCGTTAAAGTATTGAAAGGGGACGGACGGACGGACACATTAATCTATTGCAGGCTGGTACACTCAGTTTACAACTTCGTTCCTACCAGTATAACATCTTCAAATGATGTTCTTCGTACAATCGAGTGACAGCAGCGGTAGTAGTAACATGGGGCAGCAGTAGCAACTGTAGAAAGTTATCACTGAGGGCCTACGAAACAAGTGCCTTGGGCCTACAAGAACTCTAATCCGGCTATGGCCAGACGGCTGTCGTGATCGTCAAGTATTTCTTGACGGTGGCCTTTGAGGGCAGTGGAATCGCACATCTGCACCTCGTCTTCATCTGAGAAACAGTTCTTCATCTGATGGGCTATAATGATGCATTGTTTTGTGCCAGAGATCAGCACAACATTCCTCCACTTATTTTAAAGATGGTGTGTCTGTCGTCAGCTGTGATTCAATCTTCCACTCAGAAAGGTCAATTATTTTTGAAATGTCAACGTAATTTGTGGTGCACTTCATGCCTCCCATTACTCGCAATGGCATTTTAAATCACGTGTTTTCTCTAATTTCCTAAACGTTTTACAGAGTTCTGTGTATCCAATCAGCAGTTTTGCGTTTTCATGTTTTTTATTTATCATTCTCTTCAACATACATTTTGTGGTTTCATACAACTTGCTCTGTTTAAATTTCGATTTAAAGCTTTCGTGACTGCAGGGATTCATCTTCTTGGTTCTTTCGGTAAAGTCACGTTTCGGCCACAACACAAGTAGCCTTCTTCAGGTGAAGGAACAGAACTGTCGGGACGACAGCGCTTCATTGAACACTGCTAAGCTTCGCAGCGTCTTTTAAGCTGGGTGGGAGGAGCAGAGCACCTTGACAAAGGAGTTTACATATCAACAGAATAATTTAGCATTGAAATAGCTGTGTTAAAGTGTTGGATTAGCAGGGTGTTAAAGTCAGAAATTAGCATGTAACTGGGAGATTAGCATGATGTTAATGTAAGGGATTAGCATGTAACTGGTCACGGAAGTAGCTATGTTAAAGTCAGAGTTTACATATCAACAGAGGTATTTCTCCCCCCTCCTCCGTTCCGAGCATAGATGGACTCGTCCGTCTGAACAAAGCTCGTCGCTTTCCGTTGTGCTAACGTTGAAAATAAAAAAAACGCCACCTTTTTTTCGACATAGAATCGTAATGTATAACGACGTTAGTAGCTCAGCTGATTGGAGAGTATATTGAGTTTATTGATAGCATTGATGTAGTTTACATTTTAGTTTTTTAACAGTTTGCTATATGGTATTCATTATATAGTGTAGTGTATACCCAGCTACTTTATGTTAATAGCTCAACTTATTTAATAATATATTGAGTACATTTATTATATTGATGTAGTTTATACTTAGTTTTTTTACATCGGCTTATTGTATGATAGTTGGGTAGTTGCAGTTCTTTAGCGTCAATATACTAAATGCCTCTGTTGATATGTAAACTCTGACTTTAACATAGCTACTTCCGTGACCAGTTACATGCTAATCCCTCACATTAACATCATGCTAATTTCCCAGTTACATGCTAATTTCTGACTTTAACACCCTGCTAATCCAACACTTTAACACAGCTATTTCAATGCTAAATTATTCTATTGATATGTAAACTGCTTTGTCAAGGCGCTCTGCTCCTCCCACCCAGCTTAAAAGACGCTGCGAAGCTTAACAGCGTTCATTGAAGCGCTGTCGTCCCGACAGTTCTGTTCCTTCACCTGAAGAAGGCTACTTGTGTTGCGGCCGAAACGTCGTGAGAATTTTATTTGATTGTTTTATTTTTATAATTTTATTTCCATTCTACGTGACTTTACCGAAAGAACCAAGAAGAACTTGCTCTGTGTGCTTTCTAAACTTTCCCTTCACTTTCATTGTACTATCCATCACTCTTTTACTTCATTCATGATTTTAAGTGGTGATTTCCATGTTGTCACTTTGATTCTCTAGGCACTTGAATGCATTACTGAGAGTCAACATAAAGCCACATTCTGCCATATATTTTTTAAATCTAAATTATCTTGGTTTAATCTGTAATCAGTTTTTCCCTGTCTTTGACGACGTTGCATCACACCCATCTGTGGTCGCTTATTGTATTGGATAAGCAATTGCAAATTATCTTACTGTTTTCATACCAACTTCGTCATGAATTTCCATCAAAAGTAAACAGTAACATACAACAAGGTTTTTTTTTAATGAAATGTGCTGTACCACAGAGTAACTATATTTGATGTTCTCACACACCAGCACCACCTATCTTGTCACTTGCCCTTACACATGGATTAAATCGGACCTCAACATGGGCTTCTCACTCCTACCTGGGCCTGGCAATGAGACGCTCGTCAATGTCACATTCAAAAGTGAGCCCAATGGAATCTCCAAGGAGCTCAACGACGTGAGCGCTGGTAAGCGGGGGTAATTTTGTAAACGTGCAAAGAAAAATACCTCCATATGATATTATAAATGTATTAAGATGGACATTTAAATTAAGTTTAACACAGGCTTTATTATTGCTTTTAAATTAAAACAGGACAATAGTAATTTCACAAAAAATAGATGACGTTTATAATATATGTAGCCAAGGACACTTTGACATTTGGAGGTTTAACATTTTTGTTGTGACAACATTTTTAGATAATCATTGGAGGTCTGCAGCTCTTTAAAAATGTAGATTTTTTTATTATATGATTCAGCACCAATAACACTAAATAGGGGATTAAAAATTGTTGAAACAGTAACTTAAGAAAGTGTACAAACTAAGAAGCCATATATATAACTTCTGCTTTGTTTTCCTTAATCTTCATGGAGAAGAAATGGGGCCAAATGAGGACTCTTCCCATGTTTCTGTCTTGCACCGGCCTCAGGGCTTCCTATACTTGTCGCCCTTTTTGTTCAAGGTCATTCTTCACCGACTCAATCCAGCACATCTATGCTCTTCCTTTATTTCTTGTATCGTGTACTTTGTTATGCAATACCATTCATGGGATTCTTTCCGGATCCATTCTAGAAACGTAAACCATCTCAGATATTTTCTGTTACCTCTTGTCCCAGTCAATGTCTTATTGCTTAATTTCTTATTGTCTGTATTCTAGAGCCATGTAGTTTCTGCAGTTGCTATTTTGTCAGATATACTCTATATAAAGCCAGGAATCATCCGTTGGCCAAGAAGGAATGGTAGTAGGAGGAATCCACACTCCCTTTGCAATCCTTTGAGTAACCACACCCTAAGACACAATCTCATAATTCTGTGGCCCTGTCCTTGCCTTAATGGACAAATACGTTTCTGTACATTAATTTGCCAAACTTCTGGAATTGTAGATGTTTTAAAAGAGGCACATTTGGAGTTGTTCAGGGATTTGTATTCTAAATTTCAGAATTATTTGCAAATTACCATTACAATATAGTTTGCGAGGCTGCCAAGTCTAGGCATTATTTGCATATATGGCTGCAGATTGTAGGCACAGATTATAGAATGGAATATTGTATATTAATGTAGTCAATGCATTTTTTTACAAATGGGTTAATTAAATTTCTCCCAGTCCACTGAAATATTACTTTCGTCAAAATTTACCTAAAGAATGTTAGTCATACATATATTCAGTATGTGACATCATGAGACCTATATTTCTTACAGGTACAACTACTATGATGACGTTTACACGTGTAAGTTTTTTTATTGATGCTGTTTTCACAACCCCTAAGTCAACATCAGCAGTGCAGTACTGTTATTATTCTTCACTCGTGGAGTGTGGAGTGCTTCATTCATGCATATGCTGGATCACGGGGGAAGTTATTTCCCTACCTTTCTCAAAGGGAGTTGATGGATTGTCATGTTGCAGAGATGAGATGCAGTTAATATAATTCATATTTTGTCTAATTTTTAGTCTTTGCCACATTAGCATACAATGTACATTCACATATTTACAGCTGATTGTCACTTCACTGCTGAATGAGGGCCTCGAAACACCATATCAATCGTGGCGTTATATAACGATGCATCACCACATTGTTCAATGGGTTGGTGAAGCAGATGTCTCAGGATAAATTCAGATATCACTCGGCACTAATATCAGTCATAGATGGGAATCACACTCTGATCACCAGGTTTACATGGAGGGCTGTGGTGGCAAATGCCTTTAATCCAGCACTGGAGGCAAGGGTTAGTGGATAACACAAATGTTGTGAAGCTGCCGTCCCACGAGCATCGAGGTTCCATAACCTGGCTCGCCAGGAGAAGGCAATACAGCAAGTGGAATAATCACAATCTGTTTACATCTGCATGGAGAAAGAGTATTGCCCCCTCGCGCACGTGCGTTTTCTCAGGGTGCTTCAGTCTCCTTCCACGTTTAAAACACATTCATAACTTGGATGAAAACATCTTTAAATAAAAACCCAATGCATGACCCTCCTGAAAAATAGTCCAAACGTGGCTCTCCTGGATAGATAGATAAATATGTATTCATATATGTTACTTATAGTGCAGTTTGTTAATCACTGAACCACCACTTTTGAATATAAATTGCATGCATTACAAATAATTACATGTCACACAGTAGTTTTGTATATGTATTGTGAGCGGAATAATCACATTTTATCTAAGTGTATTTTAACATGCTAAAATAATGCATCGTCCAATTAAGAAATAATTGGTCATCCAATTAATTTAATGTCCCTCAAAGATTTGCCTCTCACCCACTTCTGCAAAATAGAGCAGTCATTGCCAGCAATCATCACCAGCAACGTAGTAACCGCAAGTGACTGGCAACTCAGCACACCATCACATCACACGGTCACCACACAATGTCATAACCACACCACCACATCACACGGTCACACCACACAATGTCATAACCACACCATAACATCACACGGTCCCGCCACACAATGTCATAACCACACCATCACATCACACGGTCACACCACACCGTCTAACCATATCGTCACACGACACCAACACGCCCAGATCCTACTCGGGCACGGACTTGAGTCCACAATTTCTCTATTGAAGGGAGCTTGATTTGAGGCAGCCACGTGACCTCTGATATCATTGGAAGTTGCCGACCGAGTTTCCCATGAGGGGCAGCTGCCATCAGTTCAGATATTCGGCAATGAATTCTTACAAAAGGAGATACTGGGGCAACTATTGCTGGTGATGATTGGCATAACATTTATCCAGTCGATAATTAATGGAAACAATTACTCTTATTTAATGTTTTTTTTATTTTGTGATTTCTTATGTCATTGCATTTTCGTACTTTGTTATTTTCATTAAAACAAATTCTGCCAGTCGCCATGTACTTGGTGTATATTACTGTGTGATGCCCAATCTTAGTTACATTTCCGTTCATATTTCTTTTTTACTTGGAAGAATGAAACCTACTCCATGTTTTTTTTTCCATCTGTAATGTGTTAACATAATTTTGTTTTCATCTTTGATATCAATTTCAATGCTCAGTCTCACTATTTTAAGTTATATATGTATATTTTAGTCGTTACGCACTGCTCTGAACTCCATGACCTGAGTTTGATTTCCAGCCATAGCTAACATCAACAGCGAGTGATGCTGTATCTGAATTGGTTCCCACCTTCACTAGTACACACTGAACATTGTGATAAAGTGTGGTCAAACCTCCGTGAATGACATAGCATGGAGAGGCCTTCACCCAGCAGTGAACTGCATTGACAAAGCCTCTAATAAATATATCGTATTGTTTTCAAATAATGAATTAACTTTAATCCTCAAACATTTGAAAGTGTGCTGATTCTCACATATGCATCACCTTTCCGATTGTGCTTGTATGCAACCAAAGAAACACATTTCATCCAATGTACGTATGGAATGCATTTCTTTGCTACTCACCACGATCTGCCTTCCTGACTTCATAGTAATTGTCTGTCTATGTAGGAGGACCTCGGTACGGTGCAGTCCAACTATTGGATGTGGATGAGCCTGATGGGCAAATCAGGAGATCAAGAGATCTTTTCCACTAGTGTGGAATATTACCGTAATCGAGACTTGGACCTCATTGTCCTGTTTGACAATTACTACTACCATTGGCCTGGTAAGACAGTGCAATTCAGTGTCTTCGGTGTCTACAGAAACAACTTGCCTTACTTGGGACCCTTCAACATCTCTCTCACGGTATGTTCATTTGGAGTCTCGTGACTAACTTCACGGGCATCTATAGAGCATGCATCATCTCACTTGAATTTACTATGAATAAAGAGATACTGCATTCCATATATCAAATGTACCTGATCTTGTCAGATGTTGAAAGCTAAGCATACAATGTGTTATAGGATGCAGGGCTACGTGGTGGACCGCAGAGGACAGTTAAACAATGTTGTACTGTACTATGGTCCCATGTCTATGCTCTGCAGGCTTCAACCCACACTGACCAACATAAAGTATAGAGAAATAACCCCACAACTTGCACAGCGTGGGGAGCCCCTCAACTAGCAATAGACTGATAAAGGGCTGTAACATATAAACAGATTGAAAATAGCAGTAGAAAAAGCACAATGTTCATACGCTGAAGTGCCACAAAGTGGACACACAAGATGTATTTAATTTCATTTATTCAGTTTCGTTTATTTGGTATAGCTCTGTGCGCCATTCGGCTCTTGAATTGGGTGCAACCGCAACAAACAAAAAACAAAAATAAACAAGAAAACATCTTAAAGTGATTATGTGACTGTGCAAACAGAAAATCCAGGAAAAAACAGCAAAACATTCCTGAAAAAGCACCGTACACCAACGCTGTGTGCAAAAATCCCAGTGGGATGAAAGTCAACAACAACCACAAGACAACTTAGATTAAGGCCATCAGTCTAACTCCGTACTACAACAAACAAACATGGCCAAACCAAAAAACGTTTTCGATATCACCAAAAATAAAGCCATAAATGCAATGTAACAGTGATCATAGAGACTGTGACTGAATTTTTTACAATAAACTACATAAATAACATGTAACACCAAACCCTAGAGCCATAGCTGGCTGCATGAGTCACTCCACAACAACAGGAGCATCAGTCGGAGTATCAAATTTTTCAATGCACCTTTAAGATCAGCACACTAAATCAAAATACAGATAATACTTTGCAGCGGTCATCCGGAGTGAAACATTTTATTTTATTTTAGGCCACTGAATAGCAGTGGCAGCTAGGGGTGTACAACTCCTCTAGAGCAGTTTTGAGTGAAGATCTCATAGGTAGTGATTCAAGTTGCAGTTTATTAGCAATAGCATTGCAGACCCTGGGGGCATCAATAGCAAAGGCCCTTCCTCCAGTTTTTGTACGGCAATAGGGAATGTGAAGCTGGTAAATGAGCGAAGACCTGAGGTCAAATTTGTTCTTTGAAACAGAGAAGAGATCCAGCAGGTAGTCTGTGGATTGTTTTGTAAGTACATCGTGAATAAATAAGATCTGGTGCACAATCCGTCGAACATTAAGAGATGTTAAGTTTGACCCAATGTAGAGATCACAGTGGTGAGTCCTATATGGGCAGTTCAATGCAAATCTTAAGGCCGAGTGATAGATGGAATCAAGCTTCTTCAGTACAGTACTTGGGGCTGATTTATACACGATGTCACAGTAATCAAGTTAGCAGTAGTAAGGTAGCTTTTATCATTTCCAAACGGAACATAGGGGGGAAGCAGTGCTTGTGTCGATACAGAAAACCAATTTTTATTTCAGTCTTTACCAATCTAATCAATGTGATCTTCAAAATTCAGTTTTGAATCCAGGATGACCCCAATATACTTATAGATCTTGACTTGCTCTATTTGATAATTATTTAAGGAATGTAATTGGGGAAAAATAACTTCCTGCTTTAGTTCTGGTGAGAAGCATAGCACCTTGGTTTTGGAGGTATTCAGGACTAGTTTAAGAACAACTAGCTGATGTTGTAGTTTGTTGAAATCACCGTGTAGCTTAGCAATCACGTCATCCGGAGAGCGGCCAGCAGTAATCAGTATCGTGTCATCTGCAAAAATATTTACCCTGGAATGATCCAGGTCAGTGCCCAAGTCATTGACATAAAGAGAGAACAAGAGGGGGCCGAGGATGGAACCCTGTGGAACCCCTTTTGTTATCTTAACACTGACCTCCAGCCATCTGTGAATACAGTTTGGGTGCGAGAAAAGAGCACATTTTTTAAACCATTTTACTGCGTTTTCGGAAAAACCGAGGCATCTTAGTTTACTAAGCAGGGTGTTGTGGTCTACTGTATCAAAAGCTTTGGACAGGTCAAGAAAAATACAGGCACAGTACTGCTTATTATCAAGACTACTGTAAATGTGATTGAGAGAGTCTAATGCAGCAGATGTGGTGCTGTATTTTTTTCAGAACCCAGATTGTTTTAGATGTAGTAGCCCCCACAGTATTGCTGTGTCTGGCCCATCGACGTGGAACTCGCTGCCGGTCATTTTTCGTGATTTGTCTCTAACTGTGATCCAGTTCTGCAGTAGTCGACTGAAGATGGAGACAATCAGTAACGCTGACATAACCGTAGCATCTTCGTGATCTTTTTTTTACAATAGGAATAGCATGAATACCAAATGTATTTATTTGTTTGTTTTTAAGGGCTGTACATTTACAAAGATAAATTCATGAAGCACCTAATACTCTTTGGTTCTTTTGGTAAAGTCACGTAGGTAGAAAATTAATAAAATAAAATAAAACAATACATTATATATTCTTAGCTCTTTCGGTAAAGTCACGTTGAAGGGAAACAATAAAATAATAAAATATATATAAAACAATAAAAATTCTCACGACGTTTGGACCATAACACAAACGGTCATCATCAGGTGTGAAAAACCAACGGCAAGAAACATTTGAAAGAAGTGTCGGTTTTCATTTATTTATTTTTAAACGGTGTGTTTATAAAAACGTTAGCTCCACGGGCAGCGATTTGGCTGGTTGCATACAAATCGCTGCCCGTGGTGCTAACGTTTTTTTTAAAATAAATAAATACACCGTTTAAAAATAAATAAATAGATGAAAAACCGACACTTCTTTAAAATGTTTCTTGCCGTTGTTTTTTAACGCCTGATGATGACCGTTTGTGTTATGGTCCAAACGTCGTGAGAATTTGTATTGTTTTATATAGATTTTATTATTTTATTGTTTCCCTTCAACGTGACTTTTCCAAAAGAGCTAAGAATATGATTTACTGCAGTCACGAAAGCTTTAAATAAAAAAAATTATATATCACGACGTTTCGATCGCAACACAAGCAGTCGTCCTCAGGCGGAAAAAATAATCCAGCAGTTCCACTGCGATTGAAACGTCGTGATATGTTATTTTTGTTTTATTTTATTTTTTTAATTTTCTACCTACGTGACTTTACCGAAATAACCAACGAGTATGGATTCCTGCAGTCACGAAAGCTTCAAATCAAGATTGACGCTCCTAATGTTGAATATATACTGAAGGGTCATGATTAATATCTAAATATCAAAACATTCGCATTGACTTAAAATAACAATGGTCCAATACTGTGTATGGTTTAACTTGGTTATGCCTAATGATTTTGCTGGTCTGTAGAATCCAAATGGAGTCCTGATGGAGACCTGGCAGAATGTACAAAAGGAGAGCGGAGTAGCGTCACTGCATTACCCACTCTCTGCCCAGGCAACACTGGGAAGCTGGTATATACATGTGGAGGCAGGATCGGTAAGTACATAAACTTCTGCTTCAATTTAAAATGTAGCTGTGATAAGTAATAAACTGTGGGCTTGTCAAATGCAGTAAAACGGTGAGCATTTCATAACACATGGTCAGCATTGATCACATTAGAGTAAACGGTGATCATGAATTGGAATTGGTGCTCAAACACAAACAACTCAAGACATTCATCAAGAACTCTGCATTAAAAGGAACATATAATAGTCATAACGTTTTCTTTGGTTCTTTCGGTAAAGTCACTAAGAATGAGAATAAAATAATAAATTGATAAAATAAAATAACACAATAATATTCTCATGACGTTTCGGCCACAACACAAGCGGCCTTCATCAGGTGAAGGGACGAGACTGTCTGGTAGGACAGCGCTGGAGTGAAAAAGCCATGCTCAGATCACGACCTTTAAGCTGTGTGAGAAGAAACAAAGTGCCTTGACAAAGGAATTAGCATATAATTTAGCATTGAAATGGCTGAGTGATTAGCATGTGACTGGTCACAGAAATGGCTATGTTAAAGTTAAAGCATACACATCCGCAGAGGCACCCCTTGACAAAGGAATTAGCATAGAATTTAGCATTGAAATAGCTGAGTGATTAGCATGTAACTGGTCACAGAAATAGCTATGTTAAAGTCAGAGCATACACATTCACCGAGGCACCTAGTACAAATCAAACAGGCGAATTTAGCATTGAAATAACTGAGTGATTAGCTAGTGACTGGTCACAGAAATGGCTATGTTGAAGTCAAGGCCTACACATCTGAGCAATTCACAGTAATTGGGTATACAATACAATATATAATGAATACTATATAGTGACCCAATAAAAAACTAAAATATAAATTACCTTAATGTTATCAATAAACTCTATATTCTCCAATCAGCTAAGCTATCAACAATAAGTCGTTATATATCACAATGCTATATGGCGAAAAAATGGGTGGATTCTTACCCTCAACTTTAGCAACACGGATAGCTACGGGCCCCGTTCAGACGGACGAGTTCATCCATAGTCGGAACAGAGGAGGGGGAGAGAGACAGCTGCGAGGCGCTATTATACTCCATGTTGTAAACCATACCATTAACCGTGGTGTGAGAGGTATTAAGAGTCAATGCTGGCGAAAGAGCTGCGGTCTGAAGGTCATCGTAAAATACAATTAATTAAGAACGGAAATGGTTTAAAACATCTTTCCAATGGTTACTAAGCCAGAATCCATCTTCTCGGTTGAAATTGTCTCTGTGCTTGTATATGTGAATGGCCTCATGAACGAATCTCTCATGGTAGCCGGTTGGTTTGCAAAGAACCTCCGTCTTGGAGAAGTCAATGTCATGTGAGCCCACTGACATTGACTTCTCCAAGACGGAGGTTCTTTGCAAACCAACCGGCTACCATGAGAGATTCGTTCATGAGGCCATTCACATATACAAGCACAGAGACAATTTCAACCGAGAAGATGGATTCTGGCTTAGTAACCATTGGAAAGATGTTTTAAACCATTTCCGTTCTTAATTAATTGTATTTTACGATGACCTTCAGACCGCAGCTCTTTCGCCAGCATTGACTCTTAATACCTCTCACACCACGGTTAATGGTATGGTTTACAACATGGAGTATAATAGCGCCTCGCAGCTGTCTCTCTCCCCCTCCTCTGTTCCGACCATGGATGAACTCGTCCGTCTGAATGGGGCCCGTAGCTATCCGTGTTGCTAAAGTTGAGGGTAAGAATCCACCCATTTTTTCGCCATATAGCATTGTGATATATAACGACTTATTGTTGATAGCTTAGCTGATTGGAGAATATAGAGTTTATTGATAACATTAAGGTAATTTATATTTTAGTTTTTTATTGGTTCACTATATAGTATTCATTATATATTGTATTGTATACCCAGTTACTGTGAATTGCTCAGATGTGTAGGCCTTGACTTCAACATAGCCATTTCTGTGACCAGTCACTAGCTAATCACTCAGTTATTTCAATGCTAAATTCGCCTAGTTATTTCAATGCTAAATTCTCCTGTTTGATTTGTACTAGGTGCCTCGGTGAATGTGTATGCTCTGACTTTAACATAGCTATTTCTGTGACAAGTTACAAGCTAATCACTCAGCTATTTTAATGCTAAATTCTATGCTAATTCCTTTGTCAAGGGGTGCCTCTGCGGATGTGTATGCTTTAACTTAGCTATTTCAATGCTAAATTCTCTGCTAATTCCTTTGTCAAGGGGTGCCTCTGCGGATGTGTATGCTTTAACTTTAACATAGCCATTTCTGTGACCAGTCACAAGCTAATCACTCAGCCATTTCAATGCTAAATTATATGCTAATTCCTTTGTCAAGGCGCTTTGTTTCTTCTCACACAGCTTAAAGGTCGTGATCTGAGCATGGCTTTTTCACTCCAGCGCTGTCCTACCAGACAGTCTTGTCCCTTCACCTGATGAAGGCCGCTTGTGTTGTGGCCGAAACGTCGTGAGAATATTTTTGTGTTATTTTATTTTATCAATTTATTATTTTATTCTCATTCTACGTGACTTTACCGAAAGAACCAAAGAAGATGAATCCTTGCAGTCACGAAAGCTTTAAATCGAAAAGTCATAACGTTATATATGTGTAGTGCCTTGGATTCACTCGGACAATTGCCTTTCTTCCACCGTCACTTTTATTTCCATCGTTCCGCACACACACACACACAATATAATTTCACACACACACACTATATATCATTACACACACACACACTATAATGTCTCCTCTCCGCGCTCCGCCAACTCGAACACTCGAATTCCCCTCAGCACCGTCCGTTCATACTCCTTATCTCCACACACAGTCTCTTCTTCTCTCACTGCACACAGTGTTCCTATCTCTATCTCCTCACACACAGTGACTCATCTATCTCTTCACACACAGTGGCTCTGTCTATCTCTTCACACACAGTGACCTGTCTATTTCTTCACACGCAGTGACTGTCTATCTCTTCACACACAGTGACTTGTCTATCGCTAACTCTCCCTGTACCTACCTATACCGTAATCTCCACTCTGCTCACGCTAAATCTCGCTATCGCTATTTATTGTCCTCTGGGTTCGGCTCTCAATCTATTTCCCACTAACACTTGCCGGGCTTCCACTCTTCGCATCTCTCCCTACCCGCTGCTGTCTCCACTTCTCGCCAACTCCCCCTCGTCCAAATCACCTAGCGTTTTTATTCCCTTTCCAATCAGCCTTAATTAATTGTCACGTGCCTCGCTGGCATTATCCCGCCAGCTCAGCACCTGTCCAACGGCCCAGACTCCGTGACGCCGCCACGTAACGCTAACAGCCTCTCGACCAATCACAGCCCTCGTCCCTTGACTCCCTTAATTACTTTGGCTTGTTTACGCCACCCGTGACTTCATCACGTGATCGAACTTACATGACCCACACTGTTTGTATGTACTGTATATGGCCAACTTACCCATGTGTATTGTCTACTCCACTACATATGTAAAATTTATTTTTCCTGTATGTCAGTGTTATTGACAATAATGTAGATATTTTTTCTCTACTTATACATGATAATAACTATTAAACACCCATAGACATCATGTGTAAGGACAAGCTATTGCAATCTTATGCCATAGTCCAAGTTCCAAATGTTAAGATAAATCATATACCAGGGGTGGCTAAACAAATGCTTTCAACCTGCATGTAGGTTCCAGGCAGATTAAGTGCAGCTTGTTAAAGACGCAGCTCATTTTTTACTTCATTTGACAGGTAAAATCTGCGAAAGTGGGAATGACTTGAGGCACTTGTTCCACGGTGGCGAGATGTTAGCTTCCTTGCCTGATATACAGGAGGTCGTGGGTTCGATCCCGACTCTGACGCTTGTATATTTGGAGTCTGTGTTGTTCTCTGCCTGTGGTTGTGTGGATTTTTTCTCTGGGCCCTCCGGTTTTTCCTTCCACATTTCGAAACATATGATTAAGAGTATTTGGCTACGATACATTTCCACATGATAATCTATCATATCTGGCTATGCCAGGTGATATGTGTCTTTTGGTTCACAGCCATATGAATATGTTGGTATGCTGGTCAGGATGCTTGGCCATCTCTGGTATATACTATCAACATCATCCATCATGGTTTATCCACTGCTAGATAAAGGCCTTGCCATGGTTTTGTCATTACCCATGACCCCACAAAGCCACACTCCTTCTCATTCCTGTACATGAAGTGATCTTATTGCTCCATCTCCTTGATAATATTCTCAAGTGTAATCCGTCTTTTGGCTGCCATTCTGTCACCATTCTCATCCATTAGCCCGTCTAGAGATGTGTCCTTTCCAAGCCCATTTTCCCATACATGCCATTAGAAGCATCCATCTTCCCATGCTTGGCAATATGCACTGAATAAAAATGTCATCTTTAGGCATATCGGCTTTTTGTTATTCAATTCAGCCTTCTAAATGAACTTTTGCCGGCTCTTTTTTATGTTTATATCATTTATATACGGGCGGTCCCCGTGTTCTTGGAAACCCCCTCATAAATTGGAGACTATTATTCACATAGACAGTTGAAACAGTATAAATATCACTGGCTGATGTGTTTATTTTTTTCCAGACATATTTAACAGGGTTTTTTTAGGTAAAAATCCACAAAAACACTTGAGAATAACAAAAGCTCCACGCCAAGTCACGTTGGAAACCAGACTTATTGTTCAAACGTGTTCGAGTCATGTCGGATAATGCGTGGTAAATCAAGTTTCTGCATCGTAAATCGATCGATGGTGGTATTATATGAACATTTTAAATGTGGATCGTCATAAATCAGAGACTACCTGTACACTGTAAATCAATATAAATTATAGTGCTGTGGAAGAGTGCTTGATTCATCGCTAGAAGCTTGCACAGTATCACTTCATGAAACAAACTTGTAAAGCCAAGAACAGATATGTGTGTCACCTTATCGTGTTTTATAAGTACTTGTAGAATAATACATTGATTTCTGACTAAGAGAAATAATACAAACTTCTTGATTAACTGAATGTTTTTTGTCTTTTTAAGGACATTTATGGTTACAATTTCTATGTTCAAAACTACGGTGAGTATTTACTATGCTTTTGTGGGTTTTTTAAAGCAGTAACATACATTCAAGCCATGTCACTTCATACATGATATTATTTTGTATGGTAGTAAAATGTCATTTCAAATTATGTCTAAGGAGGGCGTCTTAACTGCATAATTTGCGATTCAGAAGAGCACCCTTTTCATGGTACCAGGTAATCCATGAGCAATGTGAGTAGTTTTGCACTCAGTTCTGATGCTTTTGTAACCACAGGATGAACATATTTATACATCGTCATTAACACTGATTATATCACACCTTAAAAAATGGTCTTATGCTCACCTTATTCTTATGAATATACACAGTAGAAATATACAGTTTCCATTACTAATCTGACAAACTATTCATACTTTAATTTCCAAAAGTAAAAATTTCTAAATATTCACAAAAGTATTTTATAGATTTTTATATTGAGCATTGGGACCAAACGTAATGTTGGATGTTGCTGGACTGAAAATGGACCAAGCCATTTCATCAACATGGCTCATAGCTTCCATCACATTGATGTATAGATATACAAATGACTAGCAAACTGAACGGGCCACCACCTTGACATGGTAAATAATCTTGAAAGCCTGGAAGACACGAGCTGCACTTGATGGGGGCACAATATCAGTCAGGTACTTGGCAAGAGGTGAGATAAAATACGCTGCTATCTCCAACCTACTGACCAACGTGGTGAAGTATGGCCAAACCCCGATGATTGACAAGCCTAAACTTTGGCAGTATTGGAGTATGCTCCATGCTGCAAAATAGCTCTAAGATATCTGATAGACACACCAGTCAAATGCATGTGTCATACCCCTTTCTTACATAATTACAAATAATTAGTGTGAACATGTTAATTTTTTATTACATTTCATTTACAGAGTTGATTGTTTTTAATGAAGTGACATGAGGAATCGCTGTAATGAAAAGCTGAAGGGTTCATGCTCTCAGATGTGCTGTCATTTGAATCCTCAGATCATGTGTTCATTGACGTTGCATACTTATTCTATTTTGACGGAATTGAAGACGTCTCTGGATTTATATCGGCATGGTATGTGAGTTATAAAGACACAATTTTCTGAGTTTATATATTTAGAATTTAAATACAGCCCTGTTTATAAACATGTTTTAACTTATTTTATTCCATTTGATCGATATTTAAAGATAAAAAAATATATAATAATACACAGCAAATCCATCACTGGATGAAGGGCTCTCCTTGCTGTTTCAGTCATAGAAGATGTTTTCGATACTTCGCCATGCTGGTCAGTGTGGGTTAGTGAAGGGGAGGGTGGGTGGCAGGGGAAGGCAGACCTGGTTCAGATAACAATGTTTTATCCAATATTTTATACATAGCAAAGTAATGGTATCCGTTGGGATAGGCTTTCCACTGCGTGAAATGTTAACGTTTCTCAGTAACATTACAAAGTGTGTGATGGAATGCAGGTACCAGGGCAAGGCTGTTGAAGGCACAGCAAGAGTCACCATACATCCAGACTCTAACCCCACAGACATCATAACGCAACACATTAATGTAAGCTAATCATAACTGATACATTCATGTAGACCTATACGGCATACTGTATTCAGATTATTCTCTACATCTCTCCTCATCATTTTATGTTGAGTCGCTGTCTTCAGTGACTTTTTAAAAGTGTGGATATGGGGTGATTGCGATCTTATAAGGCAAGCTTCAAATGACTTCTGATTTAACTAGATCCATATTTAATTTGCATATCATGGTTGAAATTCGAAGATATGTTTCAACATACAATACATAACATGCATGAAATACATGCTTTGAGCCACAAAACTTTGCTTCAAAGTGGACTTGGCACATTTTGCATTTCTAAGGAAAATGAACTGCATCCCTTTTTGTACCACGTACCACAAATGTTCTAATGTTCCTTTCTCCCACTGATGATCAATTTATAAAATGACTGGTTTAAAATATATAAAATTCATTTCCACAGCTTCAGAACATAACTATTTATTCCCAACAACCAATTATGCTGCTACTCAATCTTTCCAAGCATTAATCAATCCTGGCTCACTTAAGTGTAGTGACGCAGATCGGAGACAGTCATACTTGGAGACACTTCTTTATTTAACAAGCACCATCGGGATATATACACACCTTACGTGGGTGCAAACTATTATTATTAAGACCGTCTATTGTCGACGGCACTACTTAGAACAGTTGGTAGGCAGTCTGACTAACAGCACCCCGGGATGGTGAAGACGGAGACGACGAGGAGATGGTGATGACGACATGGTGACGACAATGATCTTGAACAGCCACGACAGGGATTCCACTTCCAGCAACAGCCCCGAGCTCCCGCTTGGGGTCCCTTCTTATACTCCCAATGTGGCCTTGCTCCGCCCCGACCACGCCCCCCTTCTGGAACCTACTAGCGGGTCCCCGGGGCTTCCCGATGGGCCCCTTCTGTGACCTATCCCCTAGATGTCCCCCTCTCGTATATGTCGTGGCCTGCTGACGTGAGTACTGCCGTACACCGCAGTTACCCTTTTCCGCCGGCAGCCAGCGCTATACCCCTACATAAGCCTCACCTAACACTTTCTTAAACATATTTCTTCAAACTACACATACAGGCCTCAGCCCATATGGGAAGCTAGAGCTGACTGCCGAGTTTGTTTTATATACCCCAGATTTAATTCCTATCAGAATCCTTTGTGTGCAAAAGCAGGTATGGCCAGTTCCATTTGGCTATATTACACCCACTGATCGAATCTGCCAAACCTTGGTAGGTCAGTTCAATCACACCTCCGGCGACACAATCTACCAATGTCATTGCCACAATAACTCTGATATAGGTGAGTTCATACTCAAACTACAGTTCAAATCAAAATGATACTCAATAACTGTTACAATATAATAACCACCATATGCATGCATCCCAGCTCTCCTAGATAAAACATGCATACGTAAATATGCATAATTTAGATATAGCATTATACAGGGTATAGCACAAGAGGCTTCCAGGCACATTTCAAGTGTTGGAACACAGAGAAGTCCAATTTTCCATAATCCCTGGCATAGTTGGCAACTGCTGTTCATGCCACAGATATTCTTAGCATGCTCCAAAAATCTACCTGGACTGCTTGTCGCAAAGATTGACTTTGGATACGTCCTAGAGTGTCCCAACAGTGATGGCTGAGGTATCAGCGACTCCCCTCCAGTACTCAATCTCTCCCAGGTCCTAACCCAATTTAATCAATTTAATTATGAGGGTTTGTGTTCACTACATTTCCCTATGAGTACAAAGTGCAAGTTTCCTTATATGTACTGTTTTTTTCACCCAAATGTAGTTGCTTTTCACGCAAAGTTCACGCAAAGTTCATAAAGAAAGTTCTACAAAAAGAATGAGTTATAGTGGCCCGGATCATCATGAATAAATAATTGAGAAGTTTGTGAGGAAGTATGCCCAGAAATATACCCTTCATATTTTAAAACAAGTATTGTACAGTAATCTTCAGCTGCAACATAATGCAGATGCGTTAAATTTGTTTGTTTCAGTGACTTATTTTAACACATATTGGAAGTGATCAGCAGAGTCGGGTTTGCTTAAACCAAGGCTGGCGAACTTGCAGATGTTTATAGTTCGACGCAAAACTACATAAACACATAACACAATAAAATAATTAGCATCGTTGTTGACAATATAAATAATAATGAAATATGCAGATAATATGTCTCCTTCATATATCTTTCTCCACATAACATAAGACTTCGTTAATTAAATAAATAACCGACTCCCTGCTTATGAGACATTGTCGAATCTGGTCCAGAAATATGCAGATGTTAAATCAATGTTGCTGGAAAAGATCAGTTCGAGAAGGCTGTGTGGCCAATAGTATGCGTAACAAGTACTTGCATTGTTTGTGGAGGGACAGTCTACTCCTTTGGATTGCACTCTCATGTTCACGTCCTTTGGATTGCACTCTCATGGTGCTAATCTCTCATTAACACTGCTGTTGTGCGCATATATGGGCTTCACACTCTTATGCAGCAATGGAAGCTCATTCATGCAATTCTCTCTCCCTAATCTCTCTCTCCCTAATCTCCCCCATTAACACAACTGACGTGCTTGGTCCGTGGATGGAATTCCTTTCCAGCTTAGACCCCGCTTGCGCATCGCCACGTATATAACCTCTTGTTTTAACTGCTCTCTCGCTGGTTCAGCAGTTCCACTGCTGGATTATATTTTTTCCGCCTGAGGACGACCGCTTGTGTTGCGATCGAAACGTCGTGATTTATTTTATTTTATACCTACATGACTTTACCGAAAGAACCAAAGAGTATGGATTCCTGCAGTCATGAAAGCTTCAAATCAAGAATGACAGTCTAATTATTTAAGCTGTTTATTATATTTTCCACAATGACACTAACGATTCTGTTAGGTTACAATAGTCAAGGGAATGTATCACTAAATTAGGAATTGAAAAATTCTCCCTATTATGAAGAACATTTAACTATATTCTTGGTTCTTTCGGTAAAGTCACGTAGAAGGGAAACAATAAAATATAATATAACAACAAAATTCAAGAATTACTCAACGATGGCAGCTATACAAAAATAAAAAGAGATCCCACCAACAGCCTCGTCATACAAACCAACAAAATAATTTCTAATTCAACCGCATTAATTGATCAAACCAAACAGTTCTCGTTGAAACCTTCTGCTGCCAGGCCACCAAGATTATATGGCTTACCAAAAATACATAAAGTAGATACACCCCTTCGTCCCATCGTCTCTACTATCAACTCCCCCACCTACAAACTGGCTCTATTTTTGTCTGAAATCCTGTGGCCTTTGACTGGAAAAACCACCTCTGCGGTACAAAATTCTACTCACCTGGTATCGACAATCACGGGTATTTCCCTGTCCCCACACGACCTGCTTGTCAGTTTTGATGTAGTTTCCTTAGTCACCAAAGTTCCTGTACCTGACACCATCGCAATCATTGAAGACTTGGTTCATCATAGACTAAACACTGAGGTACCCCCCCTGGTGAGACACTGCCTAACCAATACATACTTCACTTGGAATGGTACTTTCTACAAACAAACTGAGGGCACCCCAATGGGCTCCCCCCTATCTCTGGTTGTAGCCAACATTTTCATGGAGAAATTTGAGACTGACGCCATCCAGACTGCCACTCTGTGCCCAACCTTATGGAAGAGGTACGTGGATGACACTTTTGTCATCTGGCCACATGGCCGGCCTGCTCTAGACCAATTCCTCGACCACATCAATTCCGTACACCCAGCCATCAGATTTACCATGGAAGTCGAAAAAGATGGCAAGCTACCTTTTTTGGATGTCCTAATAAAAAGAGACCTGATGGTTCAATGAGCCACTCTGTCTGCAGGAAAGCTACCCATATAGATGCTTACCTGAAACCGGATTCCCACCACCATCTATTCCAGAAGAATTCCCTCATCAAGACTCTGTACCATAGAGCCCAATGCATATCCGACCAGGAACACATAGCCAGTAAACTCAAGCAGGTACACCAAGCTCTTAAGGACCCTCTTGAGGAGCCTTTCAAAACCATCACTTTACCCTACATTGCGGGGATTACAAAAAAGATCTCCAAAATCTTAAATAAACACAAGATCCAGGTCCGATTCAACACATTACATAAAATCCATGATCTGGTTCCGTGTGTAAAATATGTGATTCCGGACATATAGTACCCTGGCTTCTACAAACTAAGTTGCCTCTGTGGTATTAGTTACATTGGAGAAACCAAACGACATGTCTCGGACCGCATTCGTGAACACAAAGCAGACCTTAAACACGGTTGGACCAACACCTCGGCCGTGGCAGATCACTGTTATAATTCAGTAGGCTCACATGACATTGACTTCTCCAAGACAGAGGTTCTTTGCAAGCCATCTGGCTACCATGAGAGATTCGTTCATGAGGCTATCCACATATACAAACACAGAGACAATTTCAACCGAGAAGATGGATTCTGGCTTAGCAATCATTGGAAGGATTTGATTAACCATTTCGGGTCTTAATTGATTGTTCATGCTTACGGTGGCTTTCAGACCGCATCCATTATTTTCATCTCCCCCTTCCTCTTTTCCGAACATAGATGGACTCGTCCATCTGAATAACTGCCAAATCGCTCTCCTTGGTGCTAACGTTAAAATAAACCCGTCACTTTTTTCAAATTTTTTTGCTGTGGTTTTCACACCTGATGATGATTCCTTGTGTTGCAGTCGAAACGTCGTAAGAATTTTATTGTTTTATATTTTTATTATTTTATTGTTTACCTTCTACGTGACTTTACCGAAAGAACCAAGAATATGAATCTCTTGCAGTCACGAAAGCTTTAAATCAACATTTAACTGTTAACCAATATCATTACTGGTGATAAGCCATCCTCTTGAGATTTTATTTTACTCTTTTACAGTTTGTTGGAGATGGATACTTTCTGTTTCGTCGCAGTGAGCTTATGAAGATGATTCCTGAGGGTGCAGAATACTTTTATTTTCTTATCTCTGTTGAGATCACTGACAATGCATCAGGTATTTCTGCCTCCTTTGTTTTAAAATGATGACATATGGTTAAATTTCATTTAAGTTTGTAAATTGAGAGCATTTTCTTATATTTGAAAATGTGTATTCGACCACTGTTTCTGTGTTAAATATTGACTCGCACTGCCAGGTGACCAAAGTTTATTTTGGAACAAAATTATTCAGCTACAAAAATATACATATATACTGCTTTGAAACGGTTGCTCAGTTAAATGTCAAGCATTGCGGATTGCCACTGACAGATGTACAAGAATATAACTTGCATTTACGTAGCATTCTTCTAGCAGAGCATCCCGAGCCCCTTACATTATAATTCACTCAAAAATAAATTGACCAACCAATCGAGCTCCAAAATAAGCTACCTCAAATAGACATGTTCTTAAATATTCTTTGGTTCTATTCGGTAAAGTCACGTAGGTGATTTTTGTTGTTTTATTTTTTACCTACGTGACTTTACCGAATAGAACCAAAGAGTATGGATCCTTGCAGTCACGAAAGCTTCAAATCTAGAATGTTCTTAAATTCGATATATTTCTTTACATTCCTGGTATTACTTGAAATAGAGATCCAGAGCCTGGAAGCAAAACAACTCAAGGGTTTTTGATCCTCCTAATTTACTTGTAGGAACTACCAAGAGGTCAGCATTCACTGATCTCAAGGTACAACCTGAGGCAAAATGTATCAGCAGTCCCTGTAAAATTAAAGGCCCCACACCGTGTATGCATGTATGTTGAACTTCTTTCGCACCGTACGTAGCCAACCTTGCTAATCGGAGGTGCAAGGGAAGGAATACAAACTCAACACAAAACGCAGTTCTAAAGAAATTAATTTTGATCTAGATTTAAAAGTCCTTAGCTCCAGTGGCTCTTCCTAATATCCGAAGGAAGAGCGTTGTAAACGGCCGCAAACGCACATCTGAAAGCGCGAGATGCAGTGACCACCTTTGTTTGATGGTTAGCCAAAAGCCGTTTCGAGGATGACCGAAGTTCGTGTGATGGTTTATGCTACTTGACGAGATCAGCAAGGTATTGTGGCTCATTTGTGGCAAGCACTTTGTGTGTAATGAGCGCGACCTTATCAAATGAGTGTGACCATGATGGGCCTTATACGTGCATGATATTGTTGATGGTTGACACTTGTTTTGATATGTGACGTTTTTCAGATTTTTCATTCTTTTTCATTTTGTGTAGCAGCCTTTTTTAGTGGGCATCTGTAGTTTAATTCTATAATTGACAAAGTATAATTCACTTGAAAACCATGTTATTCATGCAAAAAGTTGCAATAAAAACATGTGTTCTAAATATTTACATGCTTTATTTAGATCAATTGCACCTTTATCATTAAATTGCTATCTCCCTCCTAGCTCTTCTGAATATATCTTTCACCTATGGTTTCTATCTGAACCAATCTTTTCTCGATCCACTATAGCCCATATCAATACATCTAATAAATTTCTCATATATTTGGTCTCATTTGAATGTACAATATCTCATGTTTTATGCTGTAACTTGTCTTTTACGGATGCAACCCTCTCCTAACATCTCTCATATATCATTGGAGTGCACACCCTAATATCACCCTTACCTCTCTGAATGAATCTCTTAATGTATGTTATGTTACGTCTAATTGCATATATATCCTATAATATCTCTTTTATCTGAATGCATCACTTTTCATCTCTTGTTTCTCATCTCAATGCATCTCTCCTGTCATATCTTACATCACATGAGAACGTATTCACCTTGTCTCACGATTTTTTTTATCACTACAATCCATCTCTATCTCTTGCATCGCTCTCTATGTCTGTATATTTTTCTCATATCACCACTCTCTGCATATTGCTTCTCTATGCTCACAACTTTTCTACCCTGTTTGAATTTCTCTTTCATTTCACGACATCTACCGTATTTGTTTTATCTGCATCTGCATGATTTCATTTTTGCTAAATAAATTTTTGGATTTGTCTGGATAATTATGTATTTGGTATTTGACAGTACTGTATAGTAAAGAGTGCTGTGTGGTATCATCCCTATATTCAAATAAATTTAAATATATGTTCAATAAAGGGATTATGATATAGTAGTTGTCCTGGTACCATGTGTGTTAAATGTTGTAACTGTCTTTTGATTTCTTAGGCAGGAGATTTGAGAGCAACCGCTGGATTTACTTTCTAAAGAACAGAGTATATATTTCTTTTCTTTGGAATTGGAGATTCATTCCTGGTATGGACTTTACAGACCATGTAAGTTTTCAAATACATAACATTTTTTCTATTACTATGTATTTTATTTTTAACTACCAATGTAAAATACATTTGTATTTGTCACTGACATTCTACTATTTTGCAATTATGTGTATCTGAAACTTTCTTCATTCAAAATTTTATATTGAAAAAATTTGCCCAATGTCAGACTGACAGTTTATGGCACTATTCAATCACTTGTAGCATTCAAATATAACTTGACCAATAAATAAAAAGTTAGGATAAACAAAATGTAAATTTCGTGTTCCATAACTTTTTTGTCCATGCTTTTACTCACTTATTAGGAGTGATGGTAAAGAATCTTCACTGCTATAACGACAGTAAAGAAATTAGAAAATTGGACGTGTGACTTCTGAGACCTCTAGTACTTTGCCATCCCGACACAGCCGAATACATAAAGTTCTCATGTGAACAAACTTGCCAGTTTTTATTGCTTCCAACACATCGGTTTAACTATTTTAAAGTGTATATGGTTTGCCGTCCAGCATAAAAGTGTGCAGTGCAATAGAATTGTGCGTGTTTGTTCACGTGAGAACTTTAGTCATTCGGCTTTGTCGGGTGGAGGAGGGTGTATGACACAACATTGGCATTGTACTAATACGATATGACCAAAACATCTATTATGAATAGTAAAAGTCTACGTGAAAAAAAATATAAATGCATACTGTATGTGTTTATAGATCTACATTTACAAAGATGATGGGCTACCATTGACTGCTGAGGAACTGGAGACCAAGCTCATTGTGTTGGTTACACAATACAACTTGTCTGATGCAATGATGAGCCCCTCTGATCTCCAAGATAAAACCGAATACTTGCTTCAGACTGAATTAACTTACACAGTACCACCCAGTGGCATTGTCTGCATAAGTGTACCAACCTCCCACGAAGCAAACCACCTAACTCTTGAGGTACTCGCCAGAAATATCCTCACCATCACGGTCACCAAGCACGGTTGTATTTCTCAGAATCATATTCTCATATTAATGTTCTGTGATGTGTTTTTTTTTGTACTAGTCTTATATTTTCTGTGTCTAAATGCAGAGAGCTTGTGTCTGTGTTTTTCTGTTTTTGCAAAGGCGCACTTTGGTGCGGTCATGACTTCCATGTCAGTGTGGGCAGAGGAACATTTTCAAAATGATTCCATCATTCAGGTCAGAGCTCATGAAACAAGTGTCACGGTAAGTAGTGCATCATTCGCAACACCCTCCCCACATTCAGTCAAGCAGCCATGGCCCCATTAGTGCAATGCTGTGATGATGCTTTTAGAAACGAATTGTCATTATTTCTCCAATTTTTTGGTTCTGTCTTGGCAAAAATCTAGCTTAAAGTTATTTTAGTTTTTGGAGCAAGACAATCTGTTTCATAAAGACTACCCTGCTATCACAAAGCAATTGCAAGATCTGGATTTTGTTCTGATAAATAATATTCTGCTATCATTCTCAACTCACGATACAGACAAAAGCTGGGGCTACCTGAGTGGGCATCGTAGTGGGTGGGGCTACCCGGGTAGTGGGTGGAGCTACCTCCTTAGTGGGTGGAGCTACCTGCGTAGTGGGTGGAACTACCTGGATAGTAGGTGAGGGTATCTAGATAGTGGGTGGATCTACCTGGGAAATGGACGGGGCTACCTGGATGGTGGGCGGGGATATCTGGGTAGTGGGTGAGGCTTCCTGAGTAGTGGACAGCGAGTAGATGGGTAGACGGGACTAATGAGCAGCTGACGAATGTGTTGAGTCTTTTTGAACCATATATGTCAGTTATAAGGCCGATTTTCATCTTTAATAGAGCATAATTAAACATTGGTTGCCTGTGAGACAAATGCGTGTACTGTATCTTGACTTAAAGCTTTCGTGACTGCAAGACTTCATATTCTTTGGGTCTTTCGGTAAAGTCACGTAGATAGGTTCAAAGAAAATAACAAAAATTATGACGTTTCGACCGCAACACGAGCAGTCGTCATCAGGAAAATAGGGTTAGCCTCTAAAGGCAAACTGTTTATAAAGGTTTAAAATAGGCGTAGCCCAAGTGTCAGCAGCATGGGCGGGGCAGCTGATGTTAATGTGAGTGGTGGGCAATGACGGCGCTGGTGGCGGGTTTTCACCAATTAAAGGGCTGCCAGGAAAAAATTATCATGTTAATGTTAGATCAAAGAGCAGCCTCCACGGCGAGCGCGCTGAGGTGGCTATGTTAATGTGAGAGATTAGCATGTTCATGTGAGAGATTAGCATGTTCATGTAAGATCGCAGAGCCACCGCCACGTCGAGGTCGGCGCGCGGAGGTGGCTGTGTTGCTGTGAGAAATTTAATCTGTTAATGTAAAATCAGAGAGCCGAAAATAACAACTAACATCGGAAGGTGGCAGGATGGGAACATCAAAGCCAGTTATGACTTAAACTGGTTGATAACGTCCTTCCAATGATTGCTAAGTTCGTACCCATCTTCTCTATTGAAGTTGTGTCTGTGTCGGTATATATGGATTGCTTCATGAACGAATCTTTGTTGATAGCCAGTGGGTTTGCAAAGCACCTTCGTCTTAGAGAAATCAATTTCTGGCTATCAACAAAGATTCGTTCATTAAGCCATCCATATATCCCCTGCTGATTTTGTACGTTTGCCCACTGACAAAGAAGTGATCAGTCTATAATTTTAATGGTATGTTTATTTGAACAGTGAGAGACAGAATAACGACAACAAAATACAGAAAAACGCATGTCAAAAGTGTTACCAATTGATTTGCATTTTAATGAGGGAAATAAGTATTTGAACCCTCTGCAAAACATGACTTAGTACTTTGTAGCAAAACCCTTGTTGGCAATCACAGAGGTCAGACGTTTCTTGTAGTTGGCCATCAGGTTTGCACACATCTCAGGAGGGATTTTGTCCCACTCCTCTTTGCAGATCTTCTCCAAGTCATTAAGGTTTCGAGGCTGACGTTTGGCAACTCGAACTTTCAGCTCCTTCCACAGATTTTTTATGGGATTAAGGTCTGGAGACTGGCTAGGCCACTCCAGGACCTTAATGTGCTTCTTCTTGAGCCACTCCTTTGTTGCCTTGGCCGTGTGTTTTGGGTCATTGTCATGCTGGAATACCCATCCACGACCCATTTTCAATGCCCTGGCTGAGGGAAGAAGTTTCTCACCCAAGATTTAACGGTACATGGCCCCGTCCATTGTCCCTTTGATGCGGTGAAGTTGTCCTGTCCCCTTAGCAGAAAAACACCCCCAAAGCATAATGTTTCCACCTCCATGTTTGACGGTGGGGATGGTGTTCTTTGGGTCATAGGCAGCATTCCTCCTCCTCCAAACACGGCGTGTTGAGTTGATGCCAAAGAGCTCCATTTTGGTCTCATCTGACCACAACACTTTCACCCAGTTGTCCTCTGAATCATTCTGATGTTCATTGGCAAACTTCAGACGGGCATGTATATGTGCTTTCTTGAGCAGGGGGACCTTGCGGGCGTTGCAGGATTTCAGTCCTTCATGGCGTAGTGTGTTACCAATTGTTTTCTTGGTGACTATGGTCCCAGCTGCCTTGAGATCATTGACAATATCCTCCCGTGTAGTTCTGGGCTGATTCCTCACCGTTCTCATGATCATTGCAACTCCACGAGGTGAGATCTTGCATGGAGCCCCAGGCTGAGGGAGATTGACAGTTCTTTTGTGTTTCTTCCATTTGCAAATAATCGCACCAACTGTTGTCACCTTCTCACCAAGCTGCTTGGCAATGGTCTTGTAGCCCATTACAGCCTTGTGTAGGTCTACAATCTTGTCCCTGACATCCTTGGAGAGCTCTTTGGTCTTGGCCATGGTGGAGAGTTTGGAATCTGATTGATTGATTGCTTCTGTGGACAGGTGTCTTTTATACAGGTAACAAGCTGAGATTAGGAGCACTGCCTTTAAGAGTGTGCTCCTAATCTCAGCTCGTTACCTGTATAAAAGACACCTGGGAGCCAGAAATCTTTCTGATTGAGAGGAGGTCAAATACTTATTTCCCTCATTAAAATGCAAATCAATTTATAACATTTTTGACATGCGTTTTTCTGGATTTTCTTGTTGTCATTCTGTCTCTCACTGTTCAAATAAACCTACCATTAAAATTGTCAGTGAGCAAACGTACAAAATCAGCAGGGGATCAAATACTTATTTCCCTCACTGTACAGACACAGTTTCAACCGAGAATATGGGGACAAACTTAGCAATCATTGGAAGGATGTCATCAACCAGTTTAAATCATAACTGGCTGTGATGTTCCCATCCTGCCACCTTCTGATGTTAGTTATTTTCGGCTCTTCGATTTTACATTAATAGGTTCAATTTCTCACACCAACACAGCCACCTCCGCGCGCCGACCTGTACGTGGCGGGGGCTCTGCGATCTTACATGAACATGCTAATCTCTCACATGAACATGCTAATCTCTCACATTAACATGCTAATCTCTCACATTAACATAGCCACTTCAGCGCGCTCGCCATGGAGGCTGCTCACCGATCTTACATTAATATGCTAATTTTTACCTGGCAGCCCTTTAATTGGTGAAAACCCACCACCAGCGCCGTCATTGCCCACCACTCACATTAACATCAGCTGCCCCGCCCATGCTGCTGACACTTGGGCTACGTCCATTTTAAACCTTTATAAACAGTTTGCCTTTAGAGGCTAACCTCCTTTTCCTGATAAAGACCACTTGTGTTGCGATCGAAACGTCGTAGTTTATGTTAATTTCTTTGAACCTATCTACACGACTTTACCGAAATACGCAAAGAATATGCGTGTACTGTACTTTAGTTTTAATGTAAGATATATTTTAATATCATTTTATTTTGTTTTGCATGAGGACCTGTTGGAATGTTTGCTGTGTATCCTTAGGTTGGAAGCCCTGTCACCTTTACAGTACAAACTACAGACAGCAGCATTTCTGAAGTGTCCTACCAGGTAACATTTTTCACATTTTTATATGACAGCTGTAATATCACCTCGTAGAACTTAACATTGGCACTGTGATACAGAATATAGATCACTTAGGTGCCAACAAAGTGTTGTTAATATCACCTCGTAGAAATTGACATTGGCACTGTGATACAGCATATAGATCACTTAGGGCCAACAAAGTGTTGTTTAGATGACCTACTGCTGTTGGATGCTTCAGTCCATAAACACTTAATTGTAGCTTATAAACACATACAGTGTACCAGTATGTTGAATTCGTGTTGGCTTTTGATATTTGTAACTATAACTTGTCTGTGATGGACATCATTAAAATGACAAGCCAATTATACCTAAAACATATCAACCAAAAGATAAAAAGGCATGATGCACGTGTCTATTTAAACCGATGTAAGCCTCTGTTTGGGGTAATTGAGGTCAAAAACTGTAAATTAAGTCAATTAAGCTTAAAATTGCCATGTGCTTGTGTGTGTACACCCATTGCCATCGTGGCATTGAGAGGCCTTTTAATGCAACAGTAAAATGACAAAGGGCTGCACTTTTTAAAATGTATTCATCTGGTGGAGAGGCGTTAATATGCCTTGTGAGATGTATGCCCCACATCACCGGATCTGTCATACCTAACCTTGACGATGGGCTCTTACCACCGTGACATGTCCCCTAAATATCTAGAGTCACCTTAGTGGATCTCTGGTGGATATGCTCCGTATGCGTTACTGGAGAAATGCTTAGGACTTAGCAGAGCAAGATATTCAGATATTCCAGAAATCCAACACGTAAAATTAATTATACCTATCAACGTTGAATATGGTAAGCTGATTGAAAAAAACAGTAGTCATCAACTCCTCTCAATGGTAGCAGTACATTTAAAATGTGTTGTGTTAATAAATTTAAAATTAATATTAAACCCGATGGTCTGAAACCCTGTGGGTTGTTGTAGACCCTTCTTTACATAGGTTTAAGATGCTTTGATCTCAGGGCTATTATCACTGCCTCATTACAATGCTAACAAGGAGCATATGTGGTAAGGAGCTCAGAGTCCCGTGCTTTTAGCTGCCACCACTGAGATGGTTGATTCATATACAAGCAGCCACGCAAGCTTTCTGGCTTTACCACCTGAATGTAAAATTAGTTGTTGCTCTGAACCTACATCAGCCATACGAAAGAAGAAGCCACCCATGCATGAGTTGATGGGTGGCTGCTTGATTCTCAAGTGTCGTGAGTCTGTGGTCTCTTTCCATCACCAATGACTGCTTTTGCGCTTAATTTTAAAAAGGCTGCATAAAAAATATTTCATTCTCTAATACATCGTGAGGTGCAATGTTTTCTGATTTTTCTGAAAGTATGCTTCATCTGACAGCACAATTGTAATTGTGGGGGGGGGGGGGGGGAATATCAACATATCTATAACAATGAACACGTGTTTTAAGAGCATCTCAGGGGTGACCAAGTAAAGAATTATGAAGAGAATGATGACGGAACTTTCCCACAGGTGGCGGCAATGGGCCATGTGTTGGAAGCTGGAGTTGCTCGCTTGCCACAATTCACGCTGACGCCCTCAGACGCCTGGGGACCAGCTACCTACGTCATAGCCTACTATGGAACAGACGATGGTGACATCATCCATGATGGTGTGGAGCTGGTGGTACAGGAGTTCGTGAATATGGTGAGGCCAAGCACTGCTGGAGAGTAAAGCTGGGATGAGCTGAATCATAATTCATATTCTTAGCTCTTTCGGTAAAGTCACGTTGAAGGGAAACAATAAAATAATAAAATTATAAAACAATAAAAATTCTCACGACGTTTCGACCATAACACAAACGGTCGTCATCAGGTGTGACTTTACCGAAAGAGCTAAGAATATGAATTACTGCAGTCACGAAAGCCTTAAATCAAAATTTGAATCATAATTGTAAACAACTACTTTTTCATGTGGTCGATTAGTAGGGCTGCATTAAAAATGGCTCCCAAATGGTGGAAAACCCCTGGCAAGCGAGAGCTCGCTTGGTGCGGCTAATGATACCGATGATGTCACTAAGCCCTATCCTTTACTTCCCATCCAGTAGCACACGTGGCTAAAGAGGCGATCTTTTTTTCTAGATTTTTTCTAGCTATTTCCATGCTATCCGATTAGTCGAGTAATTGAATTGATAATGGGTGATGTTATCTGTTAAATGGTTGGATAGCCCAGCTCTACTCGAGAAGGCTGTCTTGTGACATGCACAGGAGGTGAGTGAGTGCATACTGTGTATTTTCCCTGTGGTGGACACATTATTCTGTGACCCTTTCACAGGTCGAAGTGAAATGGAGCGCACAGTCAGCTGTGCCTGGTGAATACGTGAACCTGGAGGTCACGGCCACAGACTCCGAGTCATTTGTTGGTGTTGTAGCCATCCAAAACTATTACTATTGGCGAGGAATGAATATGATCTCTGATATCCTGGTAAGATTTCGACCCAACACGATTTATCAACCTTAATAAATTAACTTGCATGTCATACATCTGAGAAAAAATATGAGATTCACCAAAGGTGGTGCTCATTAATAATGAAGTGTGTAACAATGGATCAACTCATCAATTAAAATAATGTTTGTATGCTCATCATGCGTGCAGCATATTATACTTTTGGGAGCAATCATTTATAATGTATGTTCATTTTATTCAGATATGCCGAAGTTACATTTATAGAAGGATAATTGACACGTTGGTGGCGCTAACTTAATTTTAAATGAATTTCTTCCACAGTCTGCATCTGCTTTGGACTCGAATCCTAAATGGTGGCATGACAACATGTTCTTGGTAATACAACCCTCCCGCTGGCTTCTGTACTCTCTGAAATTATGCATTCATATTCTGGAGTGTTTATGACGTATTGACATAGTACAGTTTTACAGTTGTGTCGCCTAGACTAGCATTAATGAGATTCTGCATTTAGCAAAATCCATAACTAGTAATTACAAATAATTTATACAAGGTTATGAATGTGTTCCACAGAATGCTGGACTGAATTATGCTACCAATGGAAGAATAAAATACTGGGGTGAGTGAAAATATTAGTTTTAGGGTATGAGTGTTCACTCATTTGCATCTGAACTAAGATAATCAAATTCACTATAAATGGAATCCAATTATCTTTCAGGATGTCATGCCAATTTAGGCTTGTGGCTTGAATCCAGGTGTTATACGATTCAAGTGTAGATATGAGTATTGGCCTCAGCTGCCAAGTTACCTTTAAAAATGCATGCTTTTGTACCAGCTAGCTGTATTAAAATACTGAAGAGGAGCATCTCGTACTGACAAGTGAATTAATATTTAATAAATTAAACCTCATGAACTGGTACACAGTGCTTTTTCCTGTTGCACATTTAAATATTGTTTGATTTTTAAAGTTGAAATGAAACTTTAACAAGTTGAAAGATTGGAAGCAATACAATTGTCCAATTGATAGATTTCATCCTGGGTAAGATGGCAAACTGCATGCTTTGGTGCATCACCTAAAAAAACATTGAGAAAGGCAAGAGGATACCACCTCAAATCTCCTTTCCTAGGTATGGCTTGAGGACCTGAGTGTAGAGTATTGCATTGTGAGACAAGGAATAGGAGTGGGACCATAGAGTATGAAGTGAGCCTGAGCCATGGAACTTACCAATGGGCAGATAACGTGAGAGAGTAAAGCTTGTGTGAATCTATTTTGGTCAACTGCTAGTCGTTACAGGCAAGGACCCTCTGATTTGGATCCTAATTCGACACAGTAATAACATACAGAACTGAAAATAACGATTGCAGTATTTGTGGAGACTATAAATAATGTCTGCTTAATATATCTGTCTCCACATAAAAAAGTAAATCTTACACAACCCATCAGTAACACAAATATCTCTGTCTAAGAGACAGATCTGTTTGAGAGACAAATACATGAAGGAGACATTGCTTATGTATTTTGTTGTTTATTTTCTCCACAATTACACTGATAATTATTTTGAGAGATAGGAAAGATTGCATTGTGGTGATACTCAAAACTCAGGGCCCAGTTGGGAAACTGAGAATGTATTCACCATCCCCACGGCTTAGATGGTGTCTGCAGCATTCCCTTTTGCAAACACCTTGATAGCTGTGGTGTGCATTTCCAAACTATCATATTTCTTTTATACTTTCGACTGCTAATGACCATAAATTTGTGATGAGCTCAACTACTACAATTTAGCAAATATACAGTGAGCACGTTTGAACATACAATAATGTATATATGGTTGGTATTTTTTTTATTCTGTATAATACTCATTTTAACCCCTTCAGACAGCAAAAAGGCGAACAAAGATCACTCAAGAAAATTAGAAAATGATCGTTTGCGCAAATCCAACGGAGGGTTACCAGAGGCCTGGGTTTGGCAGCCTGGTGTAAAAGGGTACGTACGCATTTTCACGGCCTATCTAATCACATCATTGGACCTCCCTTGTCAGTATCAAAATAATAAGAATAGGTTTTACCCTTTCTGGCAATAAAACAGTTGTGTTAAGATGTTAAAACACTAAACTGAAACCTTTTGCAAGGAATCATGTCTGCATTAACCACATATACTTGTGGTGAACATGCAAACAAAAAACAGACTTGATTCCTTGTACAATAATCTTAATATTCTGTGAGATTCATAAAAACTGCCAACAAATATTACTGTAACTTGAATTTTATATTAATACCTTAATTACGGTAGATTTTTGTAAAAATTAAAATGTGTTTTTTTACGATTGGTCCACCAATTGTATCCCAAGTGGGCTATTCAAATCTACATGTATATCAAAGATTTTTAATCTGTTCCAAATACTACATATATATTGAGTCATATCTATGAATAATAAAAAAAATCCATCAACAGAAATATATTTTTTTCGTGTTGACATTATAGAGTCTGTAATGATCGATGCATAACATTGTATGTCTATCAAATAGGTCCTCAGAGATGGTCTCTATAAAACTAAGTCTCAATCGGTTTTATAAATAATTATTAGTATAATGCACTCATTTGTGATCAGGCTAAAATCATAAAACTCGCTATACACACTATCTTATGGGAACCCAGAATTTGATCTAGGTTCTCAGAAGTTCTGCCTCACTGTGCTTACACAAGCATAGCATTGTATCACCACATAATTAAATAATTCCTGACATATCAGGTCCCTTCAAACTTGGCAATAATGCACCAATATGCGTTACATGGAGACAAATTAATAGAATGGTGATTTAGTCTGATTTAAATGTAAAGGAAATAACGGGATTCATAGCTTGAAATAATTGCACCCTTTTGTTTTAAAGACCAAACAAGAAGACGACATTCACAGCCGTTGTTCCAAAAGTCAATTCCCGCTGGATGGGCATTGCCTTTTCCGTGTCTAAAACAAGTGGAGTCACTTACGCTTACACCAGAACTCAGGTACATTAATGTCTAAACAAGATTATTTGTATTGGTTAGTTCTACAGAATCTTTAAAACAAAACCACTCTTCTCAACCTTAAGTATTTCAGGGGTTTTAAATTAATTTTAAAAAACAGTGTTGTAGCTTACTACAGTAGATTTTGGAGGCAGTGGTAGAATCTTAAGGATATGGGCCATGTGTATTCCCTTCGAGGTATGATTTTCTGTCTGTTCCTGCTTCTCCTTGTGGCCAATCACGCTTTCACTCTCTCATCTTGCCCCCCTGCACTGGAACAAACTTCCCCTCCACATCCAGCGGTCACCTTCGATCACTGGTTTCCACTCCTCACTCTAAACTCACTTGTTTTCTCTCGCTCACCCCACGACCCCCTTCAATCTCCCCCTTATAACCACCACCGTTACTTTTCCCTCTTCATATTCACATGATACGGCTAACACTCATTCCCCTTCATTCCATCCATTCATCATCATTTACTGTCATAAATGTTGCTTTAACCGAATTCATGCATTGCAGATTCGTCACCCATTGCTTCCTCTCATCCATTTCATTCACCTCATCTTCACCATTACATTAATACGTTGCACCGCTGTTAATTCCCTATAAAGCGCCTTGGTTAAGGCGCCATGTATGATAAGATTGTAGTCTACCAACAGCATTCTCAGGTGACAGATTTAGCAGGACCACAAATAGGAAAAAGCAGTCATCGGGTGAATTGAAGCGACGTGGGAGGGTTTCAAATGTCGATGAGTTGAAGATCATACATCTGATTTAAGATGATTAAATGTATATATAGATGTCTATATGATGCTGGACGCTTGTGTTGCGCCCGAAACGTCGTGATTTGTTTTATTTTCTACCTACGTGACTTTACCGAAAGAACCAAAGAGTATGGATTCCTGCAGTCACGAAAGCTTCAAATCAAGATTTAAGTACTATATATTTTCAACAATTGATGATTTTTTTTAAATAGTGCATGTTACTTTTAATACGTACATTTGTTGTTAACACCACCAATGTTTCTTATCGCAGTTTGAAGTGTCTTCTCCATTGCATGTGGACATAAATGTGCCCAATGTTGCCATTCTTGATGAAGAGTTCATTGTGGAGGTGAAAGTCTTCAACAAGCAACCAAAGATTATCGAGGTAACACTGAGGCACCTGTGATATTCCAAACTTGGTGGGCAGTTTAATCTGAAATCTACTAATTCTGAATAAAATGTTTTTATTTCAGTCTAAAATAAAATTCGATTTGATTTGTTGAGGTGTTTTTGTTTGTGAATTGTTTTCTAGGTCCTGGCAACGTTGCATGCCAGTGAGACTCACTTCAAAGTTCTCTATCAAACCGAAGGGAAGTCTCCGTACAAACGTCATCTGAACGTGCCCAATAAGGAGTCTGGCACTGTGTCTTTCCCCGTGTCTCTCCTGGTTGCCGGTGAATTCTGTTTCACCGTGGTGGTGTCATACAATAATATCAATTACACTGTGGTGGGATGCACCTTGGGGAAGGTAAGTCTGTGCCCCTTCTCACACACTTCTGAGACGTTACCACGTGCGTTGTTGCTGGGATTGTGCCTGCATTTTTTGCGAATCAGCTGTTAGGGATGACTGCTGAAATGAGGGCTCCATCTAAAGATACAGTGTAATGATTTACTTACATTAACCACTACAAATGTGGTGGAATAATGTTTAACTTTGTATCCACACTTAGCATTAACATTTATTCAAGCTTCAACTGAGCTTAATTGGATGATTAGATGTATGAAAGAGGCGGACAAACATCTGCTGCTCTAAATGGAATGTCCCAAGCGGAGCCAGATTAATGGTTGTATGGTCCTTTGTATAGGGACGCAGTAATGCAATTCTTGCAATGTTTGATTGTTGTGGACCTGTATAAACATTTCTTCATTACAAGGGCAGATATTTATCATGCAGTGATTCACCCCATCCATGATTAGATTTATTTTCATGATTCGTTTCAAGAATTATTTTGTGCTCAACTTTATAATCTCATTTCATTGTTTCGCATTTGTACCTGTCCCATTTAATCTCGTAACCTAATACCCATTTTTGCATATAATGTGCATATTGCCTTTATCAACTGATTATTTTACACATGTTTAGATGCATACTCTTTTGTTCTTTCGGTAAGGTCACGTAGGTATAAAAATAAAATAAGATTCCTGCAGTCACGAAAGCTTCAAATCAAGAATGTTTAGGTGCGTAGACTAAAATGAATTTTAGACTAAAAATTTTAGACTAAAATTCATTCTTATGATGATTTTCTTGTATTGCGAGTAAATACCTTTCTAGGCCCACAACACTTGCAACACCCTCCATTGTAGTCAATCTGGTACCATCACACCAGGTCACAGTATGGAGGTAAACTGCGTATTATTGCAGCTTGAGATAGCAAACCTTAAGTTCACGCATGGTGTTGATTTGTATTATTTTATTGCTGCTATGATATCAATGATACATATTAACATTTAAGATCCACAATAATAGTTTTTCTGAGACCATAACATCATGCTTACCCTGCATTTTTTGTTATAATTTATTTCCTGACCAAATATTAATGACATAACGAACTAAACACTACGTGTTATGAAGTTAATTAACTTTAATGTTTAGTTAATTTGGGCCACGGAGATTTTATGATGTCATAATTTCTTAGTGTATTTAATTATATAATTATTTCGAGTGCAACTGAGAGAATGTGCATTATTAACGTTATAGATTGTGAAGGTAAAAATGATTAGAAGTCTTGCTACAGTCTTACATGTTGAATGAAATGCATTTGAATCACTGTTAAGCAATATTTTTATTTGTACTAAAGCACAAGAAGAGAATACAAATTTCAATAAGTTATTGCAAAGTTATATTGCACTGATATCACACTTTTTACTAGAATTGTAAATGTTATGGGTTTACTATCCAACACACCAGTGTGCTGAACTAGTAACGAATTGGCATGTTTTGTTTACGTGATAAACATTACTCAATGGCCGTGTCGGGTGGTGGTGGGTTTAACGACACATATATACGCAATCTAACCCACAAACCTCTATTATGGATGATATCACGATAATTGTCATGCTGTGAAATTTCATGTGTCATGTCATATGTCGTAAAGAGATTATATTGGGGCAACTCGAATATTCGTGTGCTGCTGTGGAGAAAAGGTTTGATACGTTAATGTGTTTGTTTTGTGAATGATAATTGCAATTAGCTTGTGTGTGGATATTCTCTCTTCTACCCAATATAGCATTCAGGTTTTCCGCAATCTTACTCAGAAAGCGCCATACTCAAATTGTCATCAGACGAGGTCACAAAAACGTTCACTTTCAACTTCCCATCCAACGTCGTCAAGGGAAGCAGTTCAGCTTCCTTTTACATCTACGGTATCTGTTTTATTTGCTTCTCACCTTCTCCCACACAGCATTCCAGTTAATGACATGGAGCCCATTAGTGGTGCTTATGACCTAGCTGCCTTAAAACCATTGCTAGAATAAGTATCTTATGACACTGACTTTCTCATACATCATACACTGACTCACTCACACATCATGCACTGACTCGCTCATCATGCGCTTACTCACTCACACATCATACACTCGCACAACCACTGACCCATTCACTCATCATACACAGGTTCACTCATCGTGCGCTGACTCACACATCATACACTCACTCACACTGCCGCTGACTCGCTCACACATCATACACTGACTCACTCATCATGCGCTGACTAACACATCGTGCGCTGACTCACACATCATACACTCACTCAAGCTAATACTGACTCACTCATCATACGCTGACTCGCACATCATACACTCACTCACGCTGCTGCTGATTCACTTACACATCATACACTGGGAGTGTTGTGCTATGTATATCGTTTATTTTAAAATTTTAAATCACAGTTCCTATGATTACTGTTGTTACATTGTTTTTGTAGCTTTATTTTGGTAATTCGAAAACATATGGTTAATCTGAATTGTCTTATGGTTGTTGTTTTTGGCTTGCACCACATTGTGATTTTTGCACACAGCGTTTTAATGAGTTTTTTTTGTGTGGAATATTTGCTGGTTGAATTCCAGGATGTTTATGTTGCGCGTCGTTGCTTTGGGATGTTCTCTATTCATATTTTGTTTGTTGCGGTTGCACCCAACTTAAGAGCCGCATGGCTCACAGGGCTATATCTAATAAATGAAAATGAAACTTGAAACTTGAATGTTACAGATAGATGCATCTAATGACTGATGCAGCTTAAGGTTGAACTCCATTTATAGCACGGCCAAGTAAATACATGAATAAGAAAAGTAATAAGTAAACACAGCCTTCATATACCACTACACTTAAGACAATTGGTAGCTTCAGGAACTCATAAAATACCAGCTACATTGATAACCATGAAGGTATAGAATACTAATACATTTACCTCTGTGCACTAAGCTTACAGCTACACGTGCAAAACTAAACAACAATGCTGCTAAATATATATATAAACAATATAGGTTCCTATTTCGATTTAAAGCTTTCGTGACTGCAAGGATTCATCTTCTTTGGTTCTTTCGGTAAAGTCACGTAGAATGAGAATAAAATAATAAATTGATAAAATAAAATAACGCAATAATATTCTCACGACGTTTCGGCCACAACACAACCGGCCTTCATCAGGTGAAGGGACGAGACTGTCTGGAGGACAGCGCTGGAGTGAAAAAGCCATGCTCAGATCACGACCTTTAAGCTGTGTGAGAAGAAACAAAGTGCCTTGACAAAGGACGTAGCATATAATTTAGCATTGAAATGGCTGAGTGATTAGCTTGTGACTGGTCACAGAAAAGGCTATGTTAAAGTTAAAGCATACACATCCGCAAAGGCACCCTTTGACAAAGGAATTAGCATAGAATTTAGCATTGAAATAGCTAAGTTAAAGTATACACATCCGCAGAGGCACCCCTTGACAAAGGAATTAGCATAGAATTTAGCATTGAAATAGCTGAGTGATTAGCTTGTAACTGGTCACAGAAATAGCTATGTTAAAGTCAGAGCATATACATTCACAGAGGCACCTAGTACAAATCAAACAGGAGAATTTAGCATTGAAATAACTAGGCGAATTTAGCATTGAAATAACTGAGTGATTAGCTTGTGACTGGTCACAGAAATGGCTATGTTGAAGTCAAGGCCTACACATCTGAGCTATTCACAGTAACTGGGTATACAATACAATATATAATGAATACTACATAGTGAACCAATAAAAAACTAAAATATAAATTACCTCAATGTTATCAATAAACTCTATATTCTCCAATCAGCTAAGCTACCAACAATAAGTCGTTATATATCACAATGCTATATGGCGAAAAAAAAGCAGAGAAGCATTTATTTCCAACTAGCATTGCCCGAGCATTTGTATGGGACTTAATTGTGCCGTGCCCTTGCCTGAGCGTGTTGCATAAGGATATGGCATTAAGTGCAATGACGTCATCACAGCGTCAATCAACTCTCTGGGGTGGCATCACTGTGTGGAAGCCACATGCATGCCTTAAGCCTTAAGGAACATAGCCATGTGGTAGGGTTTTAAATATAAACCATTGAAAACCAAACCTCCGGATGATTCTACTAATAAAAGGCGAGTTACTCTTCGGGAAGATTATGCCTCCTATTGCTTTGTATCGGACATTTTGCAAAATGTCAAGGGAAAAATGTTGTGACGGACGACACTTGGGCATTATACTGTGTAGGTAGATTGAGCAAAATAAATCAGGAATAATAAATCACCAAGCAGACAACATCAGTCTCAGCCAGCAAGATTCATTCCTCAAAGCTTCTTGGAATTGGACAGTATCCTCACATATGCATGTGTGAAATGTGCAGGAGATATCATTGGGCCCTCTCTCACTGGACTCGATCAGCTCCTGCAAATGCCATATGGCTGTGGGGAACAGAACATGATCAACTTTGCACCAGGCATCTACATCCGGAGATATATGGAAGTTACCCTACAGATTACTCCGGAGATTATTGAAAGGTCTTTGACTTATATGACATCAGGTAAGTTTACACACTTTTTTGCAGCTGACAAAAATGCATTTTCGGTCATTCCATGCCAAATGAATAATGCATATACTCGATCAAACCCAATTTCAATGACATTTGGGGCAGAAATCTGTATTTGGAAAAGAAGGCAACCAAAACTGTTTACGTAAATCCAACCTCCCATTACTCAGATATAGGTAATGGAAGTTGACCTGACATCTTGACTTAGTATGTGTGTATATGTTGAACTTCTTTTGCACCGTACGTAGCCAACCATGCTAATTGGAGGTGCAGGACAACAAACTAAACACACAAAGCACTTTGTGACCACCCAGGTGTTGTCACTTGCCTCATAGTCGATTTAAAAAGGTGAGACAGTTGTAATTTTAAATGTCTTGGAAGATATCTATGGTTTCAACTTATGCATAAAAATGTGAAAACGAGGACAAAACCGTTTGGTAAGTGCTGTTGTAGTTAGTTGTAGTTAGTGGTGAGATCTCTGGAATCAGTCCGAATCATCCCTTCCCACCTGAATGTGAGGAAAATGGTTGTAACTCTAAAAGTATTGGAGTGCACACTTCAAACTTTTCAGGGATTTTTCCCAGGTATGCGTCACGATAGGTTACATTACAAATAACCGAGGTTACACAAAAGTGAATAATGCCTAGGTCATATATACGCCAGACTTGCCTCTCTTTGCCAACTACAAGGGAAGTTACAATACGAACAAGGTTGCCAAGTGATCTTGTTGGGTCAAACTTCGATGACATATGTCTGGGGATTAAGCAAATTATTTAGTAAAAGTGGTGCAGAAGCACACGTAACAAACAAAAACTCACACATTTACCAATGACACTGGGCTTAAAAGACGAAAATATTTAATCGGTGACATTTTTGGCAATGGCCCTTCGTAACATATAGCAAGCAAGTTTCAAAATCAGTTAATTGATTTAACCATATTTTTGATTGACTAGAATTTTGGTGGCCCATGACCACCTTGATCTGGCTCCTGTGTAGGGCTTCTCGGCGCTTTGCGCCTCACCCGTCGCCCCCACTGATGTCCTCTCCCCCCCCCCCCCCCATGTGTGCAGATACTACTGACTTGTATGTAGGGTGTGTCGGCATATTTCCCTACAAAAGACATTCCTTTTTTTGGAGGGGGAGGGAGTGAAAAACATTCTTGAGGGGGACAGGGGTCGACAATTTTTGGAACCCTGTTTGATCAAATTTTACCCCCACATCTGGCATCTGGGGTGGGGGGGGGGTTCCACCTTCTATAACATTTTGATTCAGGTCTTCTGAATGGCTCTTACAATTTAGTTGACGGACAAACAGAATGCCGGGCTTTTATGATAGATGTAGAATAGAATGACCATTCTTTATTTTTTGTTACATCTAACCTATAAATGCACAACGTGAGGTCATGCGTGGAAATATCCGTATCAAACAGTATCTGATATTGATTATTTGGCATATGAAATAAATGTATTGGAGTAAAATGTATCATTTATAACAGCCCTGTATTCCGATGTCCAAAATGCATTTCACATTGTTATTTCACTGAATGAAGAGCTGTAAATGTTTCAACACTGACTCAAAGAGTATGGTTTTTCTCCACTTGAATGTAAAATGCATTGTATTAACATAAATGTATGTAAATCATACCAGACTACATCACTCATGGTATCATTATGTGCACAGGCTACCAGCAAGAGCTCCACTACAGGAGAGACGATGGTTCCTTCAGTGCTTTTGGAAATTCGGATCAACAAGGCAGTACATGGTAAAGCTTTGCCACAATCATGCGTCTGTGACTGATAATGAGTGCATGGTATGGTAATCAGTGCATGGCTTGTTTCGAGTAGTGCGTTTTCAGTTATCTGTCAATTTCACAAATGATAATGGGAGTATAATAAACCAAAATTGTAGAGTCCCAGTAAAGTTGTATATACACTACAGTACTGTCAAAAGCAAGGGTTGTGAAATCGGAGTGTCTGGATCTACACAAGTCAACAGTGGTCATTTTGGGGTCTGGGAAGAAATCCGTATTCAAATAAGTGAAGGCAGCTGGTGATGGCTTCAACGGCATGGCTGTGATGACCTCCTGACCTTGAGAAATATGTCAGATATTAAGACAATCGGAAATTGACTGACGCAGATCTGATGCTTTTTTAAGATCTACTGGATCTAGATTTATGGATCCTTATCCCTAAATCCTTTAAAATGTTATTTGATCGAGACCATTAAACTACTCTCTGTATGTGGGAGAGAGCAGGGAGGTGTTGGGGCAGCAGAAGGCTATTTATAAATACCGTGTCCGCAGATTATGAGCCGCCCCAGAAAGTAAAATGATCCCTAGATGTTGTGGTCATTTTCAAATACATGTATACAGGCTTTGTGTTAATATTCGTTTGTTGTGTCATCAAACATAATTGCCCTTAAGGCATTGACAAGATTTAAAAGTTAACATTTTTTATTGTAATCCTTTTTATTGTAATTACTTTTAATAATATATTAGTTTTTTACTTGTCCGTTCTTAAATATATGTCATTGTTCGTTGCTTTAGTGATATGTTCAGAAATGCCTAATGAGCTTGACACAACATACCGTATTCCTAAGATTATAAGACGCTCCCGTATGGAGTTAGTATATTCTCCCCCTGTTCTGCCTGGGTTTCCTCCAGGTTCTGTGGTTTCCTCCCATAGTTAAACAAAACAATATATACAGCGCAACCGGTGTTGGCCAAATAATATCCCTATGCTGAAACGTTACCTGCAAATTACTCTATCGAGATGACAGCAACATCGTCCCCTACTGCGAAAATGTGGTAGGATCCTCCTGAAAAATCATTGAGACTCAGGAATTTCCTGGGTAAACAAGTGGAAAAGTCGAGGCCACGAAATGAGTTATCTCTGTGCATTTGGTATGCTGTGCTGTGTGTGCACATTGTCTGACGCGTTCGTCGTGCATATGTGTCGAGCTCTGTGCTTTTTGTGTCCTGCTGCGTTCCCAGGTTGACGGCCTTCGTGTTGAGGACGCTCCTGCAGGCACAGCGTTACATCACCGTGGATGAGCACGTGATCTCCGATGCACGCAATTTCCTTTTGAACAACTTATTGCCCACAGGGCAGTTTGAGGAGCGTGGCTACGTTATTCACAAGGAGCTGCAGGGTGGCTCAGCGAGCCACATCAGCTTGACAGCCTACACTCTGCTCGCCTTCCTCGAGGACGCCACGGTAGGCAGACTATAAACCCAGAACGGTTTTGGCCAAACACCCAAAGTGGATTTATGTACACATGTATGTATGTTGAACTTCTTTTGCATCGTACGTAGTCAAACCGTGCTAATCGGGGGTGCGGGGGAAGGATAACAAACTAAACACAAAAGGCATTATACTCTTTGGTTCTATTGGGTAAAGTCACGTAGGTAAAAAATAAAATGACAAAAATCACGACGTTTCGGCGACAACACAAGCGGCCTTCATCAGGTGAAGGGACGAGACTGTCCGGAGGACAGCGCTGGAGTGAAAAAAGCCACGCTCAGATCACGACCTTTAAGCTGTGTGAGAAGAAACAAAGCGCCTTGACAAAGGAATTAGCATATAATTTAGCATTGAAATGGCTGAGTGATTAGCTTGTGACTGGTCACAGAAATGGCTATGTTAAAGTTAAAGCATACACATCCGCGAAGGCACCCCTTGACAAAGGAATTAGCATAGAATTTAGCATTGAAATAGCTAAGTTAAAGTCACTCAGCCATTTCAATGCTAATCACTCAGCCATTTCAATGCTAAATTATATGCTAATTCCTTTGTCAAGGCGCTTTGTTTCTTCTCACACAGCTTAAAGTTCGTGATCTGAGCGTGGCTTTTTTCACTCCAACGCTGTCCTCCGGACAGTCTCGTCCCTTCACCTGATGAAGGCCGCTTGTGTTGTGGCCGAAACGTCGTGATTTTTGTTATTTTATTTTTTACCTATGTGACTTTACCCAATAGAACCAAAGAGTATGGATCCTTGCAGTCACGAAAGCTTTAAATCTAGAACAAAAGGCATTTCTAAGGAAAGTAGTTTTCAATTTAGAATGCTGAATATGGGATTGATTCATAGATTCTTTTTACATACGTTTACACAATGTGATCACTTGTTCAAATAAAAACACGAATACATTGTACATATGGATGTTGAACTTCTTTCGCACCGTACATAGCCAACCGTGTTAATCGAAGGTGCATTGTCTGAAATTCAGTGTCTCAAAAATGGAGTGTCTCAAATTGAGTGAGACACTGCTGGCATTAAGAGCATGACTGTATATACACAAATATAGAGTTGCACTCAGACGGACACTGATATATAGGTACAGGTATGAAGTGAAGAATGATAATCAGTCAAAACAGTGACATACGGAGACTGACAGACGCGCCATCGACAAACTCACTCTCAGTTTTCTGATAAAAAAAAAAACCTATTGTGATCATTCTGCTGTGTGGACTTTACAGACTGACGTTTTACCAATCTCATCTGCTGTGCACTTCCTGGAGGCCAACGTGAGTGGGAGTGGTTTGACGGCCAGCCTGCCTTTGGCGCTCACTACCTATGCCCTCTCCCTTGCCAACAGCAGTTTGGCTAGCACTGCCCTGGACCTGCTCAATGTTCATAAAAAAATTACAGGTGAGGCACCAGGGATGCTTTTGTAGTGTAATTTAAATGAGTTTGCAGTAGCATTAAGGTGATATGAAAATGTATTCACGAATGTGTTACGCTAGAGGCTAGGTTTTGTTTATCCTTTTACAACATCTGCTTAATGTTATTAAAGTAAAAAAGCTATTGACCTTCTCAGATGAACTGTTGATGGGTGGTCTGTGCAACAATCTGATAGATACCTGTTGATTTGTTTCAGATGATGGACTGATATACTGGTCAGATTCAGCATCAGGTCAACCTTCCTATTACTGGCAACCAACAGCAATCACCATCGAAACCACAGCTTATGCCCTCCTGGCTCATCTGCGTCTGGGAAAGATCACAGAGGCAATTCCCATCATGAATTGGTTGAGTCAGCAAAGGAACCACCTGGGAGGATATGCATCCACACAGGTAACAGATCTGTCGTGAGAAATGTCCCTTCACCGCTATCACTGAAAGGGACTTGTAAGTAAGCATGCATGTCAATGCACTGCTGAATGAGGGCCTCCCACAGTGTGCGAGTCATGAGGGTTATTATGGTTGCCCATGACTAGGGGTCAGCATGCGGCTCTTTAAGGACTGCTTTGTGACCTTATTGACATTACATTGTGGCTCTTAAAATATTGAGTTTTTTACTAAATTCGAAAAAATGGTTCTTTAGTTATTTTGATTGTCGACCCCTGCCCATGACCAATCACCCAGAATGCACACGGTCTCATCAGAAGCGAAGCAGAGTTGAGCTAGCCATAATGCTTGGATAGGTGACCATCATGTATAAAATACAAATGTATTCGGAGTTGTGGGCAACAGAGAGCCGTGCAGCAAAGTACATTGTTGTTCTCTACTACATCCACTTTCACCATCTGTAACTGACCAGCGTGGTGAAGTATGGTCAAATATATATCGTCTCGCAAAGCTGTGGGGAGGCCCTTTTCAACTTGTCATGCATGGTGGTCACACCTTGCAGGCTAAAACTCTGCTTAACTTCCTACATCTAATGAGATTGGACAGGTGTTTTTATCTTAGGTACCTAAAGTAATATGCATTAATACAATTAAAATAACTTACCTATGGGCTACTACAGAGGTATAGATTCCAGGGCTGAAACAAGTATTTGTTTTGATTTGATTCAAAGAAGTGTGATATATGTGTTAATTAATAATACATGAAGATTAGGTGATTGTGATCTTAAAGTTGGTCCAGGACTGGATTGGGAGCCAGTGGAGGTATTGCGTATCAGTGTAATATTTAGTCATGAATATTCAAATCATTTACAAAATGCTAAGTCGCAGTTTTGTAGATTTATTTTCAATTACTTGTAAAGTTAATGTGTCAAAAGAGACACTTTATATCGATCTAAAATGTAAGATTTGTGTTGCACATTGAAACCCAGGCTGATATATCAACAATTCACTTATTGTATTGTTGTTGATTTGAAGCTTTCGTGACTGCAGGAATCCATACTCTTTGGTTCTTTCATTAAAGTCACGTAGGTAGAAAAAATAATAGATCACGAAGTTTCGATCGTGACGCAAGCATTCTTTTTACTTGAATAATTGCATGCTTTTACAAGATTGCAGCATATGTTTTGTTTATATATTTAAATGTTACAGCCAAGGATAATTTGTTCACATTTGAATTGATGTGCATGACAGCGATGACGATTTTGGGTTTCAGGACACAATTGTGGCGCTGCAGGCTCTGTCCGAGTACTCCATCCATTCGTTCGGAACTTTACAAGGGAAAGCGAAAATCTCCACATCAGAACATAGCGTCGAAGTACAGCTATCCGGCATGAATGCCTCGGACAAACACGTCGAAAAGGTGCTGCACTCCGGAAAGCCCGGCAAGCCCGGCATCCTCAGTGCATTGTTTTGCTGGGAAATCATTTGGCCTGGCATTCCTGGAACATCTTTGTTATACGATTCAGGACAGGGCATCGACACTTCAAGATAATTGGTCCTCGTTTATCTTAGCCCCCCTGTGTAGCTACACCGGTGTTCTTCACTAAATTTCAGAGGGGGGGGGGGCACTTTCGCCGATAAGACTTCATCAGTCCGAGGGCCGCCACACATTTGAAACCATTGGGGTTCGACAGTACGATTATGGGGCGGTGTTTTCACATTTGTGTATTGTTGGGGGCCACACATCAAGGGCTGCACTCAAGGTCACCAAGGGCGTCCAGTGGCCCGCGGGCCTTGCAGTGATGAACACTGCTCTACGAATCGCTCCCTTGCCCACTGGATTTGTTCAAGTCCTTTCGCCTTTTTTCTCAGGACTAGTCTCGTGATTATCTCCAAACGTGTGATCTTTTCCCCCCTTGCCTCTAATATTTATTGATTTATTTATAAATGGCATTTGTCACTGGAGAGTGACGATTTTGAAAGATATTTGAGGTAGACGTCCTATCTACTGTTCTAGTAGATCTGGGCCCAAAGCATATTGCACACAGTGACGTGCAATATACTATTCTCGTTTTTTTAGCTACATGCCAGCAATGATATGCGCACCGTGTTTTATCCACTTTTACGATTTTACTTACTCCAAGTCTGCAACACACTGGTGATGTTAGTTTATCTACGTTTTGAACTGCTCACACAGTAGAATTCAGATGATCTCTTACTTCACATCCTGTTGTCCATGAGACCAAAGGGATCTACGATTATTCTGGTTATCCACAGAGCTGCCAGGACTTGAAGAAATATTTAAAGCTGATTTATTAATCTTAACATTGACATAAATCTTGATAAAGTATCAGCAAGGCAGTGAGGATACCTGTGTGGCATAATGATTGACGGTAAAACCTTTTGAAGCCAAGTAAAACATTTTGAAGCCAATTAGCCAGGCTAATTGAACGAACACTGACTTAGTTAATAATGGATTCTACCTCTCTGTTGTTGACGAATGTGAGGCTTTTATTTTATTTATTAACATTGCAAGTTTATGTGGGTTGTCTGTACCTGATGCGGCAAAGACATTGCCAGGAATAAATGTCCTTATTCCTGACTAGATGTCCCACTCTGTTGCTGCTGTACTTCAGTTTAGTAACAATATGCATAGCTCTTCAGAATATCCACGAATCTTAAGTATAATTTTAAGATGTATGCCTTTTTTATTCCAACAGATTTCTACTTCCTCAAACATAAATGTGAAGTTGTCTGCGATTGGGAATGGGACCATTATTGGCCAGGTACGGTTTTTATATAATTTACTGCTTAAAGCAGTTTACTTTTCCTTGAAATATCAAATATATCAGAGCTCTACGACACATTCGGCCACTTTCGAGTCGTGGCATAGCCAACATGGTGGCGTGTAGCAGAGTATCAACAAGGTTTGATTATTGCAGCTCACTACTCTACGGGACATCTGACAAAAGCATTTGCAAGCTACAGCGTGTACAAAATTCTTTGGCATGTGTCATTACGGATACTGCGAGGTCCGACCACGTCCGTCCAGTGCTCGCTGAGTTGCATTGGCTTCCAGTTACTGAACGAATACATTAAGGTTGCACTCATGATACACAAAGTGTTTGCCACAAATGAACCACAACACCTTGCTGATCTCATCAAGGAGCATAAACCATCACGCAATCTACGGTCATCCTCGCAGCGGCTTTTGGCTGGCCATCGAACAAAGACGGTCAGTGCATCGCGCGCTTTCAGATGTGCTTTTGTGGCCATCTGGAATGCTCTTCCGATTGAGGAAACGACTAGATTCAGTGATCAAGCCATTCAATTGATTTGTCTCAGAGTTGGTGAAATCTGTACTCGTGCAGAGCAGAGATGAACAGAAGCACACATAGATCAGGAAACACAGAAACAGATGGATGCCCACGATAAAAAAATATGCCGACACAGATACAAACCCGTGAACAGAAAGACAAAGACTGATAGACGCATTGGCTATCAGAGGGGCAGACAAGGACATCAGTATTAGCATAGCGATTGCAAGCTCAAGTCTGATTGTGACATGGGCAAAGAAACAAGAGACGTACAGAGCGAGCACAATTGTGGAAATATTCAAGAAATAATTAAAAACATCGGGGCAGACAAATTTCAAAAACAAACATGCTGCAATATATTTTGGACACAACGATACAAACGTGAAAACTTGTTGTCTTCCATTCTTCATAAGTGTCAGAATGTGTTTTTTCTCCACGTTTATATGCACGGTATTTAACGCTCACACGCGTGATTTGGATTGTCTGTGCCTCCACAGCTGAATGTTTTCTACAATGTGCACGACGCACCGGGACTTCGCAGAGCCCGATCAGCGGCCCCCGAATATGTGCTGGCGTTGGACTTCAACGATAACAGTGCCAATGGTGCCATTGGAGAGAAGGTGTATCTGACGGCATGTGCAAAGTACGTTGCGGGCACAGCCCACGAGGCCGAGGAGCCTTTCCATACACTGAATAATGCTTTCTTCGTTCTCAAATTTTAAAATGTTCATTATGCCTTCTTATCTTAACGGAATTTATATAGCGCCTTAACTAAGGTGCTTTACAAATAATTAATAACGGTACAACGACGTATTAATGTAATGGGGAAGATGAGTTTTTCTTGCTGTGGTTGTCCGACCTGATGACGATTGCTTGTGTTGCGATCAAAACGTCGTGATCTATTATTTTTCTACCTATGTGACTTTACCGAAAGAACCAAAGAGTAAAGTGAAAGAAATCTATGAGAGGAAGCAATGGGGCAAATCTGTGATGTGTGAATTCGGTAAAAGCTAAATTGATGACAGTAAATGATGAATGAAATGAATGAATGGGGAATGAGTGACAGCCATATGATACAGTGACAGAATATGCGGGTGATGTTTCTACACAAGACAATAATGCAAGGCATTGGGCCCAAGCCATGTGCTTGCCCATCATTGTGTGGATTGCCGAACGGCGCGAGCTCGCACGGTGCACATTAAACAGGCAAAAACGTCAGCGGCGTAGCGTGCTTTGGAATGGGCCTTGGTGCAAGGGATGCAAATGGAACGCCTTGTCCAATTCCTGTCATCTTTCTTAGCACGGCACCTTGGACCCCTTCGGCCTGTGGTCCCCGCTGTAATTACGGCGCAGCTTCCTGCGAACGCTCGATAGCCGCGACCACTGCCCAGCAACGTCTTTCGTGCCCATCTCTTGTCGCTACAGGTGGATGGGCGAGGGCCCCTCCGGCATGGTTCTCATGGAGGTGAACCTGCTCAGTGGCTTTCACGTGGCTGACAATCTGTTCACCCTCAACGAAATCCTCAAACTGGTGGAGGTCTCACCGGGAAAGGTCTACCTCTACTTTGTGAACGTACGTGATGTTTTCTTCGCACGTTCCTATCGTTTGTGAAGTGTCCACCTTGACTGCATTTAATCTTGGAATCCGTGGTGTTTGGATGTGAGATACATTTTCAAGATATACTTTTGTTCACGTGTTTCTCATTTTCATTTCAGCTAAATGACAGTGCAACATGTGTAGAAATAACACAATACCGAGTGTCTTCAGTTGCAAAAGCTAAGGAAGGATTGGTTGCTATTAGTGACTACTATGAACCAAGTAAGTACATTATTTTGGTGCAGTAAAATTACATTATTTGTTCATGGTAGTTAAGCAGATAAAAAAAACACTTTCAGTGAAAACACAAGATTTATTTCCTCTCAAATCCCAACATACATATAAAGCGTAGAAACCTGCCGTGAAATATTTGCCGGTCCGTCATTTGCATTGAGCACATGCAAAAAAACGCACCACACATCCTAACGTAGTCGAAGTCAAGAGGCGCTTTGTTAATGGAAGTGCACGGACATCAACAAGGTCTGCGTGAATTGTCGCTGTGGCCACATTTATGTGTTCGTTTGTTTCTCAACACGCTTGTCCTGGTGAGGGTTGCGCCGGCAGCGTGTTGAGTAGGGCGGTCCAGACCTCCCTTTCCCTGGCGACAGACCCTAGCTCTTCCTGGGGACTTCTCAGGCGTTCCCAGGCCAGCCAAGCGACATTTGCACAATCATCTGCAAATGGATATATGCAGCCCTTGTATCAATCTACTGCTGGATGAAGACCTCCCCGCAATGTGCGGGTCATGGGGGTTACTTGATCATGCCTGGCCACGCTTGCCATTGTGGGTTTGTGAAGGCAGGGACCACAGATGCAGGGAGCATAGAATCACATGCTGACCACGATGTGACACAGTGCCACAACTGTCTGACAACCTTGTATGAGTGATGGTCACCATGCAAGCACCATGCAAGATTAACGGAGCTGAGCTTTCGCGATTCTGATGAAGATAGACATTCTGGACGATTTGCTCACAGTCTGCATCTGTGAGCTACAACAAGAGCCACGTTTTGAAATACTTTTGGAACCATGTTATTTCCCGACTTCCACTCAGAAACACCTCATCCACTTATTCTGCATAGGACTTTAAAACTGTAATGACATCACGACCCAAAGTAAAAATGCTTGCTTAAACGTTGGAATTTTACGCAGTGCATTTTTTATCATTCGTGATACGTTAAATATGCATCAACCTACTCGGCATTAACAACACAAAAGCGCGACTGGTAATGCCCACTTGCTTCTTTGGCTGTGCCTTCGTTTAGTGTTACGTACAGTATTACGTGTTGCAATGCGAGTTAGTTTTGGTGTTATTGTTACGGGGTACTTATTTTCGTGGTCGACAGCGTGGCCGAGTGTGACTCTTCTCTTTCCTTTCCCAAAAAAACACAGCGACAAGAGTGGAGGAAGTGTACAGATCCAAACGACTCTCCGAGATGGACCTTTGCGCTCTGTGTGGCCCAGGCTGCATCAATTGCAAGAGCAATGTACCAAGTCCATCTAGCAGGGTGACCATATCTCCAGCCTTGTGGGTCCTGCTCTCTGTTGCCTTTATTCTGTTCCAGCAGGAACTATAGAACGCGGCCTTGTAACCAAAGACCTCAATTATACTGGCTTGCATTTCTGTCTTCTGTGCTCGCCTCCCGGTGGTACATTAAATTCATGGTGCACTTAATCTTGATTCAAATATAAATGTATGTATGTCAGAGAGGTATTGTATCTGGACGAGAACGGTAAGATTTTAGATGTCTCTAATATTGATTTGAAATGTCTCCACCCAGTCCTTGATCCCATTTCTACTCCTTTAAAAATGTCTCGAACATCTCGCAGCTCATGAAAACCAGGGGTGCAATTCATGTACAGGGTAAACATATTCATAGGGGGATTTCTACCATCAGCAAACTTTCTGCCATATATTGTTTTTGTTGCTGTTCATGAGGTGCCTGAAGTGCCAATTCTGTCGTGAAATTGACAGCGCAAGTTAAGGACATGGCAAGGAATTTCCACCACATTGTTACGATGTCATGGCACAGTCTCCGCCAATGGACAGAGCCAATGAATCATACTCTGGTCTGTTTTGCCATACGTGTACACACGCCAACAGGTGTGTGTGTGCGCTTCAGTGGAATGGTTTGGCAACGACGATAACTTCCTAAATAATCAAGCATTCATTTTGTTGGAACATAACGGTGGACCAGTTTCTACTTGAGTTTCATCAGCAGGCTTGTGACCTGTTAAACCAATGCTATTGTGTCGTCCGTTTGTTATGGTTCACATCGGACAAGGACAATGTGGCACACCAATTTGAATCGCACTTTATTTTTTATTATCACGATTGACTTTGGATACCAATCTCAGACTGTGTTGATCTTGATCATGTGCCTTTGGCCTTTGAAGTATCTTACGATTTTCTTATTTGCCGAGTAGTGTTTGACTTTAAAACAGTAATTGCTCGTGGCTGTATCTATCATGTCAATAATGGAATAAAAATATGTACACGAGCTTACTTTTTTCCACAAATTGTACCTGCAAATAAATATTGCACTTTGATTCACGAAAGTATTTTGCCTACTGCATTGTTTTGGGCGCCACTGTGGTGAGATGTTAACTACCTCGCCTGGTACGCAGGAGGTCGTGGGTTCGATCCAGACCCTGACGCCTGCTGTATATTTGGAGTTTGCATGTTCTCTCCGTGGTCGTGTGGATTTTTCTCCGGCTCCTCCGGTTTTTCCCTCCACATACATTTAGAAACATGCATTTAGTGAGCTGTGTACAGCGACAGCGCAGTAACACGCAGGATACCTAGTCGAGTTAGACCCAGTATACGAGCGGTGTAGGTATTACTGAGTATATATTTAAGTATTAGAAACGCCTATACACGTTAAAGTGTGCCATGCACTGTCATAGGAAGTCGCAAATGGTAATGTTAAACACCCGTAAATCTGGCTTGCATAATAATGTGACCATCACTTGTTGTGTTGACATCAAGTTAAAGGAACATCATACTCAATATATACGTAAATTGGTAAAAAGATAAAATTGTGGGATTCGAACCTGGGTCAGCCATTTCACAGCCAGCTATGCCATCCTTTAAACCAGTACTTGGTGTCAGCTGTAAACATTCTGATTATTAAATCGTAGTTTTTATTGTTGCATTTAAAAGCTAAAAGTGCGGTGGATAAAACATCTACCTGCCTTTTTTAAATGAACTTACTAAAATTATAGATTTGTTCAGGTTCCTACACCTCTGCAGCCACGGCACACTCCCCCCTTGGCCACGCTGCAGTCCTGCGGCCGCTACTGCAGGTGGCATCATTCACAAGCTCGGACAATGCACTCAGCATCTACCACCGTGTTTAGTTAGAATCTGGGATGGACGCCTCCCGTCAATACTTGTCAAAAATGTGCCTCCTTCGAAGAGTTAACGGCTGCTTTCCATGAATGATTTGGTATTTTATTTCAAGCGAGGATAAGTTTGAGCTAGGATATGCCTGAAACATAACCGCAGTGTGATCGATACTGTAGATACAAGCAACTAACTTGTGTACGCAAATAGAGACCTAAGTCCTGGGGAGGGGAAAGGAGTGGAGGTGTGAAGACAATTGATTTGGAAGTCCACCTAACCAAAAAGTACTGGTAAAGGAGTTTGGATTTTTTTCATGGCCTTGCTCTCTGCACTACACATCAGAGACTTCAACAGCCACGATGTATAGGGGCTATAAGAGCAACGATTGAGCAGGTGAACTATGCATTATCACTTTGGGCATCAAACACAAAAGCTGCTTCACAGGCCCCTACCAATGTGGCTGCCAAGAACAGTCGCACGGGTATTCAGGAGACCGCAATTACTCTGCCCCAGACTCCGAGTGAAGCGCTCAGCCAGAAGTCTAAACCCAACAATCTAAGCCACCGCCTCCATGCTGCTGGAGTCACCGAATCAGCGACGAGAAGCATATGGCATGGGACAAGTTGAGCCTGGTATTCACACGACGCGCCATGAGGATGCCTTTATCCAGCAGTGCTGCTAATTTTTGGTTTAACACGTAGGCTTTGAAAAAAGCTGTTCTGCAATTTTTGTTTTTATGTGATCTGATCAACGCACCGATCCACCGTCGTGGAGTCTTCTTTTAAATGTGAAATGGCCGGGTGGTAGTGAGAGCCCCGCTTGTGGCAGAGGTTCGCGGTTCGAGCCTCGCGGCCACCCTGACTAACCCTGCCGGTAGATAATTATCCAACAATGTGTAGTCTGAGGGGTTTTTTTGGTTAGATCGCGTAAATATAAATGTGTCATTAAACCCGCCACCACCCGACAGCCAATTAGTAAGGTTTGTCACAAACAAAACGTGCCAATTATTTACTAGTTCAGCATGGCGTTGTGTTCAAAAGTAAACCCATAAAAATAACAATTCTAATTTTAAAAAACTAATGGATATTGGTCGCGAAAGCCTACGTGTTAATGGCCGTCTGCTCCACAGTGGATGTGAACGATTTCCTGACTTCATTTGAAAAAATAGTATGCTTTCCGCGGCAATGTCACAGTCCAGATTTGAAAATCACCTGCAATTTACTTAATTGGCGAAAACCACAAAGCAACATCGCCCCATACTGGAAGACTACTCTCCTGTCTGTGAAACAGTCCCTTGGTGATAACGTCGTGCCCCAGGACGTATGCCATGATCCGATGTAACGAATTCCTATATTGGCACAGTGGTCATTTCCACAGCCAGTCTTCTCTCCCACCACCAACGTTAGAGATTCAGGCTCTGGCAAAAAGTAATTTCACCTCTTGGCTCCTCCCTTGCTCTTGTTCATTTGAGAGCGAGAACTGCCTTTTGGGTTTAGTTTGTCGTCCTTCGTACGGTGCTAAGAGGTTCAACACACATGGGAAAATGTAATATTCTAGAGTTTGGCTGTTGATGGGCAAAAGGCAACTCGGGCACTTGCTGCCAATTTCACTTTCCCTGCGAGTACATTGGGTCAGCTCATCCTCTTTGGGAAGAAAACATTTTTAAACTGATATTACCAGCGCAATGGTATTGCTTGGGTAGACAACATTTCTTTATCGTCATATTACAAATGATACATCTAATGTAAGCAACTGTAAAGGAAGTGTAAGTTAGGTATATATGTTTATTCACATCTATAATTTGTTTAAGAAATGAGTCAGAATATTTCTTAACAAAACGGATTTTAAAAGACGAAACAATTAGATTCTTTAGAAAGTAAAATACAGCGTTTTTTAAATATTCCACGAAAAATTCTGCATTATAATGATTTTAACATCTCGTAGGGCTGTATGGATTTTTTTCTTAAGATCGCTGCAGAATAAATAATTTTGGGTTTATTTTTTTGTGTAAGGGCCGATTTTTCATCTTAATTATTGTCGTAGGCCGTTCGGCATCTGGCTCAGGAGTTTGCCGAGCCAGTCGTGAAGTCGCCCCTCCGTCACGCGGAACCCGCTGGCTGGGCTGAACGTTGCCTCCAAACTCCGCAAGGCATTATGGGAAAGGTCAAAGGGTATCTGGGGGGGGGGGATAGAGAAAAAAGTTGAGCATATTTCAGTAACGTAGCAAACGAAAACTGGGGTACGTACATTGTCATATCTCCATTTACAAGGTGCATTTTTATTGAAATTAAACTTCAATAAGAAATCCATGAGCGTTAAAAGTTTTTAACTGAAGCACCCACTGCACCAGACACCCATTTAAGGCCAAATCGACTGATGGGGGGGGGGGGGTGATGGGGGGGGGGGCTCAGTACAGGCCACACTAATGTGCGCTATGGACGGTAATGAAACACAAGTCGCCAGGTTCGTAGCTCAAAGCAAGGACCACCGCGCCACGTCTCCCCAACATACCGAAGTGAATGGCAGCGTACTGACAATGGGGGCTTTACGGAGTTGCCGACCCACCCCGACTGGACATCTGTGGGGACGAGCTTTATAGCTCGTCGGATTCCTCCAAGGATAAATATATATTCTGATTTCAATTAATTATAATTCATTACTTAAGGTTAAAGGGGAAAAAATTGGCAAAAACAAGGCGCAAGGTTACTTAGCACGCTCTTCCAACAGCAGCACCTAGAGGTCGTGGGTTTGTGTAAAAATTTGAGACTGACGCCATCCAGACTGCCACTCTGCGCCCAACCTTATGGAAGAGGTACGTGGATGACACTTTTGTCATCTGGCCACATGGCCGGCCTGCTCTAGACCAATTCTTCGACCACATCAATTCCATACACCCAGCCATCAGATTTACCATGGAAGTCGAAAAAGATGGCAAGCTACCTTTTTTGGATGTCCTAATAAAAAAGAGACCTGATGGTTCAATGAGCCACTCTGTCTACAGGAAAGCTACCCATACGGATGCTTATCTGAAACCGGATTCCCACCACCATCTATCACAGAAGAATTATCTCATCAAGACTCTGTATCATAGAGCCCAATGCATATCCGACCAGGAACACATAGGCAGTGAACTCAAGCACGTACACCAAGCTCTTAAGGCTAATGGTTACTCCGACTATACAATCCGCAAAGCTATCACTCAAACCATGAAGAAGGACCCTCTTGAGGAGCCTTTCAAAACCATCACTTTACCCTACATTGCAGGGATCACAAAAAAGATCTCCAAAATCTTGAATATACACAAGATCCAGGTCCGTTTCAACACATTACATAAAATCCGTGATCTGGTTCCGTCTGTAAAAAGATGTGATTCCGGACATACAGTACCCTGGTGTCTACAAACTAAGTTGCCTCTGTGGTAGTAGTTACATTGGAGAAACCAAACGCCATGTCTCGGACCGCATTCGTGAACACAAAGCAGACCTTAAACACGGTAGGACCAACACCTCGGCCGTGACAGATCATTGTTATAATTCAGTAGGCTCACATGACATTGACTTTTCCAAGACAGAGGTTCTTTGTAAGCCATCTGGCTACCATGAGAGATTCGTTCATGAGGCTATCCACATATACAAGCACAGAGACAATTTCAACCGAGAAGATGGATTCTGGCTTAGCAATCATTGGAAAGATTTGAGAAACCATTTCAGGTCTTAATTGATTGTTCACGCTTACAGTGGCTTTCAGACAGCATACATTAATTTTTTCGTCTCCCCCCTCCTCTTTTCAGAACATAGATGGACTAGTCCTTCTAAATAAACTGCCAAATCGCTGCGCGTGGTGCTGACGTATTTTATAAATAAATAGTTTAAAAATAAAATAATGAATGCAAACCGACACACCTGATGACGACCGTTTGTGGTATGGTCGAAACGTCGTGAGAATTTTGTTTATTATTGTTTTATATATTTTATTATTTTATTGTTTCCCTTCAACGTGACTTTACCGAAAGAGCTAAGAATATGAATATGGCTTACACGCAGTTTGGTAATAATACACATTTTTAACGGATCATTTAGAGCCCTTTGTGAGCGATAATTATTAATTGTTTTGTAGTTACAGTACGCTTTGGATTCATAAGAAGCTCCAGAAAGCAAGACTCTCTCCAAATCTGTGGCTGGTGTCTAATAAAGTTCACACAATTCTAGTTTGCACGCACACCTTCCAGATTCATTATAAGACACCGCACCCCCTCCCTCCCCCCGCAACGTCTTCCTTTAAAAACAAATGGGAAAAAGTTAATCTTATTATCTTATAACCTGGAGAAAACAGTAGCCATCCTTGCAAACGCCAAGCATCACTAATGCTCACCTTTTCACTTGCATGAACACGAGAATTGGTGCATCATGTCTGCAGGAGGGCCAAGGGAAGTGAATGTTGGAGGATTAGGTTTGATCAACAGTTCGTTGCTTATTGTGGTCACCTCTGAAAGTGGCTCGGCATCCACATGGGAACCCAGCAAGCATCGAATCTCCGCAGCGCGCTCCCTGGCCAGATCCTGCAGCGATACGTCATGCAGGGAGAGACAGAACGACAACATGAACTTGAAAACTACTTTACGTAGGCATGCTTCTAACATGTTAGAGTTAACTACCGAATACGACGGCGTTATGTTTGCACCGTTGTTCCGCGTGGCTCTCGGGACGAGTTCAGGTCGTACCGCGCGTTTGTTCGTCACCATGCCCGACGTTTTGCACCGCACGCTCGAGGCTTCTTGAGGATGTAAACTTAAAAAATTCAGCTGCTCAAGACGCTCCCGGCATGTGGATCGAAACGTTGAGACATAGGGCCGGAACACGCGAGAACAACCCAGTAACACTGCATCGACCCAATGCGCGTGTTGTGCAGTAATCACGGACCGAGCTGGTGAGCAGAATTGATGCGAAAGGCGTCGTATTAATGAACCACAACAACAAATATCCCCGTGACCAAACAATCCCCCTTAGATAAGCCGAGCAAGAGTCTGTCGAATGCAGTGGCTGATGAAATAAGGGGGCAAAGTCCATGTTCACAATGTCTATTAAAATAATAGCAGCAGGTAAACACAGACCTCACCACAGCTGTTACAACAGCACTCAGCCCAGAGGCACGCCTTTATACTCAACACCCTGCTCCTCCTCGAACCAGATCCACCTGTCCTCTGAATTAGTCATACTCCTCACCCCCACGCAGCTATGGCGTTGGCAATCAATAAAAAACGAGAGCCTAAACAATGGAATCCAGCCACTAATCAGGTCTATCAGCTGAAGTGTACACATTCCCATGCATGTTTTGCTCAATCCCACGTGTGTGTGTGTGTGAGCCCCCTCGTGTGCCATGTCGGCTTTTATAGGTGCTCGCTAACAACGCTTGCCGTAAGTCTGTTAAGGCTACAACGGGGATCTTTTGTCTTTAAGCCTCATTGCGCAAGGCAAGCAAATCCCACCTTGAATGGCGAGGCATTAACCGAGACTCAAAGTGAGCAGCCGCCACCTCCCTCCGAGCTAGACTCAACCCACGGACCCCCCCACACCCACCGCTCGCCCAGTACCTGCAGCTTCACGGTGCCAAGGTTCGCTCCGTCGGCACCAGCTGCCGCTTTTAGCCGCGCCGCCACCGGCTTCTGCCTCTCCCCGACGGTCGAGCCGTGGCCAGGAGGCACGGGCAACGGTAGGGCGGGAGGGTGTGGCGAGGAGGACGGTTCGTCTGCCGCGAGCAAGGACACCTGCGACCTCAGCGACGCCAGGCGAGGGCTCAGCGCGTTCAGCCTGCGTCACGCGGGGGAGGTGACGAAGGGCGACGGGAGGCAGGCGAATAAAAATCATGGCACTACCGCGTAGGTGTGCACGGTCGTGCTGTATGGCTTCGCGAACTTGAGAAGAAGTAGAAGAAGAAGCCCTCAAGCAGTTGGAGCGAAATGCCGGACATTATGCCAAATAAAATGCGGTACAACAATGATCTTTTACTATCCAAAAGCACATCGGAGAATAAACACAGTGGTGGCCGGTTAGTTTTGGGGACGAATGCCACCGTGACGCTAAGTTTGACTCCGGGTTTCTGCTACCCTTGATTAAACTGTATTTCAAGTGTGGTAAGAAAGGAACCTTGAAATAAAAATTTGATGTTTGGTTTGTCAATGTTTTTTTAAACTACATTCCAGCTCTGTGGACGTACGTTATTTTCTGTTTCACTACCATGCGACAAATGTCTCAATAGAAGTGCGGATAGGAGACATTTAAAGGGAACGCAGTAGTTCTGTGATGCTACAAATAGAAATTTCTTCTCTCTCATGAAAATCGTAAAATGACAGCTTGGCGTTGACAACGACTACTCCGCAAACACGCCCGGGATGGAGGATTCACCTGGAGAGCAGAACGGGGCGGCAGTTACAGCTGGCGTCGGCCGAACCGCACGTTCTGACGTCGATGACGCGAAAGGGCCTCGTGTTGCTGGCGGTCAACAGAATCACCTGCAGCGAAGCGAGAATGGGGCTCGGTAAACTTGAACCGTGAAGCTGGCAGAAACGTCGCGAGATCTTTTTCAAATGAACGTCGTGAGATCAATTAACGTTCACCGCGAAGCAGACGGTGCGTGGTTTGGTGAACGCGCCCGCCGTTATCAACCAGGGCGGCGGCTGGGCTCAGAAACGCAAAATCGCTGCCAGTAGCGGCAAATGCGCCACAGCGCCAGGCACGTCAACGGCGCAGGGCAAGGGGCTTGGTTCACCTCCTTGGTCGGTCTCAAGGGCTCCAGCAGAGGCTGGTGCCACTGCAGGCACAGCTCCTTGCTCTTGGCTCCAAATGCGGGGTCTGTCTCGGAAGCTCCCTCCCCTCCTTGGACAGCCGGTGGCGTGAGTGGCTGCATAATTACCAAACCCGTCAGCGAGTCAGCCTTAGCCAGCGCGTCTGCCAATTCCTGGAATAAAACAATACGGAAAACTTAAGTCCAAGTCAGGGTTTGTGGGCCAGATTTGTGTGTTGTTTAAACGTTTACGATGCATTTGTTGGAGAAACATATTCTTTGGGCCTTTCGGTAAAGCCACGTAGATAGAAAAATGATAATAAAAAATAAAATAAATAAAATAAAAAATAAACATCTTCATCCAAAACTGGACAAAAAAAGTTGCCAACAGTGCGTCCATATTCAGTGAGTGTGGGATGATGCTGAACTCCCTTGGCGGTCCCAAGCTTGCGGTGGAAATTCCACATCGATATGCTGAGCCACGGGCGAAAAAAGAAAAACCATGACGGTTTTTTCCCAACTGCCATTCAGAGCCAACAAACAAAGGCGGTGGGCCAGAAGGACACGGGCGACAGAGACACGGGAGCTCGCCACCAAGGCTCGCGTGAGCGTCACCTGGCTAGCCGCGCTGGGGGCGTGCGGCGGAGTGTGCAGCAGCTGCTGCGGCGCGGGGGGTACGTGGCACGGCCCAGCCGCGTACGCCGTGAGCCGCTCCGCCAGGAAGCGATGAACGGCTCCCGATCGCAGAAACAAGCGGCAGCTCCCGAGGTCGAGCGGCGATCGGACGAGACAGCCGCCGATGGCGGCCCGCCGGCGCCCGGGGAAGTAGTCTGCGGCGGACGTGCAACACATACGCACGTCACTCACTTTCACTTGCGCGGTTTCGCCACGATACACAATGTACGACGACGATAATGATGATGATACCACACTAGTATAACAGTTATCAAAATCTTTATTTATCCTGGAGAAATCTGATGAGCTATGAAGCTCTTTTTCACAGATGTTATCAAGTAGTTCGCACATGTCCAGTATTACACCAGGCTTGCAATCCAGAGGTCGCCGGTTGATTCGGTCTCCCAGCGAGGCAGTTAAGAGAACGGGCAATGTTATTATATCGCTGCCCAGCAGTTTAATGGTTACACCAGTTAGTCGATCAGCGTGGTGGGGTAAAGTGTGGGTATTCCCAACTCTTCCAAAATGTCTGCGCAGCGTAGAAAATAAATACTCTCTATAGCTCCCTCTTGTGGAGGCCGTTTTTGCCAGTATGTGCAAGCAATGCATTGCAGGCCTGCACCTCTATCTTACTGATTACACAGTACACACCAATACATTCCAGGCTTATTAGGCTTCCAAATGTGACCACCTGTGACTAAATCACCAGAAAATTTGCCGATCTCGTGAGCTCCCAGAAGCTAAGCACCTGATTGGTTCACAGTGCTGACGTCATCTTGCTCTATTTAAGACCGGAAGCAGGTGGATTGCTTCACTATTCTGGCAAATCTCCCGATAGTGCTGGATGTTATGTTCAGCGAAATGTCGCAATACTCAAATTGTAAATGTTGTGGATTTACTCTCTAACACACCGGTGAGCTGAAGTGGTAACTAATTGGCGCGTTTTGTTTACGTGACAAACCTTACTGGCTGTGTCGGGTGGTGGAGGGTTACGACACATTTATAACTAACGCGATTTAACCCAAAAACCTTTATTATGAATAATATTTGTCGCGAAAGCCTACGACGTGTTACACCAACCTAAGCACAGTTGAACCTGGATAGTGCTTGGATGGGTGACCAACATGCAAAAGAAAAGTCCGAGTGTTGCTGCGTCTGATGATGACACTAATGTGGACTATATTTATCATAACGCTGCTGCTGTTGATGATGATGGTGCACCCTGGCTGAGAATTTGAAGCAAAATCTGGGGGCTCTGCTGATCCGCAGCCACATCACCTTCCAGTCAACGATGATCGTGAACACAAAGAAACCCCCAAAGTGTTCTCCCATTCGGCGACATCGTCATTGTCGGAGCTCACCGAGCTGCGAGGCGAGGTCCGTACGACGGACGATCGCTCCTCGGTAGCGCAGCACCTGAGCCCAGGTGAGGGTGGCGGCTCGGGAGCGACACCTGGACACGGTCTCGTCCCTGAATCCCAGCGTTGGCTCCGCAGCGTCTGCCCATCCCGCGTCACGGACGCCGAGGGTTGGAGAAAAAAAGGGGCATCGACAGTTTTAGGCGCCCTGTGTCGGGGCCGGATTAAGGTTCTTGTAGGCCCTAGGCACTTGTTGTTTTTTCAGCTAAAGCTGATGAATATAAAACTGTCTCCAATCAACCACAGGACAACAACGCCTCGCCTTCCCTTGCACTACTCTCTAATGACACTGAGATTGTGCGCAAAACACACCATCTGAAGATGTTATTGATAATTTTGCAAAGACATTGCTCTGCATCTTTGTATATAAACTGTGTATATCCTGTGCGCCGGCCCGAGTAATTTTTTCCGTACAGTCGCGTGAGGGCTCATTGTGACCGGAAGAAAGTGAGGATGTTTCCTAATGATGAGGAGCTGTGGGTGACTTATGACCTTTGAGCCAGGCAAATATAAATGGTGACCAAAATGTTTCACCGTGTTAATGTTATAGGATGTTAGACATTGTAAACACTATTTGCGTTCCCATTGTCTTGTTTTTTTGTTCAAACCAGATCCATGTCTAGAAACGGCAGAAAGTTAATCTCATGATCAGCATTTATCTTGGATAAATGCGTGGATAAGAAGGGTGATGGATTCCTGACTCTTTGAATGGTTCTCCCTCATATGGGTGGTGGATTTAACTCCGATTACTGCACTCCAATATCCTTCCACATCGAAATAGTCAAATATTCCCAGAAAGGAACCCTCCTGATAAAAGAGTCTTGAGGCCCAGTGAGGCGTTCCTGGGTACAATAAAGGACTTCATTATCATTAGCCTATCACCAAATCATCTGTTGCCCAATGTTGTAAGCTAAGCAGGTATGAGCCTGGATAGTGCTTGGATGGGTGACCACCATGAATAACCTGTGTTTTGGGCTGTCGGCTATATTTAGGGGAACACAGGGCAATACAGCAACATACATTGTCATACTGTTTTTCTATGCTCCCACATGTATGCTCTGCTCCTTCACCATCCTGCACTGAGCAGCGTGGTGAAGTATGGTCAAATAAATCCTATACACTGCAAGGTGTGGGAAGGTTTAGAGGCCCTTATCCAGCAGTGTTTTAGCAAAAGGCTGTACATATACACATGTACATTATATTATTATTATGATACTCAATGGTTATTTAAATTTGACCAGGTAAGGCCCACTGAACTATATAGCTCTTTTTTAGAAAGGACCTAGTTACAAATGATAGCTCAACAAAGTGGCTTATAGTGTGGATATTTAAGGAAACCAAATACTTTAAAAACGTGTTTCTAAATGTGGAGGCAACAACCGGAGGACCGGAGAAAAATCCATTCGACCACCGGTAGAGGGAACACGCAAACTCCAAATATACAGCAGCAGGCGTCAGGGTCGGGATAGAAACCCACGACCTCCTGTATACCAGGCGAGGTAGTTAACATCTCGCCATCATGATGTGAGAGACACGCAAACTCCAAATATACAGCAGCAGGCGTCAGGGTCGGGATAGACACCCACGACCTCCTGTAAACCAGGCGAGGTAGTTGGCATCTCGCCACCATGATGTGAGAGACACGCAAATACCAAATATACAGCAGCAGGCGTCAGGGTCGGGATAGACACCCACAGCCTCCTGTAAGCCAGGCGAGGTAGTTAACATCTCGCCACCATGATGTGAGAGACACGCAAATACCAAGTATACAGCAGCAGGGGTCAGGGTCGGGATAGACACCCACAGCCTCCTGTAAGCCAGGCGAGGTAGTTAACATCTCCTAGCCACCGTGGCGCTCGCGCCCTAACACAAGTTCTCTCACCAGACGCAGCAAGGCTGTGCGAAGCAACCAGGTCAAGAAGCATGAATTCTGGGAGATGGAGGGCGACTTCTCTCCCCAGGACATCCCCCGATTGATCGGAGAGGAGCCTCCCCCACGCCAGACAGCACTCGCCCACCTGCGGACCGGGTAAACGCCGTGCAGTACACGCAGGTAATGCCCGCCAAGGTTAGCTCTGTGCATCTAAAAACAAATACTTGAACTCTGTAGCAGCGGTGGCTGTTTATATTGCACCTATGTATGTATGTGTGTACAGTGAACTTCTTTCGCACCGTACGTAGCCAACCTTGCTGATCTCGTGTAATCCTCATAAATTAGGGTTCATTTCCATAACGGTTTCTGTTCGTTTTTGCTCATGTTGTCCCAACCAACTGATCTGTTCACTCTATTTCCCCCCTTGTCCAGAAGGATGGATTATAATGGCTGATCTTCTTTGGTTCTTTCGGTAAAGTCACGTAGAATTAGAATAAAATAATAAATTGATAAAATAAAATAACACAATAATATTCTCACGACGTTTCGGCCACAACACAAGCGGCCTTCATCAGGTGAAGGGACGAGACTGTCTGGTAGGACAGCGCTGGAGTGAAAGAGCCACGTTCAGATCACGGCCTTTAAGCTGTGTGAGAGGAACAAAGCGCCTTGACAAAGGAATTAGCATATAATTTAGCATTGAAATGGCTGAATGATTAGCTTGTAACTGGTCACAGAAATAGCTATGTTAAAAGTTAAAGCATACACATCCGCAGAGGCACCCCTTGATAAAGGAATTAGCATAGAATTTAGCATTGAAATAGCTAAGTTAAAGCATACACATCCGCAGAGGCACCCCTTGACTAAAGAATTAGCATAGAATTTAGCATTGAAATAGCTGAGTGATTAGCTTGTAACTGGTCACAGAAATAGCTACGTTAAAGTCAGAGCATACACATTCACCGAGGCACTTAGTACAAATCAAACAGGAGAATTTAGCATTGAAATAACTAGGCGAATTTAGCATTTAAATAATTGAGTGATTAGCTAGTGACTGGTCACAGAAATGACTATGTTGAAGTCAAGGCCTAGTCATAGTCATTTCTGTGACCAGTCACTAGCTAATCACTCAGTTATTTCAATGCTAAATTCGCCTAGTTATTTCAATGCTAAATTCTCCTGTTTGATTTGTACTAAGTGCCTCGGTGAATGTATATGCTCTGACTTTAACGTAGCTATTTCTGTGACCAGTTACAAGCTAATCACTCAGCTATTTCAATGCTAAATTCTATGCTAATTCCTTTGTCAAGGGGTGCCTCTGCGGATGTGTATGCTTTAACTTAGCTATTTCAATGCTACATTTTATGCTAATTCCTTTATCAAGGGGTGCCTCTGCGGGTGTGTATGCTTTAACTTTTAACATAGCTATTTCTGTGACCAGTTACAAGCTAATCATTCAGCCATTTCAATGCTAAATTATATGCTAATTCCTTTGTCAAGGCGCTTTGTTCCTCTCACACAGCTTAAAGGCCGTGATCTGAACGTGGCTCTTTCACTCCAGCGCTGTCCTACCAGACAGTCTCGTCCCTTCACCTGATGAAGGCCGCTTGTGTTGTGGCCGAAACGTCGTGAGAATATTATTGTGTTATTTTATTTTATCAATTTATTATTTTATTCTCATTCTACGTGACTTTACCGAAAGAACCAAAGAAGATGAATCATTGCAGTCACGAAAGCTTTAAATCGAAATATAATGGCTGAGTTTGAGCCACACCGAGATACCCCTGCTGATATTCTCCGTTTAGGCCCTGGGGATAAGTTTATCTTTTCTTTCACAGGAGGCTAATAGATAAGGATGCAACTCAAAATACAATGTAGATGTGTATTACATATGTTGAACTTCTTTCGCACTGTACGTAGCCAACCGTGCTCATCGGAGGTGTGGGGAAGGACAACAAACTAACACAAAGCAGTGTAGCTAGCTAAACAGACACTGATGAGATACATAGTTGGAATATCGAGTATTTTTTTGGAGTATATATTTCATCTCAATTGCTCTATCTAGCAGAGCAGTGTAACCATTTGCATTAGATGACGGCCCACAGAAGCGGATATCGCAGAGCTAATCTCCGAGATCCCTTCATGTAATCTCTGGTCCGCAAAGGAAGGATTTCATTTTTGAGTGCTGCCTTGCCAGGTGTGACCTCTGACCTGGGTGGCTGCCCGAGTGGCAATCCATGCCAACAAGCTGTAGCGCTCCGAAACCGACAGCCCCCGTTCCACCAACGCTTGACTCCGGCCTCGCACAACAACCTAAGAGATCATGGCAGTGGAACAGGCAAACACCCACAATAACAAATCTATACTAATTCATGTACAGGTACAGCTCCTTTTGTAAATTCAATGCAATGCGTGTTGTAGGCTGTGGGGCTACCTTGTTAGAAGCAGAAGCCACTGCAAAAAAAATCCATTGCTGTTCTGTACTTCTTGGCTAACATGCCTACACTCCCCAGCATTCAACGCATTTCATGGACCAGTGTGGCAAAATGTGGCCAAGTAACTCCACACATCCCACAATGGGTGGACAGGCCCTCATCCAGCAGTGGACTGACATGTTACACGCAAGCATATAAACTAAACTATTTTTTTATTTTACAAGGTAAGGCCCACTGAGGTACATAGCTCTTTTTCAGAAGCGACCAGGCCACAAATGATAGCTTGTAGGTTATCACGTCTAAATTCATAGCAGAAAAATACTCTAAATGAATGTTTATAAATATTGATGGAAAAACCGGAGGACCCGGATAAAAATCTACGCAACCATGGGGAGAACATGCAAACTCCAGATATACAGGCTTCAGGGTCGTGATCAAACCCACGACCTGCTGTATGCCAGTCGAGGTAGTTAACATCTCACCTGGAAAATTAGTATTAATATATAGGGAATCATCATCACAATCCATGGGCAGATAGCCCATAGGTGTCCTCTGCACATTTAATAATTTGTTTCCACTTTACTCTGTCTTGTGCCAATATGCTCAAGTGGTGCCACATCATTCTGGCATCAATCTCATATGTCGTCAAGCGATGATAGCTTAATGAAGTGGCTTATCTGGGAATGGCTTTCTGAAATGTGCACTTTTCTTAATAGCTGTGTCTGTGTGCATGCTTTTAGTCTCGTACAAATGTCTGAACGAGGTTGCCCAGTCAAATCCTTGTTAGGGGCCCACTCAGCCCAATATCCCTTTCAAATTTGACCAAGTTGATCCACAAGCGCATTTTGGCCAAAAGGCTACCCAGTCAGCTTCCATAACCGCCAATTAAACACTTCTGATTACAAAACGCACATTGGGTACGGATTTACACGGAGCGAGACCTGCCTTGGACTTGTTTGGCTGCTTTGCAGGATCCATCTTCCCCTTCACGGCCACCGCATCCTGTTCTGTGTGAGCCTCGCTCGCCCGAGTCTTTTTGCTCAGACGGCAGAAGAGCAGGGCTGCCTCCAAGTAGGCTTGTCTCATGATCCTAAGCAAGGTGTCACCAACCAAATTATTAAGAGGAGCCATTTTTTTCGAATTCGGTAAAAAAAACCCTCAAAATTTCAATGTGAACGACGTCACAAAGATGCCCTCAAAGAGCCGCAGGTTGCCGACCCCTGCCCTCAGCGACAAATAATCCCATGCGTTATTGACTTTACCGAAGATTGTCCAAAAGCAGTATCAGTATCAGCAGCAACGTCATGACGATGATCAGAAGTAACGTAATCCGCATTGGCGTTCTAATCGTGATTAGCAGAAACAACGAGAGATATCCGCGAGCGACAAATACGGCGGCGAGGGTGCCCCACCACAGCTGGTGCGAGGCGCCTTGGCTGACGTCCACGGACTTGAGCAGCGTGCGCACGGCGGTCCGTGGGTCGCAGTGACCTCCCAGCGCGATCCTGCACTCCACGTTGCCTGACAGGCGGCAGCACGCGCGCGCAACAGGCTCACAACCGCCGCCAGATCCGCGCAGCCCGAGCAATGCCTTGAGCATTCTGCCAGTGCGGGTGAGTGAAACGCAGCCGTGGGAACACGGCACTGCGTGCCCAAGTTTGACGAGCGACGGAGCTGCGCTCACCTCTGTTAATAGGCTGAGCCAATGGAAAATATACATTCCTATCCACAGGATGTGTATATATGTCAACATATGCTGATACGTAAGTGTTTGTGTGCGTCTGTATGCTTAGGTTACAACTCCTCCATATGCTGTAAACACTGAAGTGAAACGCCAAAGGGACGATGCCTTGTTTGGCAATGCGAGAAAGGGCAAAACAAAATCGTAGCCTTGTGCTTAACTGTATGAGGAAGGGCAATAGCAACCCACACTCTAGCTCTTCACTTGCTCTACCACGAATAACACTCGCCAATGAGACACTAGCCCTCAGATGAACCATTATACTAACAAGACTGCTCAACTATACTCTAACGCAACGCTTCATCTAATACGAACAATACTAAGCAACCAGACCCTAGCCCTATACTTCAATTAATCCTCATACAACACAAGCCAACTAATCCTAGATGTACCCCAAGTACTAATGTTACTAGCCAACTCATTGGGTCATATCATAACCCCAACAAACTAGCCTACCCCATCTAGCCCGACCCACAACCCTCACCATACTAGCTATTAAAAACCTCGTCTTAGCCCTTTACCAAGCTAGCCAACCAGACCCGTGTACTTGTTCCAATCTATGTTGGGCTTTCCCATGACTTCATTTTTGTTGTCCTGCCGGTGAAATGTTACATTTATATATGTCCATCTTAGTATTATACTCTTTGGTTCTATTGGGTAAAGTCACGTAGGTGAAAATAAAATAACAAAAAAATCACGACGTTTCGGCCACAACACAAGCGGCCTTCATCAGGTGAAGGGACGAGACTGTCTGGAGGACAGTGCTGGAGTGAGAAAAGCCACGCTTAGATCACGACCTTTAAGCTGTGTGAGAAGAAAACCAAAGCGCCTTGACAAAGGAATTAGCATATAATTTAGCATTGAAATGGCTCATTGAAATAGCTAAGTTAAAGTATACACATCCGCAGAGGTACCCCTTGACAAAGGAATTAGCATAGAATTTAGCATTGAAATGGCTCATTGAAATAGCTAAGTTAAAGTATACACATCCGCAGAGGTACCCCTTGACAAAGGAATTAGCATAGAATTTAGCATTGAAATGGCTCATTGAAATAGCTAAGTTAAAGTATACACATCCGCAGAGGTACCCCTTGACAAAGGAATTAGCATAGAATTTAGCATTGAAATAGCTGAGTGATTAGCTTGTAACTGGTCACAGAAATAGCTATGTTAAAGTCAGAGCATATACATTCATCTTAGTATTGTTCTCGAACACTAGACCCAGCCCAACCTCTAGCACTTCTCTGGTGTCCCTTTTCACTCTCACTTCACTTAAAGTTAGTGACGTGGTTTGAGAGGTAGCGTGTTGGCCACTTCTTGCAGAAGTTCACGATTCGAACCCCGACTAATTAAGCAGGTGGAGCAACCAAAATGTGTGCTGTCTACTTCTCAGCGGACGTTAAAGAACCTGTGTTGTTCTTACAAAAAAGAGCAGGCCATGTGTGCCAGCGTCATCATCCAAAAATGTAAAAATTTCTCCAAAATGATTTCATTGGGTAAAAAAAAACCCAACGTCACAACATTGCATGTACGTTGGACTTCTTTTGCACTGTACGTAGCTAACCTTGCTAATCGCAAGTTTGGGGCATGGACAACATTGCCCAATTCTGGCAGGCCATACCCCGTCTATGATAGCCTTGCACAATATAAGAACGGCGAGGACACCGAATTCGATGATTACGAAGCGCTACGACTGTCTAGGGTCGCCAGGCCACCTCTCTGGAGCAGGATCTCGGCGGCGAGGTCGCGATCCTGCGTGGAGGCCGAGTGGCAGAGACGCAGCGCAGAGTCGAGCGTGTGGAGCGCGCGGAGCCACTCGGAGCCATCCCCTCCCTGCGGAGCGAGCGCCTGGCTCAATTCCACAGCCTGGAAGCAGCCTGAGCACAAAGACAAAGATTCCCCCCACCAACGTCGCGTAGCCTTTTTATAGACTGTTGGAACAAGTGCTTATAAACGACCGCACGGCATTCTATGGGGTGGTGGCCAGCAGCACACCAAAACCACCGCTGACTCTCTCCAGAGCTGAGGCTTGCCTGGGTAAACGTTTCAAACTTTCACTTTAAAACCACGCAGTTATTCAGACGCACGCTTGTAAATTACACTGAAAGGCATGAACAGGTACGCATTCATCTTCTTTGGTTCTTTCGGTAAAGTCAATTAGAGGCATCGTATTGACCGTTCAGGAAAAAGTAAATGTCCTTAGTCAGGACATGTAAAACTAGAAGAGATGATGGCCGATGGGTGAGATTGGTGCAGGAATGACAGCCTAAGGAAACAATATGCCCGAGAGAAAGTATGCATGCATGTTGAACTTCTTTCGCACCGTACGTAGCCAACCGTATTAATCGGAGGTGTGCGGGAAGGACATCAACTAAACACAAAAGCAGTTGCATAATAACGAGTTTTCAATCTAGATTTTAAAGTGCATAGCTCCAGTGGCTTCCTAATATTACCACGATATGCAGGAATAAGATGACTGCAACATTCATAATAAAGGTTTTTGGGTTAGATCGCGTTAATTTATAAATGTGTCGTAACCCTCCACCACCCGACACGGCCAATCAGCAAAAAAAAAGTGTCATGTTGACAAAAGACAAATAATTCACTACTTCAGCCCACCGGTGTGTTGAAGAGTTAATCCACATTTACAGTTTGAGTACGACGTTTCACTGGTAAATACATCCAGCATCATCAAGCAATTCGCCAGAATTGACTGCAACATGACTGCAACATGTTAGGACCTGAGAGATGGTGATGTCATAGGGGAGGCTTTCATTCAACGGTGGATAGACCGTGGCTCAGGATGATGATCGACATACAATAGATATTTTTGCAAATTATCAGACATACGTATGGATGAATGTGCAAAACCTCTAAATAACTCTGGAAAAACTTACCTATCCTTAGCTTAATCTTGGCCAGCATATTGACGTGTGGTAGATAGGAGTTACTGATGTCCCCAACAAAGCCGAGTTCTCTTACCTGCAATGCAGACACACAAACACACGCACAGTGATAAGAGACAGAGATCTCCCTGTTCAGCCTTAGTGAGCCCCTCATAAGGTTTTTCTGGCACACTTTTCCTGATATCAGGAAGCTTCTGGAGCTATGCACTTTTAAATCTAGATTGAAAACTAATTTCTTTATAACTGCTTTTTGTGTTTAGTTTGTTGGCCTTCCCCCGCACCTCCGATTAGCACGGTTGGCTACGTTCAGTGTGAAAGAAGTTCAACATACAGTACAAAGATATGTTGGAAACGGGGTGCTTTGGTCTGCACTCGCATCCCCAGTTTCCTTGGCCTACCCATTAATGTTGGGGACCAAGCCCACTTACCGAGTGAACCGAGGGGAGGCTTAAGCCACATTCAGAAACCAATGGACACTTATTCAGTACATCGTGGCCAGGAATCATGTCCAGGTAGCTATGATCACAATGTATTAACCGCCCCTACTGGACATATGTAAAAAAGAGCTTTGTAGCTCATCGAATTTCTCCAATCTAAATAAAGATTCTGATTCAATATTGTACTTATCTGCCAACCCCCATCAAGTATATACATAATTATGTGACCTGCCGGGCACCATGGTGGCTAGATGTTAACTACATCGCCTGGTATTCCTGGCAGTTGTGGGTTCGATCCCGACCCTAGCACCTGTATATCTGAAGTTTGCGTGTTCTCCCTGTGGTCATGTGGATTTTTCTCCGGTTTTTCCCTCCGCAATTATAAAAATATGCGTTTAGAGTATTCGGCTGCTATAAATTTACATGTGATGAGCTATCATTTGTGGCCAGGTTGCCTCTGAAATAGAGCTATACGGCTCAGTGGGCCTTACCGAATAAAATAAAAACAGTTTAGTTTTAGCTTTAGGTGGTGCAGTGCCTAACACACTGCGCTGTGAACCTGGCAACCCAAGTTTGATTGGGCAGAGAGAGGTACCGTAACTGGTCCTGGCACCCTCCCTAGCCTCCTCCCCAAGCGTCACCGACCAGGACAGTGAAATGTAACAGCCCCCAGGACCAATATGGCCTTCATTCAGCAGTGATTCTTCAAAGATTTATAAACGATTCTACTTGTTAGTATTATTAGCGGTACCACCACTCACTTACCTGACTTAACACAATCTGCTCAGCCTTTAGGCAGAGGCTCAGGCTCTCTGCCATGAAAGGCAACGATCCCCCGTCAGGAGCGTTGAGCTTTGGGAGGTCGTTGCCATCCTTTTCCACTGCGTGGTCTTGCTGGCGGAGTTCCATCTCGGGGCCCTCGTCAGCCGCACATGCAAGGTCCGCTAACCGTGTGGTAACCTCGGCCAGAAGCAAGTGGGCCCTCTGGGAGAGCATTTCAGCCGGTCGGTCCAGCAGTTCCAGGATGGCCTGCACGCATTCAGGAAAATAAATACAGAGTTGGCAACCTGGCTTAATTAATCAGCAGATTTGTTAACTGTCAGCGTCATCAGTGTAATCAGCATACTTGCGAGAGCAGCAGTCGTCTAAGAGTGGTCATGGCCACGTGCACATTCAGGTTCAGGTTCTATCTAGCAATGTGCACTGATTCAAAACGTTCCTCTTCAGGCGCAATGGTATATGCCGCTTTTAATGATCAAGTTCAGCACTTGAGAGCAATGCTCCCATCCACTAGTTATAACGTATGATCACCTGCAGTGTATTTCTGATGCCTGCGATGGGACGGCATTCATGGAAATCGAGCAGGGCAGAGAGGGACATGAACTCAGCCTGTGTCTCGACATCTCCGCACGCCTCGCTCTCAGCGAGGCCCTCCTTGCAAAACCTCCGGGCGTCGGCATCACCAAGCCCTGCGCGGGAAACATGAAGCATCATGGGCATCGTAATGGTTTTTTCCCCTCCACATTTAGAAACATGTAATAAGATTGTTTAGATTATTTTGCTGGCTATAAATGTCCAAATTATAAGCCACTTTGTTGAGCTATCATTTGTGGCCAGGTGGCTTCTGAAAAAGAAGTTAATACCTCAGTAGGTTTTGACTGGTAGGATGGGGATGGTTTTCTACATTGCACTCCTATAATGTTTTTGTAATGTTTATTTTTGTAACGTTCTTATCTGCCCCGTTCTCTTAACTGCCTCGCTGGGAGACCGAATCAGCCGGCGACCTCTGGATTGCAAGCCTGGTGTAATACTGGACATGTGCGAACTACTGGACATCTGTGAAAAAGAGCTGGATAGCTCATCAGATTCCTCCAGTATAAATAAATATTCAGATTCTGGTTCTGATAAGCGACTATCGATGCTCACGTGGGCTTCACAAGAAGGAATGAAAGGACTAACAGAGCTCCTAATGTCAACCAGAGTTGGAATAATCCAACTATTTAAGTAATCGATTAATCCATCGATAATTATCGGTTTGATTACTTAATTGTGGCGCTGTGGTGGCGAGATGTTATCTCCCTCGCCTGGTATGCAGGAGTCAATGGGTTCACATCCCGACCATGATGCCTGTATATTTGGAGTTTGCATGTTCTCCTCATGGTCGCATGGATTTTTCTCTGGGTCCTCCGGTTTTCCCCCCATATTTAGAAACATGCGTTTAGATTACTTGTCTGTGATAAATTTCCACATGATAAGCTAATAGCTCAGTGGGCTATACCTGGTAAAATACAATAAATAAAAATAACAATTGGAAAACAGATAGTTTATGAAAAGGCCTTATCTCTGTTCCCACAGTGGCGTAGGGCAGGAGGTGATAGGCATCATTGGATACATTTCGCTGTGCTAGGACTGCATGGGCTGTCCTGCCCTTGGGAGGCAGGAAGTGGAACCAGAAATTCGTTTTTAAAAGGCACCTGAGCAATTTACCACGAAAAAAGAAATCGATTACAACTCTTAGTCGATAAATCAACTTGATGGAGTCATTGTTCAAACTCTAATGTCAACATGTTTATGCTTTGTTTAATTTTCTGAACTGGTTCGAAGTATATTTTTTTAATATATAGGATTTGCTTTTTAACCCAGCTCTCACTTGCAAACGTTTTTAAAGGCAATTTAATCTAAAGAAGCTCTCATCATCATCATCGGCCATTATTTGAACACTGCTGTGTGAAACCCTCCCCCAAGCGACTGCCCTCCCTTACGGTGCTGTGATGCAACAACTCATTGAGCACCCGCACGTGAGATGACGTCCATGTTGGACCGCTGCCCATCGTCCTTTCTAGCAACGTGTCCTGCTCAAACCCACTTTTCTCAACTGTCTCTGCAATGTCTCCAACTTGCAAATGTTCCTGAATCCAAGTGTTCCTCTTTCTCTCTCGGAGTGTGTAATTCCAAGCATGTACCCCCCCCATTACAACAAGAATTTTGACGATTAATATGCTGTTGCTGCTGATGAAATTCTGCAGATGTTTACCACTGCTGTTCATACTGAAGATGATGATGGCTATGCTGCTGATGAATATCCTGCTGCTCATGATCCAATAAGCACGGTGGGCTACATAAAGTGCGAAAGAAGTTCAACATACGTACATACTGACGATAATAAAATCCACAACAACAATGATGATAATTGCTGGGATGATGATGATGACGATGACAGCATGATGCAATCACCTGCAGCAGGGTCTGGCTGCCACTGTGTGAGCGCTGTTGCCACCATCAGTCGACACTCAAGCCAGAGCCGCAGATCCAGGCGTCCACGCGCCTCCACGTCCCGCTCCTGGTCCCTGAGCCTCCACCCTCCGACCTCAATCGCTGTCTCCGCTCCCAGTGCCCGCGCCTCCTGCAGCAGCTTCATGGCAGAGATGGCCCTGGCTGCACTGCAAACATAAAATAAAGGCATTGGAGTGATTGTGGTTATTGGGCATGTAACGATGCACCAGCGAGACTCTAAACAACCAGGGAGGATGAGATGTTGTGCAACTCCCAGGAATGGTGAGGTTTGATGTTGGGGACCACAGGAGTGTGAATCTAACCGGCGACCTCCGGATTGCAAGTCCAGTGGTCCAAAACCATTAGAGCCACGGCAGCATCTCAGCATCAACACAATAACTATGGAAAAGCTGAAATGTTAAACTTCCATCGATCAGTACTCTTTGGTTTTATTCGGTAAAGTCACGTAGGTAAAACGAATTAAAATAAAATAAACAATTAAAACACGACGTTTCGGAGGCAACGGAAGCTTCCGTCTTCAGGTGGGACCAGTCACGTGACTTTACTGAATAAAACCAAAGAGTATTAATCCTTGCAGTCACGAAAGCTTCAAATCTAGAATTCCATCGATCAGACCTGACGGGTGCCCAGTGTCTCTCCAGGGCTACGCGCGCTGCCTCCAGGTGAACAAGCACTGCCTCCTCCAGCTGAGAGGGCCGCAGCGAGCGCCGATCGCCGATCCCGTGCCGCGCAGCGACGAGGGCCCGGTCCACGGACCCCAGCACCGCCTCGGCCTCCAGCAGCAAGATGCCCTGCACACCGGTGGGTAGAGGCCATTGCGTGAGATCGTACGCTTCATTACAGAAATGCTTCTGCTTCATCCTCTAAGTGTTTTTTCCCCGCTGAAGCTTAACCCTTTCCCGTTTCCGACGACGTACGTCTACGTCATCGGGAAAGGAATCGGAAGAAAAACGAAAGTAAAATACTTCATCGGTGACGAGGCTCCCACAAGGCCACGTCGCATAGAGAGAAAATGATGATCACCATGGTACGTGAGTGTGTGTGCACCGTGCATATCTGCGATCCACACAGAGTGAAAAGGACACCCCTAACCTTGACGACCTCTGGGGTCAGCTGATCCTTGTGGGCTACGAGCTGCCACACGAGCTCCTCATCCCCTGCGGCGGAGCCTCTGGACGACGGCCGCGTGCGAGCGCTCAGCTCAGACGAGGAGTCACTGGAGAGGTCACTCTCGCTGCCTGCGCAAGGGGAGGGGGGTTTCAGTCCACAATTGAGATCACTGGCCAGGGGTCGGCAACCTATGGCTCCGGAGACACTTGCGGCTCTTTAAGGACTGCTTCATGACTCTATTCACGTGAATTACGGCTCTTGAAATATTGAGGGGTTTTTTTTTTACCAAATTCGAAAAAAATGCCTCTTGTTATTTTAAACCAAACTATTTTATTTTACCAGGTAAGGCCCACTGAGCTATGTAGCTCTTTTTCAGAAGCGACCTGGCCACAAATGGTAGCTCAACGAAATGGCTTATCACATGGAAATTTATAGCAGCCGAATACTCTAACCGCATGTTTATAAATGTGGAGGAAAAAACCGGAGGACCCAGAGAAATTTCACGCTACCACGGGAAGAACAGCCGGTGGATTTCGCATCGTCTATTTCAATCAAGCAGTCAAACATTTAGTCCACTTTTAAATGTCGGGTTGAGAGGCGTACATTTCCCCACTCCCAGCTGCCCACACCCTGCCTACCCCCTCCACTACTATTATCAGGTCAGCCATCAAAGAACTTGATAACTCTCTTTATATATACACATATGTATAGCCAATTACCATTTGTTGGTCTCGCTCAATGAACTGCAATCTCTAATAACCTGAGTAAAAATGATCTTAGTCTGTTAATATTGTCTCGACATAATCACGCTTCGGCCTTTCGTTGGTAGTCATCGTTAAACTTTATGATTTTCATCCACTCGTAGTCATCATTGACTAAAATAAAAATAAAAACACTGTTCACCAATATTTCCATCACTCATTTCATTCACAAAATGAACACGAGAGGCTGCTGACTGCTGTGCTCAGGTTAATGCCACGTCCATCCATCTGTTTGAGAATGCTTCACGTGTTTAAAAAAAACTTCTACATACCTGCTTCATCAGGGGTGGAGCGGTGGTGCAGTGGCTAGCACACACTGTGTTCAGAATCCAGTGACCCGAGTTCGAGTCCCAGCCACAGTTAACATGAGTGGAGAGTGATATTTGAACCGGGCTTGGGCCATTCCTTCAACAACTCGCACTTACCAGTGTCATAAAGTATGGTAAAACAATGGCCATGACTGACACGGCGTAGGGAAGCCTTCATCCGGCAGTGGAATCACAAATGGCTGTAACAGGACATGCACTTTTAGTGCATGGGCGTGAGAGCCCGGACACAAGGGGTGGGTTTATTGATGGGGCTGTGCACGTTGGCAGCGATCTTCAACGCATCTACAGCGGCTTTGGCCACAGCTTCCTCAACACGTTGCCGGCTATCTTGCCTGCTCCTACAACGTGCATTCGAACAAAGACGGTCACCACATTGCGTGTTTTCAGATGCGCTTCTGCGGCCATCTGGAACGCTCTTCTTTACAATATTAGGAAGCCGCCGGAGCTATGCAACTTTTAAATCTTGATTGAAAACTAATTTCTTGAGAACTGCTTTTTGTGTTTAGTTTGTTGTCCTTCCCCCGCACCTCCGATTAGCACGGTTGTCTATTTACGGTGTGAAAGAAGTTCAAATATACATACAAAATGCTGCTTCTTACATAAACCTTCTTGATGACTGACATCTTTCCTAACTGTGTTGTACGCAGGCCGCTTATCCCACTTGACATGCCACGGCAGCTTATAAGTTCCTTTGGTTCAACATAGACACACACACACACACATTCTACCTGTCTCTCGGGGCGGAGTGAAGAGGCCGTAGAGGGCGGCGCGGGGTGGGGGCAGCCCCCCAAGGGCCGCCGCGAGACGGACGAGCAGGCGGGCCCTCGTCAGTGACACGCGGTGACACAGCCGGGGTCCAAGAGCGCTCTCGAGCGCCGGAGACAAGGGCTGAGTCAACAGCAGTTCCACCGCCTACGTTCACGAGCAGTGCGGTGCGTTCACGGGCAGTGTTTCAAAGTGATTTAGAAAAGGTCTCAGTACGCACAGAGCAAATATACTAAACAATATTCGAGTTCAGTGGTTCCCAACCTTTGACTTGTCGTGTACTCCTGTACCAGCCCTAGCAATTATCCTCGTACCCCTACCCGCTCCTACACTACTTAAAGTAATAAAATAATGTGCGTGCATTTTTACATTTACACATAATGAACCAGACACATGGAAGGCTGAAGCGTCCAAACGGACGGGGTTTGTCGAATTTCGTACGACAGATAAGCGCATGGCTTTATAATTGCGCGCACACACACATACACGCAAAGCAGAACAGCTTAGTAACCCCGCGTGTCCATACCTAACGTCACCACCGCCAATGAGTGAACTGTCTTACGAAACCCTTAGAGGTGTCACATGTACCCCCAGGGGCGTGGCCTCTCACACATTCGGAACCGCCGTTCTAGTCCATTTAATGTTACGCGTTATACACTATAAGACGTATCAATGTGCATTTCATGTAAGTCATAGGGCTACATAACGGCATTTAAGTTAATTTACTTGTATAATCAACAGTGCTCCTGAATATATCTGTGTGGAGCTTTAAGTGTTGCCACCTTGTCTGTACGGATTTTTTTTCCTGGGTACTTCAGCTTCCTCCCACAAGCCAAATACTCAGTTGCAGAATTGGCCAACATCCAAACGCAGGACTCATGAAATATACCCTAGACACCAAGTGAGGCATTTCTGGATAAACAAAGTGCAAAACTATTATACGCCCTCACCATTCAAAGTTAGATGGTGTCATATCCTTTATGATCATTAGACGGTCCAAACTACACCATAAATTACTCTCCCAGTCCATGTATGTGATGTGATTTCACAATTGAAATGTTTTCAAGGCCATTACTAATACATATATCTGAGTGGCAGACATACCTGAAGATTTCCATCTGTTAAGATTGCCTTCGAGGTATCCAGCTGCATGCTTGCCTAAAAACAGAAACGTACATGATCACAACACTATACTTTATTACCAACGCTGACACTACCCCAATATACTGAGACTTAATGTGCCCAGGTTGCTCAGGAGTTAACGGCACTGTTGTATTTGAATCGCCCGTGATTAAACCGGGTTTTCAATTGCAGTGAGTTAATGATATTATTAGTTTGGTTACCAATGACCGCACCAACAAAAAACTAAGTAAATGCCATTTTGCAGTTTATGTGACTAAATTCCAGTGCGGAGTATTAAAATATCGGTTCGACTGCCGTATAGGAATTGTTTTTGTATGGCTGCATCTGTAGGAAGTTGTGGCCCTGATTGTGAACATAAAAACTGTGGGCTGATCTCTAACTTTGGGCTACACTCGTCTATGGGAAAAGACGCCGATAGCACACGTGATAAAATTGGGGAAAAGATTTTTAAATATATTTATATATTATTTAAATAAGAATTTATAAAAAATATATATTGATGATGTAAGATAGCACAAATGGAATAAAACTGGAAAATTTCAAGCAAGGTCCCAGGCTTGTAAACAAGGTGCAATATGTATTAGTTATGCTCAGTGCTTACGAACAAAGTGGAATGCTTTACACATTTAATCCAACTGATACGAAACAAGAGCTCAGTTCCTACAGCTAAGCTCAGGGCAAACTGTGAAGGGAGCTCAGACAGCTGGGTGGGCTCACCACCACCGCCGCAGCCGCCGGCTTGCTGTCAGTCGCCCTGAAGCCGGGGAAAACGGGCAGGGGCAACTTCTCCCCCAGGAGGACGGTGCACATCTCGCGGGACGCGTCTCCAAACAGCGCCAAGTCCGTCAGCACGTTCACCTATCACGGCGATGCCAAAGACAAGATCCCCCGTATAGCCTGAACAGACTGTTGGGGCAAGTGCTGTTAGCGAGCACCTATGAAGGCTGGCACGACTCACGAAGAGGTGGGTGGCCAACCCCACGCCCGGCCGCCTTTGTCTCCCCAGTGATGATATTTTACACACCACACCAGGTACTCATTTGACGCTGAGTCGACCTTGGGGAGGGCCAGGACCGATTTAGATAATCGTCACTGGTGTTGGCCATGAGCGGGAATGGAACCCGGTTCGCCGGGTTCGGAGTGCAGCATAGCGCTAATCGCTACACAACTGCCCCCCATGGCGACGCCATGCATGCACAATCAGGTCCTACTCCGATACATCGCACCGCTTTATGTTATATGCAATGCTCATTAATAATCCGTAATAATAACCTCGGTTGGAGCACGGTGGTTAGCGTTCTGTACAATGAACCTGGTTACAAGTGGTTCGATTTCCATCGATGGCTATAACCCACTTCACCAACCCATACTGACCAGCAAGTTGAAGCGTGGTCAAACAATCCCCACAATCGACAGGGTGTGGGGAGGCATTAATCCAGCAGCGGATTGAAAGGGGCTGTGAATTATAATTTTATTTTATTCAGTGGGTGGCAACAGTGGTGATAGAGCCCAGGACCATCAGAAAGGCTGCGAGTTAAAATCACAGGTTGAGAATCAATTTTATAACCTTGGTCTTACCTTGAGGAGCCTGCCCTCCACACTCCGCTGCACGTCCCGGCAGATGGAGCACACGAGGTGTTGATACAGGGCCAGCAGTGGAAGGACCTGGTTAAAAAAAAATCAAACACATGCAGGGGCAAAGCTTGTTTATCATTATTGCCCTCACAGTAAATTCTTGCATACAAGTCTTAGTGGTTTCACATTATGCGTGATGGCTAAGTGCTCAAATCCATTGGTAGTTCTGAGCCAGAGGGAGGACATGTGCAGTCCGAAGGTACCACCATCTTCTAGTGAAGTATCCTGTGCAAGTCCGCTTAATCTTCTTAACAGTCAATGTCCTGTCTCTAACTTGCATTTGCTCTCTGATCCGCGTATTTTTCTCTCTTCCTGTCTCTCAAGAGAAATGTCAAGTGCACATATCTCCAGTCAGTATGATGCCACCTCCAACTTGCGCAATTCTCTAACCCCACATTATCCTCTTTCCGTCTCTCACTATCGGCCGTCCGATGCGCTTAATCAGTCAAACGTTTGCCAAGCGGCATCGTATAAATGACGTCTCTCTGGACCGGAGCGTTGTGCGTCTCTCCAACGGAGCCGCCGGTCGGGGTCGGTGCTGTTGTACGGAGCTCACCGGCAGCAGGAGGCCGGCGCGGTGCAGGTGCCTAGCCAGGAAGCTCAGGCAGCTCACGATGGTCCCCACGTCGAGGCTTCCGCCGCTCGGCGTGGGCGACGGCGTCAGCGGCTCGACCCCGGGTACCGGCGAACCTTGACCGCCGTCAACCTCGTAGCGAGCGTAGTCCACGTCCGCCTTCGGGTGCGGGAGAGATGCGCGAAAGATGGCCTGGGGGCAGGTTCCACAGCAAGGTCAAGGGGTCACATTGCAGAGAACGTTGTTCGTGCCAGCACACCTCACCATCACATTTTTCCTTCTGCTATACCTTGTAGCGGTTGTGCAGGCAATACCCCAAACTCTACGAATAAGGACCATAGCCACAAAATGTCTGTTAGATGTATTTTATTCCCTTTTTTGGCAGTGTATTTTGCTTAATGTTCAGTCCCACAGTTGCTCTACCACCACCACCACCACCACCATCCGGCTTCAGGATCTTCCCCTTGTTGCACAGCCAATACTGTGTACCAAGGAGCACACTTACCAGCGGATCATCCCCACTATCGGACTTTAGAGCCTTGACCAGGCTACACAGTTGACACCTGACCTCTCATGTCCGGTCGGCAGGAGTTGATAAACTTTAGCAATTTGTACTTATTTTATTTTTGTGATTTGCTTACGTTTCCTATACTTTGCACTCCAATCTTTTTTGTATTGTTTGTTGTTGTAACTTTCTGAGCGACTTCTACTGGACATCTGTTGAAAAGAGCTTCATAGCTCATCAGATTTCTCCAGAATAACTAAAGATAAAATTCTGATTCTCGTCACACGAGTAAGTGAATGGTCCAGCAACAGGCACACCCGGTTAGCAACAGGCACACTCGGTATGGCCTTAAATTAATATTTCAGGCCATGCCGTGTGTGCCAACTATACAATAGAACACACTGTGGATTTACACAGCGATGGAACAACATCTCAAGACAGTGTACAGAAGCGGTGAGATTTCACTTTAGGTGAAATAATCATCATTTCGTTTGTAATCAGTTGTCACGGTCTTGTACCTTAAACAGCATCGATGACAGTACACTGCACCGTATCCTCACGGCAAAGTCTGCTGTTAGGATGAACCTGTAGGAGAGAAAATAATAAGCACGTGAATTAATTATTCCACAAAAGCCAAACATCCCAATGCGGGAGAGTGCTGCATTGGGATGTTTGGCCGAGTCCTGTGTTAAATAATGAGGGTTACTCAAGTGGCAGGTGACTGGAGTATCCGGACAAACACGGTGTATATATGTATGTGTGTTGAACTTAATTTGCACCGTACGTAACCAACCGTGCTAATCGGAGGTGTGGATACATACGGAGGAATAACTGTCAAAAGGTCTGCGTGGACTGGCCACAGTTTATTCAAGCATGGATTAGAGGATTTTAGTTTCATCGAATTGCTAAAATATATCGTTTTATTCATCATCATCATCAACGTACTGTTATTGATGTATAAAAATATGTGTTACTACAATTACGCTTTTAACTCGAGAACCAAAAATACGACAATAATGAGCCACTACGTACACATGACGCATTGGATAGATGGCACCAAAGGTACAACCAAAGGTAGTCACAAACATAACAAGGAAGAACAATCATGCTTTGTGCGTGCATTATGTAACATGTGCCAACACGTGTTTAGCTTCAGAAGTATTTAGTTGAGGGCAATATCATTTGCTTACTGGCAAATAATTATATTAACGTTGGTTTTGTGTCACCTAATTTGTGGGAAACCTTCTTATCGATTTGAACAGTTTCTCTAAACTAATTCCTGAATAACTTTACATATTGTCCATATTGGATCATCTTTACGGGCGTGACTGTGCCTCGCTTGTTACAGGCAGGCAGTGAGACACTGACCCATTAAAAATGCTTTAAACCTTCAGAGTTAAAATGGTACGAGCAACTTTGAGTAAACAAAGTCGAGGGGGTGGGGGAGGGGTGGAGGTCAGGGAGAGCAGGGCATTCGGGTCGTGCCGGTCTCTCACTGCGCGATCTTTGAGGCGAGCACTGCCGCTAGCAGGCACCCGCGTACGCCGCCCAGACGGAGAAGCACAGAGCTGGCGTCGCCCGAAGCCTCCTTCCCGGCCGCCCGTGCCACGGCGTCGCTCCAGCTCCCGAGACAGTCGCTGATGCCCAGCGCCGCATCGAGAGCCTGAGACCAGCAAGTGAATGCAGCCCTGGTACAGAATCAACAACATCATCATTATTATCATAATAATTAACATTATCAACAGCGGCATTATCATCTTCATCATCAATGTTATCATCATCATCAGCAGCAGTTGTGTCACAATCATCTACAGCACCAACTTCAGCAACATAATCATCATCATCATTATTATCATTATGATCGTCATCACCAGCAGCAGCTATAAGAGGATCATCATTATTGTGAATATCATCATGATCATTAGAGACAGCAGCAGCAACATCACCGTCAGCTACAACATTAATATCATAACCATCTCTGTCAGAGGTGCGGCACTGGGAGCAAGTAGCATGACCACCACTGGTATCCCCATCGTTATCCACAGCAGTATGTTCAACATGATCATCATAGCCGTACGAGAAAACTTTTAAAATATATACCTAAACAATCATCGATACCACAAACATTACCAAAATCATCATCACTATCATCGCCATGATCAAGAATTATTTTGTTTCCTGCAGGTCACAATTGTATGCATTTAGATTACTAGGCTGCTATAATTACACACACAAAAAACGGCTATTATTTATCTGGTGAATTTACATCGTGAATAAAACAATCTTTTTTCGCATATAATTACGAGAAATTTCAGAAGTTTATTTCCCGTGTAAATTCCATTGAACTAAGCAGCTCTTTTTCAAAGGCGACTCGGCCATTAGCTGGCATTTGGACACGATACTTGTAATTAAGGAGCCTTTTGAGATACGCTATGACCAAATCACCCGGTATTGAGTAATCACAATGCACGCCAGGCTGTCATAGGCAGCTGCATGGTGGGCAACAGAGGGCATTGCGGCAAAATCCACTGTTGTACTGTACCATCTTTGCTCCCCGCTTTCACAAACCTCCACTGACCACCGTGGGGAAGTATGGTCAAATAACCCCAACAAACCACACAGTGTAGGGAAGCCCTTGTCCAGCAGTGGATTCATAAGGAGCTGTATATGTACAGCAATATACCTGTGACTGACATAGGAGTCTATGATACGAATGTTTGACCGATGATAGGCAGTGTGCTAGTATCTCTGGGAGCTTGTCACGTGTGGAGGGGCGCTGTGGGAGCCACGTGGTACCTGGTGTTGCCAGAGTGGTAGTGCAGATTCCCCAGCTCATGCAGTGCATGCGCTCTCAACCTCTGCTGCTTGTCCGACTCAAGTAGCTCTGAAAATGTGGCACAGGTTAAAATAAACACGCTGCCAAAGTCTGCACAGATCTAAGATGTCGCCCGTGTGTTTTTGGACATGAAGTCTGACAGTTCGTGAATAAGCTCCCAGCACGTAGAGCGAAACGTCAGACATCATGCCAAACAACAGATAGTGCACAAGCCAAAAACACTACGGACAGCTGCCAAGCCAGTCTATCGAGGGAGCCTCTGATTGGTTATGGGATTTGACTTTACGAATAAAGGTTTGACCAGAAACATCCATGGGAACATGAAACTGCATGCGTGAGGTGCATGATTCCGTGGCAATGGCCATGGCACAATTCCGATTGTGCTATCGCCATCGTGAAAGACATCAAGTATGGCATTCTGATCTCTCGCAGAGCAGTGCAACCCTTCACGTTAGGGAGTGGCCCACAGAAACGATTATCAGAGCTACCTCTGAAGATGCTTTCAAGTGACTTGGTCCACACGACAGAAGGCAGCACTTTCGCGCCTGCTCTGCTCTATGAGGGTAATGTTCGTCGCACAATAGTCCACTGCACATTTAGAATTCTGAGAACTGGAATTTTGACGAACTATGTGCAGAGCCAAATTCAATATTATGCAGGGGGGGGGGTTGGGGTGGGTTTTGTGCAACCATTCGTAACTGGGATATTTCACTATTTTTACAATTAACATTTTACTAGGTGAGGCCCACTGAGCTATCTAGCTCTTTTTCAAAAGCGACCTGACTATCACAAATGATAGCTCAACGAAGTGGCTTATCGCGTGGAAATTTATAGCAGCAGTGAAATACTCAAAATGCATTTTTGTAAATGTCGAGGGAAAAACCGGAGGATGCGGAGGAAAATCCATGCGATCAATGGGAGAATATGCAAACTCCGAATGTACAGGTGTCAGGGTCGGGATCGAACCCACGACCTCCTGCATACGAGGCGAGAGAGCCAACATCTCGCCACGGTGGCACCCCCTAAAACTATGAGCTCATTACAACCCACTACCAGAATTTATTTTGATGTGGCTGCTGGATAAACGCAGCTCCCTTGGTACGGGCAGTGAGGGCTCACCCGCGGTTTTGGTGTAGGCAGAAATCACGATGTTGATCTGCGTCCGCGAAAGGGGAGGCCACTCCACGTCTTCGGCCGAGGAGAAGTGTCGACTCGCCAGGTCGGGCGGGCTGGGGTCGTGGCTATGCGCAGCCGGAAGCCGGAACGCCACCGTGAGGCCCGACGCGCGCACAGATGTCCTGCCCTCGCCTCGCCGGGCTGCCACCGCTCCTCCTGCACCTGAGAGGGCAGTGTGACGTGTGTGTGTGTGTGTGTATCACACCGGCATTCTGAGACACACCAAGTCACCCGGAATGCGCCCGATATTGTCATATCGCGTCAGACTTTGGCAGCTCAGCTGGGATGAGCCTGCATAGCCCTTGGATGATCGATCACCATGAATAGCTGTGGGGCTAGGTGGTGGGCAACAGAGATAAGTACATAAAACTCCATTGTACTCTACTTATATGCTCCTCCCCACCTTTTTGAACCCGCACTTATCATCATAGTGAAACATGGTAAAATAACCTCCATTACTCACAATGCGTGGGAAGGCCCTCATCCAGAAGTGGAATGGGAAAGGGCCATATATAAAATCAGTAGGCATCTTCCACCATTCAATAATACAAAAAAATGATAGGTCAAGCTGAAGAGGGAGTCGTAGTGAGATCGTAACTCTCACTCTTGTAAGAGTGGATGGTAGGGAAACGTCATCGCTCCCACACATCAGCCAGGAAGACATCAACGAGCACCAAACGTGGCTGGCATGACGTCAAAAATACGTGTCGTTCAGCCGATCTATGGCTGATTAAATAACTTATTAATGGTGTAACTATTTTATATTATTAATTTGTATAAATTATGATCAACTTACGAGTGGTCCGGAGCACCCGTACTATTTCTCGTAGCTTTACAAACGCCCTACGTCGTAACGCTACTATTTTCCCAAGAGTTACGAACAAATCTTATCTTGAACCTCACGAACGACATCCCTGCGATGTCATTCGTCATCCTTTCCTCTGCCCCATCTGAGGTGTTTACCACCGAGCGCCGACGCCAGGAAGAGTGCGAGCAGGCGGCGGCAGTGAGCGAGGGCTCGGTGGGCATAGGGGCGGCGGGAGAGAGACTCGCGGAAGCGACGCAGGGTATCGTCGACGTGGAGAGGGACGCATGCGAGCTGGCGCGCACGCAACCCTCCTGCACGCAAACACAGAGCAGACGACGACCAGTCAATCAATCAATCGGTCGATCTTTATTGAGATGAAAATCTGAAGAACACGATGTCATCGTACCCAAAGATGTTCATGCCACCGCACTGACGCTTTCTACCCTCGGTCAGATCCAGCAGCTGCAGCACGGTTGGCACATGCAACCATTAATTTCTGCCCTGACAGTACCCCCACCATCTCTTTATATATAAACTCATTATGCGTTATTGTCGTGGAACATTATGGGTAAAAGTATAAATACTTGCAGAACTCCATCTGTGTCTCTACATAAATAAAACAGGTATTTATAGTCCATCGGCCTATGGCTTTCCGACCAATTGCGTTTAAAAACGCTGCATTGTTTAGATGGAGTATTCTTTCCAAGCCCATCTGGTTCCACAATAGCATTTGTTTAACAGGCTTGGCTCTGTTGATGAGATATATGAAAACTAGTGCAGAGTTTGCTTGCATTGGCAAAGTGGCCAATATATGTACTTGCTTCTGAAGTCTATGGGGCTAAATGTGAAATATTTGTCTTTGTGGGTGAGTTTGTGTGAAGTGTGACCTTCAGAGGTGCTTGCGAACAGCTACTTGCTCCAACAGGCTGTTAAAGGCTACATATACGTACACCTGTACCGTCATAGGTGCTCACAAACAGCACTTGCCCCAATGGACTATTAAAGGCTATACATACATCTGTACCATCGCAGGACATCCATGAACTAGAGCCTAACAGCTCATTGGGTCTTTCCTGCTGAAATAAAAATAACATCGACATCTAAATGTGGGGAATCTCAGTCTTTGAGGTGTGACCACATCTTGTGTTACCTGCATATAAGTTGCGTCCCGCTGGGTCAATGAGCATCCCTGGCTCAATGGAGTCCCTGGACATGGTTGCCACAATCGGCTGCTTTCCAACGAAGTTTTGGCTCGTCCTCTGAAACCCAACCAGAGAGACACACCTGTTGGCCGTGCCTGGGAATCAAACTTAGGCAGCCAGGATAATAGCACAGTGTGCTTAACGCTTCACCACTGCTCACCCTGGCTGTTTTTAGTAACAACAAAACGCTCATATTCTTAGTTTTTTCGGTAAAGTAAAACCTCTGTCTTTTCAAGACAGAGGTTCTTTGTAAGCCATCTGGCTTCCATGAGAGATTCGTTCATGAGGCTATCCACATATACAAGCACAGAGACAATTTCAACCGAGAAGATGGATTCTATCTTAGCAATCATTGGAAAGATTTGATAAACCATTTCAGGTCTTAATTGATTGTTCACGCTTACAGTGGCTTTCAGACAGCTTACATTATAAAAAGTTTCGTCTCCCCCCTCCTCTTTTCAGAATATAGATGGACTAGTCCTAAATAAACTGCCAAATCGTTGCGCGTGGCGCTAACGTTTTTATAAATAAATAAATGTGCCGTTTAAAAATAAATTTATGCAAACCAACACACCTGAAGACGACCGTTTGAGTTATGGTCGAAACGTCGTGAGAATTTTTTATTGTTTTATATATATTTTATAATTTTGTTGTTTCCCTTCAACGTGACATTACCGAAAAAACTAAGAATATGAATTACTGCAGTCACGAAAGCTTTAAATCAAAAAAACAAAACGCTCCTTTGCGTTTAATAATGTACATCTTCATTCAATGGCTTAAGAATGGGACTGAATAGTGAACAACACAATTTTTACGATACAAATTGGATATATTAAGCGTCTGAAGGTGACTGCATCTCAAGACACTATCCAAACATTGTCACATACGCATAGAAATAATTATTTAAATACTGCATTTATTAAGAAGTGAACTACGACTGGAACTAACTTGTTGAACCCGGACGGGAATAGGAATTAATGACTGGTGTCTATACGCATCGGAGGAAACCGAAGAACCCGCAGAAAAACCACGTGTGCGAGGGGACAACACTCTATCCCCGTACAAATGGAAACAGATGGAGAATAGTCCAATTAGTCCGCAACCTCAGATTAGCACAGTTGGCTACGTAAGGTGCGGAAGAAGTTCAACATACAAATATCACCTTCTCCTGGCGAGCCAGGGTATGGCACCTCCTTGATGCCCAAGGCAAGGGAGTTTGACAACATGTGTGCGGTGAACCACAAATCCTCGCTGCTGCCTCCACAGCACTGGATCACAGACAGCCACGTTCGTAGCCACCACCACACGGCTAAGGTAACATGGCCCTGTGAAGATGCAGCCGAGGGGTGACCACCTTCTGTCCGCCCTGCTGCTCGGCGAGGAGGAGGTGGGGCTGTGGTGGTTCGGGGCCGCCACTGTCTCTGACGCGCTCTAGCAAGCGCCACTGTGCGTGGACGAGCAGCGGTGTCACCTGCTCCGCGTGACGATTCCTGCACGCGTGGTAAGTGGCGGATTTACCTAAATGTCGCCTAAACAATTTTTTTACTATTTTATTTTACCAGCTAAGGCTCACTGAGCTATTTGCGTATTTTTCAAAAGCAACCTGGTCACAAATTATTGCTCAACGAAGTGGCTTATCATGTGGAAATTTATAGCAGCAAAATATTTTAAACGCGTGTTGATTCTAAATCTGGAGGGACAAATGCTGCTACGGAACCACGCGGAGAACACGCAAATTCCAAATATACAGGCGTCAGGGTCTGGATTGAACCCATAACCTCCTTTATACCAGGCGACGAAGTTAACATCTCGCCACCGTGGCGCCAAATGGCCTGCCGACGGGTGCTGTTCCAAAGGATATTCCTTCATACAATTGCATCACAACCTCAAAAGCTCATTTGGGAAATAACTTGTGAACACATTATATGAGGGTGTTTAGACTAAAGTTATTTTTCAGAGTACGCGTGTTAGCATCAGCATGACAATTACTCCCCAAAGTCACCCACTATTAAAATACACTTTCCCAGTTGCCCACACGCTCCTAACACCAGCAGCACAGAAGTTATGTGGTTGGTTATTAAGCTAAGAATGCACCACTGATTTCACTGCCTTGTCACAGTCAAATTTCTTTCCAAACAAATGGCAGTCCAAAGGAGCTAGGTCTGTGCCATATCGCGGATGTTCCAGAATGTCTCATGCAAGCTCTCCCAACAATTCCATTGTTATAAATGCAGAATGTGGACGTGCGATATGTGACTGAAGCGCACCACTCCCTTTCACCACTTGTAGCATCATTCATGAATTAATTTCACGTATCTTTGAACCTTTAGAGGACAAAACAAACACAAGTGACAGCTCACTGCTCTTCTAAAATGCACCTGTGCAAGAGTGCAGCTAATTGATTTAGTGAAAAATCCACTGTTTAGTGGAAAATGTTGGGAAAAACTATCGCACGTGATTACCATGCCCCATTCTCTACACGATTAGTTAAAAAAATTTACTGACATAGTTTATAGATAAAAAATTCGAATTGGGTATTCAAACACTTTCGTATTAGGACACGGCCTGTGAACGTTGACCAGGTGGCATAGATAGGAACGCTCAGCTGGCAAAGGCTGAGATTCTGGGTTCAACTTCAGGCAGCCGCTTGTGATGAAACCAGGTTTTCAAGCGTGACCGTACAAAGAAATCATAACATTACATTTGGTTCTGCACTTAATTTGGCTAAACACCCGCTCTGTACTCATACAGGTGGGAAATGTATGTCCTTGACTACGTGCACCAGAGGTCACTCGAAGGGATCTCATCTGTAGCTCTGAGATATCAGCTTTAGTGGGCCGTTCTCGATAACACGAATAGCGGCACTGTTCTGCAAGCGATAACAATGGATTCTTCGTCCCATTACATGACACCAGTGGTACAATCGGGACATAACTGAGGAAACAAAGATCACAAAAAATGTAAATGAACCAAAAAAACACTATGCTACATGGCGCCTAGTACGCGGAGTTGCGAGGATGCAAACTTTGGTGAAATCTGGCCCGCATGCACACCGTGTGAGATCGTTGAAACGCAGCGCAAGATGAGCCAGGTGCTCCCACTTGCGCTGCCGATGAAGAGTTTCCAGAGCCCGCAGAACAAGCGATCGGAGGTCCATCATGGCCGTCCTCTCGGCATCGCCTCCCTCTAAACCGCCGTCGCCATCATCGTCATCGTAGTCTTGTTCCTCGTCCACAGTGTTGTCCTTAAAGAGGCGGGGAAATAAAAGTGAAATGAAATAAATCTGAGATATCTACAGTTGTACACGTATACATGTTTTTGTCAATCCCCTGCTGGATGATGGCTTCCCCATGCCAAGCGGGTCATGGGAGTTATTTGACCATACTTTACCAAAATGGTCAGTGCAGTTGGCGAATGTGAGGAGCACAGACATGGACAGGGGTCGGCTGCATGCGACTCTTTCAGGACTGTTTCGGGACGTTGTTTATCGAGGACCGTCTCGTATTCACATGCATTGCGGTTCTTGAAATCTTCAGTTTGTTACCAAATAAAAAAAAAATGTCTCTTCTTGTTGTTTTGGTTGCCGACCCCTGGACATGGGAAAACAGAAGTACACTGCTGTACAACTCTAGATTTGCGATACTGCCCTCTTGCTGTCCAGAGGGCAGCTGTTGGAATTGTTGGGCTGCGTTTTATATAATGAAGCAGCTCTGATTCGTAATTTTATTGAGATTTACAGATGCAAGAGATTATGATCACATCACTCAGAATGCACTCTATTTCGTCAAATCTCACTGTTGCACTGTGCAATGCTTCCACATATACTGCACAGGATGCTCCCAACCAACACCAAACTACAACATACATGGCATGAGGAGGTGCTCATTCAAAAGTTGATGGAGAAAAGTGTTCTACATATATAATACGAGGCTTTATTCACCATCATGTATAGTCTTCATCTACCATGCATCCTGTGATCCATTATACCTTTTTCGTTTTGCTGTTACTTTGGCATCAGGAACAATTATTCAGTATATCTCAAGTAACGCCGAAAGCACCCAGCCAATGCCAAAAAGACCCAACCCAACCCCACCACAGACGGGGCGTGGTTGACGCCAGCTCTGCAACAGCCGTACTTTGGGTCGTCCTTGCGTCCACGTGACTCGATCGAGCATCGAGTCGGCGGCGAGAAAGAGGGGAAACCAGACGACCTCTCGCTGGGTCCTCGCCGGCACGTGACCAGCGCCACCGCCGCCACCGCCGTCATCTCCCTCCAGCCGCTGGGGCTCGTGGGAGGAGCGCACGCAGTCCAGGAGTGAGCGGCTCACGTCCCACAGCAGAGAGCGGTGACCGCCGCGGTGAGCGAGCACCTGGGACACGCGCGCACGCAGCTGCCAGTGTCAATGGTGGCCTTCTTCCCCCTCCTGGCTCATGTGCCTCGCAGCCCCCCTTTGTCTTCTCGATGCAACGATGCCTCATTACTCTTCAGCCCCCCAGATTTCTGTCACCCCCCCCCCCAGCTACGACCAGGCCTATCCAAACCCCTTCTTATCAATCCCCCTTGTTTTACTGTCATCAAAAGTACACCACCACTTACAATAACTCAATTCTTCATTTCAAATCATTATCAATTTTATAATTGATTTAAAGCTCCTTTATAAAGCGCTATATAGTGTAACACAAACAGGTGACTGTGTTACAGTCGAAACGTCGTGAGAATTTTATTGTTTTATATATATTTTATTATTTTATTGTTTCCCTTCAACGTGACTTTACCAAAAAAACCAAGAATATGAATCACTGCAGTCACGAAAGCTTTAAATCAAAATTTTACATCTAGATTAGATAAGAATGGAAAGTAATATTTGTATTGATTAGTTTTTCTCTCACTCAGACACTCCGGATGATCCAAAATTCCACTGCCAGACTTCTCACCCGTACCCATAAATGAGACCACATCACACCAATACTCTGCCTCCACTGACTCAAAATCCCATCCCAGATCAATTTCAGGATCACACTCGCCATCTTCAACATTCTTCATGGACACTAAAATAAAACTAAACTATTTTTATTTTATCAGGTAAGGCCCAGCGAGCTATATAGCTCTTTTTCAGAAGTGACCTGGCCGCAAATGATTGTGAAACAAAGTGGCTCATCATGCGGAAATGTATAGCAGCCAAATACTCTAAACGCATGTTTCTAAATGTGGAGGGGGAAATAAGATGACCTGAAGGAAAATCCAGGTGACTAAGGGGAGAACTTGCAAACTCCAAATATACGGGCGTCAGGGTCGGGATCGAACCCAAGACCTCCTGCATACCAGGTGAAGTAGTTAACATCTCGCCACCGTGACACGACCCTGTCTGACTCTCTCCTCTCACCTCGCTCTGCTCCCCTCACAAACCCCTACCTCACATCTCACTCCACTCCAATCACTATGCTCCCCGCCCACCCCCCAGTCAACCTTCACCAAGTGGGAGGTCGCTAATTCTCTCTGCTGTCCTCATCGTCTGGAACTTCCTTCCCCCAACCCGTAGTGTGATGGCCTCCTTGACTGGGCTCAAGAGCTTCCTTTCTTTCCTCTACTTATGTTTCTCACTATAATATAAATAATCCCACAATGCAGTCTCTTGCACAACAGCATCTTACGATGCGATAAGAATGAATATTGTAGTGTTCATATTCTTGGTTCTTTCGGTAAAGTCACGTACAATGGAAATAAAATAATAAAAATAAAACATAATAAAATGTTATTATGTTTTATTAAAAATATGTTATTATGTTTTATTTTTATTATTTTATTTCCATTCTCCGTGACTTTACCGAAAGAACCAAGAAGATAAATCCCTGCAGTCACGAAGGCATTAAATCGAAATATTGTAGTGTTGTTGACGTTGCTCCTATATCCTGTTGCAATGAACCTAACCACCTTTAAATGACATCCCCACAGGATGTGGCATTTTATGCTCTGCATCTACTCTGTAACATGGTTGTTTTTGAACAAATTAGGTTCTTGATTTTCTTTCAGATCTGACCGCACAGGGTCAGCATGTAACAGTTCGTACAGAGAGGACAGGGGGCATGGAAACACTCACGACGGCCTTGCGAAGGTATGTGCAGGCCGCCGTGAGGCGCTCCGTCAGCTCGACGAGCGAAGCCCCGGGATCGCCATCCTTTCCGGCGCTCCTCCGAGTTCTCTTGGACCTCGCCTCTCCGTACGACGAGTCTGCGGAGCTGGTTCCTGACCTCCCGCTCCCACCGCCGTCGCCGCCACCATCACAGTCGTCGTCGTCGTCATCGTCGTCGTCGTCATCGTGTTCGTCATCGCTCCCTCCGTTACTGCCAGCGACCTTCATCATGGCTGCTCTCAACACACATGGCGCCAGGCGTAGAATGCTCATCAAGGTGTGAATATGGCCACGTGTGTGTGGTTAGCACGCTGCGCTGCTAACCCGGTGACCCGCGTCCGATTCTCGCTCACGGCCAACACCAGTGACGATTTTATGAACTGGCCCGGGGGCTCCCCGAGGTGGACTCAGCCTCAAATGAGTACCTGGTGCAATGTGTAAACATCTCCATGAGGGAGACAAAGGCAGCCGGGCATAGTGCTGGCCACCTACCCCCTCGTGTGCCGTGCCAGCCTTTATAGGTACTCACTCACATCACTTACCTGAACAGTCTGTTATGGCTATATGGGGGATTTTTGTCGTTATGTATGTTCTCACTGTAGATGGACAATACCACCGCCTGTGACTAAATCACCTGGAATTCTCCTAATCTTGTCAGAAATCAGTAGCTAAGCAGGGTTGATTCTGGACAGAGTTTGGATGGGTGACCACTATGCACTATGGATTACTATAGGTTGCCTGGTTATGTGTTGAGCAGCAGAGGGCAGTAAAGAAATATCTATTTGTGTGTTGTACTTCTATGCTCCAACAACTCGCTGCCATCACTGACCGGCACTAACCAACCCGGCGAAGTACGGTCCAATGACCCCCTTGACCCGCAGGGCGTGGGGAAGCCCTCATCCAGGAGTGGATTGACAAAAAGGGCTCCTCTATGTGTAGAGATATGCATTACTTAAAAATACTGTGTACAAAGTAAAGAGGTGGCAGGGTTGGCTCAGAGGTCAGAGTGCTGAGCAGGCACTGCTGAGGTCTTGTTTTCAAATCCAGGCGGCTGCCTGTGATTAAACTGGGTTCTCAAGTGTATTGAGTTCATGGTTTCAGCCCGATCACCAATGACTACACAAAAGCACCCTAACATTAAATCTGACTCTCCAATTTAGTTAAATTCCAGCTCTGAGAACAAAAAATAAATTATATTGCCATGCGATGAACATTACTCTCATATGCGGAACGGGTGGCGAAATGCTGCCCTCTACCGTGTGGACCAAAGGTATCTCAGAGGTAGATTGTGTGATATATCTCCTTCCGTGGGCCGATTTTAATCACGAAGCATCACGCTATTCTGTTGACGCTTCATCTCATGACGCGAGCGAATCCGATCACACAATCGGGACAAAATTTGGGTAAAGATGACAAGGGCAGGAAACAGTGGTTACGGCACCCAGAACGCGGCGTTGGGAAGACGCGGACTTTTGCGCCATCACCGCCCTGGAGACTTCTGTCTCCTTGGCGCCATCTCGAGCTGTGGCTGGGATTTCCGGCATTGCCACCACGACCCCTGACGCCTCCAGCGAGAAGACGTTGGAGTCCAGGGCTCCGTCGCTGTAAGCACAGAGCGCCGTTGTCTTTGCTGTGGTCCAACACCGTGGTCCGGCGTTTTTTCAGGCAAGGTTGGCGGATCGTGCGGATGTTAGTTACTGTGTGCGTGAAAATCCTGCCTGCATGGCTGCAGAACTGGATTTGTAGGGAGGAAAGTAGGCAATTAGGCATACATGTAGACAGGAAGGTGGGATGGTGGGTGGGTATGGATACATGGAGGTGGAAAGTAGATATAAGTAGGTAGGCAGGAAAATAGACGAATAGGCATGTAGGATAGTACGTAGGTAGGTTCAGCAGGGAGGGAGATATGGAGGTTATGTAATTGGTAGGCAGCTAAGCATGCGGGTAGATGTGTAGTTAGGTGGCAGGGTACAGAAAATAAGTTGACTTAGTGAAGTTTGGACAGGACCCATGAGTTCCCCTGTTCAGAAAAAACGCGACCAATTGGTTTTGATAGCGACGTAAACAAGCGCAGTAAAGTGCAAGGAAATAACGATCGCTCACCTCCAGAGCCCCGGTGTGTTGTGTCTCTGCACCCATTCGTGCTTGCGCAGAAAGAGAGTGAGGTGACACCAGCCCAGCAGCTGGTTAAACCGACTCCGCCAGAGACACTCCTTTGTGCACACCTGCAATACGAGGCACGTGACGCAAACACGGAAAGACAACTGAGACACATGGGCTCAAAAGGGACAAATGCAGCTCCTCCCATTATCACATAGCCATGCCCGCTCAATCGCTCACCCTGCCAACACTGAGTGGCCTCCTCACTCTTCTACTGCTTTACTCCTGGGCCAACCACTCCCACTATTCAGGTGACTCCACGAATTGCCAATATCACGAGTCAAGAAAGAGCCCAGAAATGTCAAAAATGGGTCAAAATTTAAATTATCGCGAATGGTTCAGAACACCAGGGCAACTCTTCTGAAGCTGGGACTGTTCTGGCCAAACCAGAACATTTGGTAGCTTTAGACAAAGATTCTCCACGTAGCCACAGAGGCCGCTGGAACAAGCGCTGTTAGCGAGTCGCAATCACCACCAGCACAGTACGTGAAGAAGTGGTGTCATCAGAAAAAGTTTACGCAATACACTACCTACTTGTTTAGGTGGTAGCTGCCTGGGTTCAAGCCCAAGTATTCAGCGCTGCTGGATCAGTGTCCCAGACACAGTCATAATAATAAAAATACAATAACATTTGGATTTATAGAGCATCTAAATGCAACTGCATCTCAAACCTATCAATTTATTATTTTTATTCTCATTCTACGTGACTTTACCGAAAGAACCAAAGAAGATGAAACCTTCACGTGTTGTTTTAAACTCATTGCTTGGTCAATGTGAGCTTTTGAACAAAAGCTTATTAATTGAAAATTTATTTTACTGATACTTAAATGTTGCCTTGATGCTGCCTTGTGGTGGAGCAATGCTGCTGTGATCGATGCTCTGCGAGCGGTATAGGAACTGGCTCTAGACCATCTCTTGACTACCGTGCACCGACCAGCGCGGTGAAGTATGGTCAAACAACCTCCACGACCGACACTGCGTGGGGAAGCCTTCTAACCATCACATTGTTTTGCTGTTTATTATTCAAGTTGCATCCAAATGAATGAAAGAACGAACGAGTGGAAGCATCTCATGTCTTTTGAGTTCGGAGGGTCGGACTGACCTGGCGGAGTCGCTGGCGACGGATGAGCGGTCGAACGAAGCTCGTGAGCGCTTCTGTCAGCTGCTCCAGAGCCTTCTTCTCTTGCTGCTTTTTGCTCTCCCTTGCGATGAGGCGAGCGATATGGGTCAGGGGAGGAGAGATGACGTTGCCGCTCTTGTCAACGCAACAACGGCACGCTTTTGCGCGCCGTCGCACCGCGCGCGTCAACCGCTCATGGTGTGCGCGCCATCGCATTTGTGCGTGGCCACTACATTGTCTGTGGTTTCATTGGCGCACCTTAATAATTATCCGTCGAAGAGGTTGATCATTATTTAATGGCAGTCATAAGGAACATTGGAGGGTTTCTGCTGAGTTCTCTTACTCAAAGGTCGAGTCAAGAAACGTGAATAGGGAAACATCGCCAAGGTGACGGAGTTCAGCCGCTTCGTCAAGATGCAACGAATTTGGTGCTTTACGTTGCACCTGATATTGAACGTGAACCGCGATCCACGACCCTCACCTCTGCCTCTGCAATTTCCCTGGGACTGATTTCTTTGGGGCGACGGTGGATCTGCTTGTGAGCTGAGGCTCCAGGCTCTACCGGCAGACAGGAGACAGCACTGAGCATTCTTTCGTTCATCACATGTTCTGCGAGACCGGCAATCGTATAAGACAATTATAAGGGAGGAGCAGATGTTGTGCCCCGCAGACATGAGGATGGTGATATGAAGCTAAGGGATCACAAGACTTGATCAGATCAGACATGGAAGGTTGAGGAAGAAGGCGTGAGTGGTACACATCTCAGACAAGCTGAAAGGAAATTGACTCAGATGGCCGGGATGTTTAGTAAGAAGAGTGGAAAAAACACTTTTTTTTTCATGTATGTCATTGTCCATGTCTTATAATAGAAAAAATATACAATGACTGAATGTGACGCACAATGGCTCTTCTTTAGAGTAGCTACTCTGTAACCTAATATATATTCCAATGTTACATCATCATCAGTCATGATCAATCTACTGCTGCATGACATCATGAATGCCAAATGCCATTAAAGAATTATATGTGAGCAAAATCATTAAAACTATATTAAATTATGGTTAAACTATTTACCTTTCGTATAGAGTATAATACACACAGTACATTTTATGAGTGTAAATATGAATTTGGGTTGACTAATTGATACATAATGCACTACAGAGTACAGCAACAGGCTACGCTGAGCCTGCACTTCGAAAGGCTTGCATAAATTTGACAGGTGATCAAAAATATACATTTCCACACCAACAAAAGGCCAATTTAGCCTGGGATGACAGTAAGAATGAACAAACGATGAGTGGGGACACCTTGTGGTAGTCAGCAATGATACTGGTCTGTTTCCTTGGATCATCCGTGCCCACTCTGATAAGCCCTGTCATCTTCTCCAGCTCTGGTTTGAGGCCGAGAATCAATTCATTCCGTCTGCAATTAAAAAAACACAGCAGAGGAGCAAAGTCAACAACGCCGAGGAGTGTCGCTGCTCAGACGAGCAACGGGACCATGCCCCCTGTGTCCACATTCTCACGGTGAGGCACCTCCCCCACGCCATGTGGGTTGAGGGGAGTTATTTGACCATACTTTCGCCATGCTGGTCAGTGCAGGTTGGTGAAGGCGGGGAGCATAAATGCACAGAACAGTGGATTTTGCTGCTCTGCCCTCTGCTGCCCACTACATAACCAATGTAGCTCTCAATGTGGTACCATACACAGTTAATTAGCCCCACAGAGGGGATGATGGGCAGAGTCAACCCCTGACTTGGAATTAAACTCATGCCCTTCTGGTTGTGAGCCAAGCGCTCTCATCACAGCAACATCCTGTTGGGCAGTTAGCGTAATAACAGCCACTTAAAAATATAATCTCAACCGACATTCGTATTATTATCAAATGCTTTGTGATTATGTCAATAAGCGTGCTGTTGGAAAAGAGGTTCTGTGCTGCTGCTGTTTATAGTGATGGCTTTGCTGCTACTGATGCTGCTCCTGACAATGATGTTTCTCTTGGTGCTACTACAGCTGCTGCTCCTGACTACTGTATAATATAGGTGATGAGGTTGCTGCTACTGATGCTGCTCCTGACAATGATGTTTCTCTTGCTGGTACTACAGCTGCTGCTCCTGACTACTGTATAATATAGGTGATGAGGTTGCTGCTACTGATGCTGCTCCTGACAATGATGTTTCTCTTGCTGCTACTACAGCTGCTGCTTGCTCCTGACTACTGTATAATATAGGTGATGAGGTTGCTGCTACTGATGTTGCTCCTGACAATGATGTTCCTCTTGCTGCCACTACAGCTGCTTGCTCCTGACTACTGTATAATATAGGTGATGAGGTTGCTGCTACTGATGTTGCTCCTGACAATGATGTTTCTCTTGCTGCTACTACAGCTGCTGCTCCTGACTACTGTATAATATAGGTGATGAGGTTGCTGCTACTGATGTTGCTCCTGACAATGATGTTCCTCTTGCTGCTACTACAGCTGCTGCTCCTGACTACTGTATAATATAGGTGATGAGGTTGCTGCTGCTGATGATGATGTCAGGACCTGATGAGCCAAAGTTGAATGTCTTCACCCCACTCCACTGCCAGCTCCACCGCGTCCTCAGAAAGAGCTCGGTTGAGCAAATGCACGAAGAACTCCAGGAAACGAGGGTGTCGGTGGAACTTCATCACTGTGCCCAACAAAGACGTAAAGACTCACCCGACAAACATCAACATCACAATTTCCATGGCACGGAACCATCTCCCTATCGCATATACGAAGACAAAGAACACCCGTGTTGCCTTTTCAGGATATTTGAGCAAGTGCTATGAGCGAGCAGCACTTGTGAAGGCTGGCACGGTAAACAAGGGGGTGCAATGATCAGCGCCATCCCCGGCTGAGTCGACTTGATACACACACATAGAGATACATAGATACACATAACAACTAGTGTGCACTATTAGCAGAGTAAGTACTGTGTCCCACATGTGGTTCAATATTTCCTAGAATTTGTATTTAGGAGCAGAGGCGTTTTATATTGAATGGCAGTAAGTGCTTTAACACTGCAGGAATAACATTATTGCATTATTTTTGAGGGGTTGGGTCCAGTATGGTTGCGGGAAAGATAGCAGTGTGGAATTGGCTTGTAGGTTTGGGTCGAGTTAGGTAGCCACAGGTCAGGTGTCGGGTCGTGGGTGAAAAAGTTAGACCCGCACAGGACTCTATCTCAGAGTGCAAAGGTAACCACCAATTGTATACATTTGATTGGGTATTTTGTTCCCTCCATTATCCACATCGGACGTGGAATTTTAATGAGTGAATAACCCTGTCGGAAAATACCTTCCTTGTGCGCCATCTTAAGAGGTAGTTTTGCAATACATGAGTGCAGCACCATTGGATCTTCAAGTCCCGTGAGATCTGCTTTGACATCTGGTTATGGCATGGGAAATTAGGGGAGACAACATTCAGTGGTGAGTGGTATCTGAACCGGCCCTGGGCCTCCTCCTCATCACTTCCCCAACACACATTGAGCAGACGTGGTGAGCTATGGTTAAACAATCTCCACAGACGACATGGCAGGGGAGGCCTTCGTCCACTAGTTGAATGACCAAGGGGCCGCTCTCCTAGCTTACAGTTACATGCTAATTTCTCACATTAACATCACTTGCCCCAGCCACTTCTTTATGACCCTTGAGCTACACCCCTTTCAAATCTTTTAAGACAGTCTGCCTCAGCAGCAGACCATGCTTTCCCACCTGATGATGAACGCTTGTGTTGCGCCCGAAACGTCGTGATTTATTTTATTTTATACCTACGTGACTTTACCGAAAGAACCAAAGAGTATGACCAAGGGGTGTTCGTATGTATAAAAAAGATGACGGATCTCATTGTAGGAGAGGATTAAAAGTCAATCAAAGTGTGCCGTTGCTCGAATGAGCATGGAGATACTTGCGTAAATTCCATATTCCTATGGCAGGGCGCACTTATGCCATTCCATAGGACAACAACTCAAGATAACTCATTGCATTCCTTAATGATCCCAGAGAATTTAAGCACCGAGTCATGCCCTGACCAGGATATGCAAACTTTTCCACTTGTAAGTCACACGCAGCAACAACAACATCACCACCCAGTGAGTGAGACATTTTTAACACAATATTAAAGTCCAACTTACCTTGTTTAGAGATCTTTAGCGCATAAGCCTCCAATGCATTTAATTCAGCAGTAAAGTTGCGTTCCTCTTTGGGTGCCTGCTGCTTTTTAATCGTGAGTCTTTTTCCGATACTTGACTGTAAGAACAGCAATCACACTTTAAAGTATGTACTTGTATAAATAATACTACACATACTAACCAGGGGGAGCCACGGTGCAATGGTTTGCACACTGCGTTCTGAACTCGATAACCTGAGCTCAATTTTACGCTACAGCTAACATCAGTGGCAAGTGACATTTCAAGTGATACTGGGCCCTCCCGTAACTGATCTACTCTAGCCAGTGGCAGTAAAAGGACCCTCATCACTGACACGGCTGGGGGAAGCCTTCATTCACTAGCAATTAAACGAGACGTGTAACAATCCACTGACTCGCGATTCGATTATTTTTCATGATTAGCAGCGGTGATTCAACTCGAGATTAATTTATCTTCTTGCCTCTAGTACAGTGGCCTCAGGGGTTATATAGGACTGGCTATGGTTTTAATATTGTTTTCTCATTATAGAAGCTTTAAAACGTATATTGGACAGCCCACGACATGCTATGTAGGTGTGTGTCTGCAAGACAAGAGCAATCGATTAATTGATACGCATCTTTCTTTGACAATCGATGAATAAAGACACGACTGCAGTGTTTTCCTGACCTCCAGCAGTGTGCTACTGCCAACATCCTGCCTGTCGGTCGCCCTGGGCATCTCGAGAGACGAGGGCAGGGCCAAGCCATCAAGGTCTTCTCGAAGGAGACGCTTTCCCAATTCCAGGGCATCACCAGCAACGTCCGGCTCATCCCATTCACAGTGCGCCTGTGCAAAGTGCGGTCAAACATCAGCAATCGACCACCTCAGTCCAACCTAGGAGGGGTCGCCCTCACACAGGAAGCAATCATTGACCTCGATGAAATTTTGTCGACATGGATCCCACAAGTGGCGTAGCGTGGTTGGCATGTGTCCCTGGGTGATCATCATCATTATGATCGCTCACTGAACTCCAGACACTGAAATGTACCCGAGTTAATCCTGTGACTGAAAGATAGACGGACAGACAAAGACATATTTTTATACAAATAGATATGTAGGTAGATAGACGGAGATATGGATGCATGGACGTAAAGATGGATGGAAAGACAGACATATGGATAAACAACCAGACAGATTGATACATAAACTTTCTACAATGTCATAATTGCATTCTCTGAGTTACAGAAACCCATGTCATAATATGAGATTAATATCTCACAATACCATAGGAAGAGAAAAAGATGTGTAAATGCAGTGTCTTGGATGGTGCATAATTATTATTCAACTGACAAACACCGCAACTTTTAATTCTTCCTTGAACGGCTGATCTTGATGTACAGCAACAACTATAATTTTACAATGAAGTGGCCGAGTCAGATAATTGCATCAGGATACCTCCTTTGACCCAGAAAGCTTTCCAAATTTCCCCAAGGTGGCGACCTCATAAAGAGGACGTCCTGGGAAAATCAGAACGTGTGGCAACCTCATGCCTTGCGGGAATCATTTTCCTATAACCACAAAAGGGTGGTGGCAATCACCTTGGCCAGGTAGTTTGACATTTTCGCCACCATGTGCTGGAGACTCTCACTGAAGCCCGCTTGCTTGCGTACACGGACAGATGACGGGACTGCCTTTATCATATCCAGGCATAACCAGAGGACCTGAAGAAACATCACAGTAGACACACCGAATCAATATTCAACTTTGTTTCGTTGATAAGTGCATGGGTAAATGAGTAGGAAGGCATGTAGATGGGTCTCTATGCCAATGTATGTGGATTGTGTGCACCTGTGTGTGTGTATATATTTAGGGAAGCAGTAGTGTAGTGGTTAACGCATTGCGCTACGAACCCAGTGACCCAAGTTCGATACCCACTCACGGCCAACATCGCACTGGAGAAACAAAGGTGGCCGGGCGTGGTGCTGGCCACCCACCCCCTTGTGTACCATCCTGGTCTTCAACAGATGCTGGCTATCAACATTTCGCCCCAACAGTCTGTCAAGGCTATATGGAGGATCTTTGTTTTTGTGTATATTTGTGCATGTGTGTGTGCTTGCACGCATGCCTTTGCCGCGGCTCTTGAGGTCACGCCGTGGTACATGAAAGGCGCCAGAAGCTCGTGACACGTGGCCCCGGCCTGCAAGGTCAGCGTCGGCTCGTCCAGATGATGATGGCACAGCTCCAGCGCCACCAGCACACGTGCGCACTCCTCCAGACGGGTGATCTGAGGGCACCACACAGGGGCGGACTCGCCCAAAGGTAAGTGGCAGTGAGCAGGGCCCATCAATGATGGCGCTATGCTGCCATGGTGTAAATTCCCTGGTACGGCAGTTGAAACAATGGTGCAACTTGCTTCCATTCACCCGCCTTTGTTCACGAAGCAGTATAAATGCGTGTACCACAATTGCTCGATTTATAGGCCGTGTGTGGTGTGATAAAGTGTGAGTCCTCCCACCTCTTCTAAGATGTCCGTACAGCTTGGAAAATAAGTCAATATACCCAATAATCTATCTCAATAGCATACACGTTGTCTACAGCTCTATAACCGACCTGCCTGGGGAAGAAAAGTACAGGATGGTGCAGTCCTCTGTGAGAGTAGAAGCTTCTGTGCTATCTTGAAGAGGCAGCAGCACAAATCTACCAAGGAAGGATGTGTGACTGCACCTCAGAGTTCGACATCCTCCCTGACCTGTCCAGTGTGCCACAGAGAGTTCCGGGCTCGGATTGGCCTGTTCAGCCATCTGCGCACTCATCAAAACCCAACTAAATGACAAACGTGCCATGGTCATCATCAACTTGATGGACGAACAAGAGAGAGATAATCTATATCTCTCGTTTATATATCTTACATCTTACTCATTTGTCTCATAATGTCCCAGTGAGCCACATATCTCGCAGTGAAACGCCCCTACAGCCATCGTGGGCCACATCCTGACTGCAGTCTGCCAGTTGAAGAATTATGTCCTCGCGTAACGTGGCCTTAAACCCAAAGAGCTAGAGCGGGGATGCCACACTTGCTCTACAGCCACCCAACAACACCACGACCACCACCACTCTCTTCCCATACCTGCCATTGCAGGGGAACGCGCTTCTCCGGGGAGACAGATGCACCCCCCATGGTCATGTCACACGAGATGAAGACGCTGGACACGAACAGCCTGAGAAGAATGGGCGACGCCCCACTCACTGCCTCCTCCCGCAGCCTATGGAGACAAAAGTGCAAACACCACACGAATGTATGGTTTTGTTAGTGGGCGTGCGTGCGTGCGTGCGTGCGTTAAGTGTGAATGGGAGAGAGGGATGGACTCATGGGGAAGATGTACTGTGTCCACAGGATGGACTTTCCTCTGGTAAGAAATTACTAATTAATGAGTGAAGTCAAGTACATTTATTTTTGGTTAACACATGGTGCCTTTCTGGCAGAAATCTGCCACCCAAAGTGCCAGATATATGAAGGAGACACATTGTCTGCTTATCTATTCTGTTTAATAAAGAATGTATTGATACACGCATAACTTGTACATTGTTAACGTAACAATTGATTGCAAATGAGGCATCAATGTATTGCAATATTCCTAGTTACTGAGGGTAGATACAAACAGAATGATTTAACCTTTGAGCATTCTCGTAGGGGCTTCTGTCCAAAACCAAGGCCAAACACTCATTAATGTAACTGGACAAACATTTCAGTGCATGACCACCCTCCTGAAAATGAGCGTTACGACTCGTTAATACTTACCTGGGCTAATACATGGCATTGAAGTATTATTCTGATTACCTTAAAGCTACCAAACGTCCTGGGTTCAAAAAGGCTGTTCCTGTGTTCCACAGCATTTAATATTTTCAGGCCTCATGCTCAATTCACGAGGTTGGCAAAGGGCAGGGCTACCTGAGTCGTAGTTTGGGTTGGCAGTGGAGTGGGGTGGGGCGGCCTACGGGCAGTAGGCAGGGCCAATGTCAAAAACAGCAAGAACACTCACTGTGTGGGCAGGATAGTGATTGAGTGCACGTCGCTATATAAAAGTTGGTGGGGCTGCCAGTTCACCAAATGTCCTGGTTGAGCTTCCCAGAAATGTGGTAGCGTTAGCCTACCTCCACCGCTTCACAGAGTCTTCAGAGTCAGATTCAGACTCTGGCGAGGACACAAAATGATCCCAGAGCAGTGTGCATGCTGACCTCGCGATGGCGAAACATCGCGTTTGGAAAGCCACCTGCAACAACAGAACACCACCCCGGCCACAATAGCACTCTTGAAGGCCTTAAAAAAGTTGGGCAACATTTTTGAACGTCACTATGTTTCTCTGCTTTACACGTATACCTTACAGACTTGACTGCTACGCCATAGTGGATTAGCCAAGGGAAGTGGTTATGTGGGTTAACGGGTTTATTGATCGGTGCATTCGGATTGGTTGGTGGTCTTGTTGGTTGGTAGGTGAATAAGTGTGTTTATGGGAAGGTAGTTGCGTGGGTGGTATTAGTAAATAGGAGGGTTGGTCTGCTGGATGCTTTGTGATTGGGTTGGGCATTTACTTGGTAGGTGTGTTGGTGTGTTCGTTGTTTGCTGGTGGGTTTATTGAGTGGGTGTGTTGGAGGGTTAGTGAGCTGGATAATGAGTTATGTGAGTTGATGGGAAAAGTTAGTTTAGTGTCAGTGGATGAGCAGACTTGTTGACGGATAGGTGTGTCAGTGGGGTTAGTAGGCTGGTGGATAGTTTATTGGTGGGCTAGTAAACTTGGCTCATGGGTGGGTATATTGGCGGTCTAGTAGACGGGTTGATGGATGGGTGTGGTTGATGGGCGAGTAGACCGGTTGATGGATGGGAGTGGTTAGTGGTCTAGTAGACTGGTTGATGGATGGGTATGGTTGGTGGGCGAGTCGACTGGTTGATGGATGGGAGTGGTTGGTGGTCTAGTAGACTGGTTGATGGATGGGTATGGTTGGTGGGCGAGTTGATGTGTGAGTGTGTCGAGTGCATCGCTGGGTGGGTGCTGTGCGACAAACCTGCGCCAGATAGGCCCATGCCAGAAGTGTGGGCAGGGGGCACGAGGCCAGGATAGGGCGAGTGGTCTCCCCAATGGTGCCACCCACCAGGCTGCCGTCGCGAGCGTATGCCGCCACCGCGAACACGTACTTCTCATTAGGCTGCAGCCCCTCGGCGCGAAGGAGGCACCCTTCGCCCGCGAGCACCTGTAAGCGTTCGCCGTGAGACATTTCGAGGGTGGGTCAGGCGGCTCAGGTGGCTCTTATTGGCCGCGTCACAAATTCTGAGCTCACACAGCTGAGATCAAATATAAAATCCCAGGCAGCCACACATAATGATAAAAATGATGGAATGATTCCTCGACAAATTGTCATGATTTGGTATCATAAGTCGATTAAAAAAAATTAAATATCGCCAGAATTAGCATTTTTCCCTTGTCTATTTTGTATAGTTCTGTTCACTCAATTCATCTAAATGTAACATTCCCATACCATTCGTATCTAATTTACATGAATCATAAAACAAAGATTCTAACATGCAAATTTAAATGTATTTATCGTAAGCGAAAGAATCAATTTAAATAGATTGTCCTACGTAACTTTACACGTCTAGTTGTAGCTGGGCCAACCCATGTCCACCCGTGCATGAACTGAGAGGCCTGGCGGTGGCTGGTTAGTGCTCCACTGTGCTCTGTACCTCCTCTCCAGTGCCCTGCAGGTGGTAGTCACTGAGCCGCACTTTCACGTTGTGACCCGTGGCCGTGCGCCCGAACAGTCGGTACCACACCACCTGTGGGAAGGTGAGACAAAAGCTGCCGTCACCGAGAGAGCGATCAACAAAACAGAGCCCTGATTTGGACCTGCACAAGCAATTATTCTGATAACTTATAGTACTCAATTCCCTAGTCAGACTGGAAGACTCCTGTTGGTTTAATAGGTATGATAGTAATGACAATATGAAGTTGAGTTTTTTTTTAAACACATAATACATATATGTACACGTTATAACCAAATGGTCTATTATTTCAAAAGAGACCTGGGGTGTAAACAAATAAAGAACGTACAAAAATATTGCAGTATAGTACAGAAATACAGATAATCAAAATATCAAGAATGATAAAAAATATTTTAATATGATTATAGTCACAATTATCGTGGTGGTGGTAGTGATGGTGATTACGATTGCGATAACAACAAATCAATTCAAGCATTCATGCAGTCAAATAATTTGCATATTAATATATATTTGTCACGTATTCACAGATGCAGCTGTCACCCAGGCATATGTAGAACTTTAGAAATGCTTTTTGTGTTTAGTTAGTTGTCCTTCCCCCGCACCTCCGAATAGCACGGTTGGCTACGTACGGCGCGAAAGAAGTTCAACGTACATGCAGACATACGTGTGCAGGTGCGCTCGTGCGTGCTCGTGCATTCACGTGCTTGTGCGATCACACGCAGCTCGTGCGCCGGGTGATCGCGTGAGCAGTGGCACCTGCGGTGAGCCGCTGAAGGGCACAGGGGCGAACACCGCGCCGCGTTCTCCACACCGCAGCAGGAGGGGCGGGGGTGGCGCGGCCCCCTCACCCCTGGGCGTACGTCCCAGCAGATGAAAACCGCTCTTCTCCATCTCTGCCTTGCGGATGAGGCCAGCCGCCCCCTACAGCGCACGTAAGACCAACGCAGGTACAGTTTGTATTCAGCCCTTTGTTAATCCCCTGTTGGATGAAGGCCTTCCCAAGGCGCGTCAGTCGTGGGAGTTGTTTGACCGTATCTCGACCAAGCTGTGTCAGTTCAGATATCATTTGCCGCTGATGTTGGGTAGTGGCCGAGAATTGAACATGGACTCTAGGTTCATGGCACTAACCACTTGGCCACCACTCCCCACCCATTACTTAGGGGTGGAGCATTGGTGCAGTGGCTAATGCACTGTGTTACAAACTCTGCGGCCTCGGTTCAATTCTTGACAATGATTAACATCAGTGGGGAGGGATATCTGAACTAGCCCTGCACCCCCGACTTCAATAGCCCACACTGATCAGTGTGGTCAAGTATGAAAAAAAATACACAATTGAAGGGGAACATTTTTGTTACCAAAATGAAAAAAAAAAACACAAACTTACCCGAAGTCATATTACTGTTCAATTTGTAACGTTTTAATAATAAAATCAGTTCGAACTTGTTCGAAATGAATGGTTCCGTGCAATCGGTGCAATAGTCTGATTTATTTTTACGCAAAAAAGGGTACTCGGGATTTTGAATGGACGGTACACATTACGCGCTGGCAACTCGGCAGTGGTGCACAGCGTGGTTACTGTTATGGGGCCTGGTGCAAGGAATTGAAAAGAGGGCCCCCCGCCCAATATTCCGTGTTCGGAGGACCCCTCCAGCCTGCGGGGCCCCAATGCAGTCACACTTTCTGCACGCTCGACAGTCATGCCCTTTGTATTCTCACCTCCAACATCTTAGCGACTTCACTGGGTGCCTTGGCAGGAGCAGAAGCCTCGAGCAGGGCTTTCTGCATGATGAACGCTGCCTTGGATAAGGGATTGCGTCCGATTGTTGCTAGAACACCTTCCTCTGTGGTTTAACATCACAGGCATATGCGGAGCGTTTAGCAACATAACTCTATAGCAAAAAACGAGGCAACCACGCACATCGCAAAGAGAGGGTTCTCCCCCATTCTTTAAATACACAATGCATTTGCATCCGTTAAGCTGTTTAAAGTCATGGGAGTCGTCTCTGATTCATAAGGTTATGATACGTGACTCTCGTCCACAGTCAGAGAATTAAAAAAAAGTAATAATAGTCATTTCATTTTATACAGTGCCATTCATGCAAATTGCATCCCACAATATTGTAGATGAATTAACATATTCCTAGGTTAACTTACTCTTTCCCGCAGCGGTTGTGGTAATGTCACGTTATGGTTTAGTACTTGATGTCAGGGTAGGCTTCTGTACCTGTGAGGCTGATATCAGTGCCAGGCTGTTTGGGAATGCACTCTCTGCAACTTCTCCCCGGCTTTTTGAGTTGACCGCCATCTGCTTCTGCACAAATCGAACAACAGCGAGGGTGAGCACCTTTCACTCCCCTGTACTGCTGTCGATAAACGCCATACCAGATGCTCACTACTTTTAAGCCCAAGTCAACCTAGGTCAGAGGAGGCTTAGGTCAGCTTCAGACACGACTTGCTTGTAGTAATGTGTACTGAGGTCACCATCACTCTCCACACATAAACACACACGTAACAGCCTCCATTTATAACAAAGTGGTGGTGATATCATGAGGGCACTCGTGCCAGGCTAGGTGCTTTCTAAGGCTTGGAGATGTGTAAAGATTTGCTGGCAGGTGGTAGCAGTGCAAAATTAATCTCATGGGTTACCAAATTGGGAATACCGGAAGGTGCATCCACTTACAGGGGGTGGCGAATTTCGCCACTCTTTGTGCATACCAAATATCTCTGCCGTTGATACAAACATACACATACACAGAGATAAGGGAGTTAAAACACAATTCTCATGGGCACTCACTGGAGGTTGGCTGCTGCAGGTGCAACAGTTTGAGGGCCACCCTATGCCTCTCCCACAGCATCTCCAGGTGCAGATCTTCCTCCAGTGCTGTGTGAGTGTTCGACTCCACACCCGGTTCACTCCCCTCAGCGTCACCCTGATGGGGCAACACACACGGCGAGGGTTTATAGGAAGATGCAACTCAGCGTCTGGTGCCGGCTCAGTGTCTCTGACACAGGCATTGGCCACGTGATCTTCAACGTCCACTGTGAAGTAAATTTACAATTAAAACTCCTGCAGTATTAACCAGGGCAGCCGCTGGGCTCGAACCTCTGCAACAAGCGGCGAACGCATCACCGCTTGCCCATGAGAGATATTTTTTCCCGTGTGCAGTACAAATGTAGATCATGCCATCATACGTGTAGAACACCCACGTGCAGGATAATGCGGTGATGCCTGTAAGAGGCAGTGCAGAAAGTATGTCTATGACAGGCTATCGGCGCAGAATGGTTCTGCTATCCCTTAAGAAGGGCAGGTTTTCTCCAGGCACTTCTTTCCACAAGCAGTGACGTCAGTGAGAACTTGCGGGGCTGCACAGTTTTCCCGTTCAAGAAGTGAATGGGGCTGCCTAACCCTGCTCGGGTCCATGGAGGAGGTGATGGCTGAGCCACCGCGGGGTCGAGTGAGTCCTCGCGCGACACCAACTTCATCCAGGGCCCGGCTCAGAGCAACAAATGCCAGCCACAGTTGCTCGCGGTAGCTCTTGAGTGGACGAACAGATGCACAGATACACACACACGCACAGCACAATCACACCCACGCGCTTATAGGTGCAATATGATTCCACATTGAAGCCTGTCTGGAGTTGATGGCCTTAGCACATTTATTGGTGAGACCGTCAAATAACTTTCTCCTGTATTTATCTTAATGGACCTCTGATGACTGAAAATTCAGATCTCTTCACGTGTGAAACACACTCCCTGCAGGGCTTATAAAAGGTGTGCTCCTACGGTGGATGTATGTTGAACTTATTTCGCACCGTACATAGCCAGCCATGGTAATCGGAGGTGCAGATGGATGCATATTCTGAAATAAGTAACTTAAGAAGAAGCAATATTACCTTTTGCGACCATTCTTTGACAATGTGGTACAATGACCACTGCAAGGGTTACAACAACCCTTTCCGCATGAAGTCCAAACAAAGATGCTTTTTATTCAGAAAAGAAACAATATGGTCTTTTGACTTGACTTGATGATACACATTACTACATTTGAACGGAGCCTTGTGAACGACTGGAGCAAGTGCTGAGGATTGAATTGCAGCTGTTATCAAGTCAAGGTGGAAATGAAGACACCCGAGATGAGCATGTGATCTTACCGTGAGCATATCTGTTTCAAGGCTGCGTTGGCTGCTAGCCGACCTGTCAGCCTCACTGCTTGCCTGGGCTGACGCTACACAGCATCAAAGACAAATAACGAGGTTTTAGCACAGGGATACTGCCGGGGACAGTGATGTAAGCGAACATCAATTTGGACCTACCGTGTCGCAAAGTCTGTTCAGCGCTGCTCTGTAGGAGTGCGGAAAGACGGAGAGAAGCTTCGACCAAGGAGAGGAGATCTTTCTGTGCCACGCCCAGCACACACATGGCCCCGTGCAGCAAACACAGTGCTCGGCACAGCTACAGAACAAATACAAGAGAGAAGCTCTGTCGTTAAGTCTTACCATCATCATTATTAACCGTGATCAATCCATTGCCAGATTAAAGTCTACCCAAGCCATCGCCATCTCTCACAGTTTTACGATGTAACAATCCACCTACACCTGCACATCAATTGATCAATCACGTCGTTCACATTGTTCCATCTTTTCAGTATAATCCCTCAAATAGCTGCCTCTCCATCGTGGCTTGACCAGTGACCGTCTTCCCTACTATCGATGTATCCTGCCCAAGCCCACTTACTTTTATAAACGGTCAATCGTCATCCACAGCCATAATCAATCTGCTGCCAGATTAAGGCCTATGCAAGACACCGCCATCTCATGGTCCCGCAATGTAACAATCCGTCTGTCACCTGCACAGGAATTAATTTAATTTATTTATCTCATAAACGTCCTATCGGTGGTATTGTCTCATTTGGCTGCCACTCGGTTGGGAGGCTCAACCACCTTACTAATTGACCAAATTACTTTTCTTAATCATCGATAGGATGTCTCCAACCTTCAGGTGTTCTTATTTTTGCATACCTCTTTCTGTCCTGCAGTGTAATTCCAAGAATGCACAACTCCATACTTTGCAAAACTGTGCAGTTTTATAGATAATAATACATTACTTTTTTTGTACGTTTTAAGTCCACCCCTGGGTAAAGGCATCTCAACCGCGTGTCAGTCGTGGGGGTTCTTTAATCAAGCCTCATGATACAGGCAATGGGTAGGCCTACCTAAGTGGTGAGCAGAGCTGACAGAAGAGAGGGCGGGGCCTATATGTAGAAGGTGGGGCCTCTAAATAGTAGAAAATACGAGGAAGCCACTCACTGGGCTGGGCTAGAAACTGAGTGGGTGTCGCTATGTAAAAGTGAATGGGGCTAATGTAGGGAGGGGCAGCCAGCTCACCGTATGTCCCAGTTGAGCCTCCCAGAAATTAGGTGGCTTCAGGTATTCCCTTGTATTTTGAAGGCTTACTATATAGACTTTCCAGTGCCATCCGGATGAGAAAACACACTCAGAAAGAAACTAGCCAATTATGCCAAGGAGGACGTGACAGAAAAAATATTTTAAGACTCAGTGAGGAGGCTTTCCTTTTTAAACAAAAGGAGGCAGTGTAGGCCGCACCTTAGTGAGGCTGTCGGTCTTGGCCCGATGTCGAGCAGAGTCGTTCGCTCCTCTCATTTGCATCCGCGACAGCGCAGCTTTGCATCCGTGCCAAAGCTGTGCAGAAGCGTCCGTCAGCAAAGAACGCTCCTCCTGCACTGCCTGAGCAAACAGAAACAAAGAGCCAGGCTCGGCCTTACGGGTGGGCAATCGGGACCGCCCACTAGGGCGCAAAGCTGTAACGTGGTGTCAAAATCTCATGAGGAACACCAAAAGTTTTGTAGAGAGAGAAGACAGAGACACAGAGAAACAGAGAGAAAACGAGACAGATAAACACAGAGAGATATCAAAGGAGACAAAGAGAAATACAGAGATCACCACCACAATGACCTGTTATGACTTACAAGTGGGCCACGGCCGTTATAGAACTATGTTCGAACCCCAGCCGTGCTAAACAGGGTAGAGCTGTATCCCAACGGACAGTACCACCTTCTCTCTCCCTTACCGCCACCCTCAGTCCTCCCGCTCTGTGCTGCCATGACCTCCTTCTCCCACTGCAGGCTGTGTTTTTACACCACACTGCCAAAGCAGTCGCTGACATGTTATTTATATCCTCGAGCAGATAACGATCATCTCAATAGGCCCGCAGAGTCGTACCTTTGATGTCAAGTCAGCTGTGGCATGCAGGCTTTCTGTAGCAGCACTCAGTTTCTCCACTGCTGTGAGTAGTTCATCCAAACTCCAAGCGCTCTTCAGTCTTGCCCCTACACCGATCATATTACATTAGCATATGCTACATTCACCTTTGACCATCAAACGATAACTATTCATAATAAAGGTTTTTAGGTTGTGGGGTTTACATGAATAACTAATTTGTAGGATAACAGATTCCCTGCTTGGGGGAGTTGAAGTGCGAAGCTTAGCATGCTGCGCTCCGAACCCAGTCACCTGAGTTTGATTCCTGATTACAGCTGACATCAGTACCCCCTCCTCCTCACCAAACGACATTGACCAGCATGGTGAAGTATGGTCAAACCCCGCCCATAACCAACATAGTGTGGATTGACAGTAATAAACTTTCTTCAAAGTCTCTTTCTTGCATATAACTTGCATGCCTGTCAACCCCTTATCAGTGCTCTACCTTATTACAGACCAATTCAGACCTTAATGGTCACCCCATGCGCTTATAAATCTCAATGGTCATCTTACTAAGTCCCGTCACAAGGGAGAAACACAAACAAAGACATTTATTTTATTTTTTTGCCCGTATTGAGACGACTATGCCGTATGGACCTGAAAACTCAATTTCCCTGTACAAGAATACGGGTAAACCGTATGGGTTGACAGGTATGGACTTGGATGAATAACAATGTATAAATCATGTTCAGGTTATCTCACCAAGTGGCTCAATCTATGTGCAGTGGATTGCTTCAATGCCTCTGTAAAATGTTCAGAGTTAACAGTGGTTCAGTGGTTATCATTTATAAGTCCTAATCAACATGTCCCATTATTGTCTTCATCACAAGGTTAAATTATCATCAAAAGGGTCTCCAAAAGGGTCTGCCTAGGTCACTGCAAAATGTATACCAAACTCAAAGCACTGTGTATCTTAGAACATTGTGTGGTGTTAGTATATTCACACTGGCATCAGATTCGTGTTTGACTTGATCCAGAAAAGTGTTTAATTAGGATTTATTGAACGCCCAATGTTTCGCTTCACCTGCTGGAAACTTCCGATTTAGGATCAGAGGAAGCTCCCAGCCACACGGAGCGAAAAGTCAGACCACGCCGATCAATGCCACGTGACTTTTGTGTGCGTGGCATCGTGAGTCTCGGGTTTTGCATCGTACCATTTGCGAGCGTTTGTTCGTCCATGGAGGAGTCCATGGCAGACGTGAGCCCCGCGTGCTTTGTTCTCCGTCCAGACAAGAGTGGCTCCAAGGTTTGCAGGAGCTCCAGGGTCTGGTGGAGCTCTCCTCGTCCTGTAGTGCTCTTGGTCTGCCTCACACGTGCCAGGGTCAACAAACATGTTAATCCTCATTGGTTGTCATCAATAACATTATCATCCTCATCACGCAGTCATCATCATCATCATCAAATCAATGTACATTGTCTTAGGAGGGATATAAAGTTATCCAATATTGTCAGTAACACAATCTCAAACGAAGTTAAACTTTTTTTTATTTTACCTGGTAAGGCTCACTGACCTATATAGCTCTTTCGCAGAAGTGACCTAGCAAAGGATGATAGCCAAATGAAGTGGCTTATCATGTGGCAATGTATAGCAGCCAAATACTCTAAATGCACTTTGATTCTAAATGTCGAGGAAAAAATCGGAGGTCCCAGAGAAAAATCCATGCGACCACAGCAAAAATGTGCGTCAGGGTTGGGATCGAACCCACGACCTCGCCACCGCTGTGCGCCACGACCTCGCCACCGCTGTGCGCCAATATTAATTTTACAGCCGATTTTTTAATTCGCTGCTGGATGAAGGCCTCCCCACACCATGTCTGTCATGGGTGTTATTTGACCATACTTCACCACATTTGTCAGTAGGGGTTGGTAAAGGGAGAGGCCTAGAATGAGTTCAAATATCGATAACCACTGATGTTCGCTGCAGCCGGGAATGGACTCAGACTGATAGGTTCATACAGTGCTTTTGCACTAACAAGTGTGCCACCACTCCAACCACAGCCAACCAGGAGGAGACAAGGTTATCAACTTTAACAATAAGAAAGTATTACATTTACAACCCATTTATAAATCCACTGCTGCGTGGCAGTTATAGACGTGTGAGCAGTCTCAAAGTGCAATGGATAATTCTGCACTGGCCTCTTCTAACCACCACGGAGCAAACCCTCGTGCAGCTGCCTGTGACAACCTGCTGTGCATTGTGGTCACTGAGCCCTAACCAGGCCCAACACCCGCTTGGCTTCTGAGATCTCTGATGAGATTAGAAGCAATCGTGGGGGTGGCAGCCTCACCTGTAAGTAGCCGAGTGTGGGGGAGATGAGGCCCTCAAATATGTCCCACCGTTCGCACATGAAGGCCAGCTTGAGGAAACGGACCGTTGCCTCCTCAGTCACACCGTCCTCGCCTGCCGTGCCCACACACGCGTAGATTACGCCAATCGCAAAGTATTTGTCGTTGACGTGCGGGGAAAAAAACGTAGGTGAAGACGCAGAATGCATTGCCTGTTTTTATTGTTTATGAGTGACATCATTTACCATGGATAATGGTGAGGTACACTCTGCGTGATAGAAAGAGATCGCGTTTATTTGACACCAAAGGTGCATTGTGATAATGATTAACCACTCCCCCCACCCCCAACAGTGAGTCAATGAATTGTCCCAGATTGGAGATTGGGGTCGTGATTTTATTGAATAAGCAATTATTTTTGCCATTGCGAAGCATATGGAGTCTCTCATGGTTGCTGGGGCAGTGAACCAATCGCAGACAAGATACACGAATAGAAAAGAATGACTTCTTAAACGCATAATATGATGCGTATATGGTGAGCATTAGAGTGTATTTGAATCTACGAACCAATGTATCTTCAAGGAGATTTATCATGGTCCTACCCTTTCGTTGTGGGCAGACACAGAGACGGACAGACCAACACACAAAGAGACAGAGCGCATGCAGTAACGCTTTCAACCTTAGCTCTCTCTCTCTAGCGTATGGCAAGTATGTGCAATTCACACATCCACGTTTAAGTCTGTGAGTTATGTGATAGCTTTGGGAGTAGCGCGACTAATGCTGCTCAGTCCGCCGGAGAGCGGGCGTAGGATGCGGTTGTTCACGATGTGGGTTGCATTGTCTGGTTCGGGTGGCCGCAGTTGCACTGTGGGTTGTCTTTAATTTTCCACTTGTGTGGTGGAGGTGTGGCACAGTAACCAGTTGTCATTCTGAAGCGGTTGATGGAGCACCGTAGTTTTCTTGGCAGATCAAAGCCATGGGGAGCAATGGTGGGGTCGTCGATGAGGCTTTTATGTGCCTTAAAACGACCTTAGCTGAACGGTGTACAAAGTCCATTTGCTCGTGCTGAGCAGCTCACCGGCCACTGCCAATGCCATGAGACTTTGTCCATCTCTGATGCCAGCAAGGACGTTGGAGCTCAGGATGGCCCCTCTGCGTTCAGAATTTCCTCCACCTCCTGTTATAAGGCAAGGAACGCTCACGTTACCGGCGAAACGTCACAGTCACTCGAATTGTAAATGTTGTGGGGTCACCCTCCAACACACCGATGTGCTAAACTAGTAACAAATTGGAATTTGTTTACATGACAGGTCGGGTAGTAGCGGATTTAACGACACATTTTATATTTACGCGTCTAACCCAAAAAACCTCTATTATGGATAATATTGGTCGCGAAATCCTATGTGTTAAACTGACACGTGTTAACACAGAAAACACACGTGGCAAAAAAAAGTGTTTTTGAATTTTTTTTTTATTTGTTGGTGAGTGATGGGATGCTCATGTTAAACTATAGTGGTTTTATTCCTCTTAAATCATGGAAATCTGTTTGCATGCAAGAAGTGGTCATGGCATGCTTCAAACCCATTTATTTTTAAGTGTGATCCCACAAAGATATATTTACTTTGTATTCAACATTTATTGTTGAATAGTAATAATTAACATTTATTTGTAAGGCGCCCTCCACTAATGTCTCAAGGCGTCTTGTAAGATTAAAGTTAAGAAAAGGCCAAGAGAGAAGGAGAGCAACATAGAATAAATTTAATTCAGAAAATGTGTTTTTAGACGCGACTTAAATGTATCAATATTGTCGGTGCAAATGAGCAAGATGTATTATTCAATATTCTTAGTCTATGACCAAGTCACAAGCAATGCACCCAATCTCATCAGATATAGGAAGCCAAGTAGGCTTCAGCCTGGATTGTACTGGAATTAGCGATGAAAATGCATATATGGACACCCTTGCAAACGAGATATCCCGTCTCAGAAAATTCCCCAGGTTAAGTGTTGAAATAAATACAAAGGTCTACAGTCGTTTTCAATTGACTGCCAGAAGAAAGTCTCCCCTCACCATGTGGGTTCATGGGTTTACTTGACCATACTTCACCACGCTGGCCAGAACAGGTTGATAAAGGCAGAGGGAATAGATGTGGGTGAATAGAAGTGCAGTACAATTATTCGTTTTAAGGCACTGCCCACTATGTAGCCCCGCAGCCTATAACAGCTGTCATGCACGGTGGCTGCTCATCCAAGCACTATCCAGGAATAACTCTGCTTAGCTTCCAGAAAAGAGATAAGATCAGGTGCATTCCGGGTAACGGTGGGACATCTCATCATTTCACAATGTCATCTCATTACGTTACAAATTACTTGCCCCATCATAAATCACCGGAGCCATGCAGGGCGAGTAACTTACACCCCCCCCCATGCTATATATACTGGTGCAAAACAATTGCAAAAAATAACGAAGCCATAGACCCTTCCCCACATGCCTCACCCCACCATGCACCTGCAATGATCTCTGCTCCGGCAAAGAAGAGCTCTGCGAAGACTTCCGCAGAGTCGTGGTCGAAGGCGGCGGCTGGGGACCCTGCCAACGCGTGGGGTGCGCACTCCTCGGCGGCCCGGTGCGAAAGGGCATCCAAGACGGCCACCATTTGTGCCGCCCCCCCCCTCGAGAAGCTCCGACAGCAACCGCTCGGTGCCTGTGCGGGGCCATGCCGCCTGCGCCTGCACCGGTTGCACCAATCGGGTTGGTAATGAATGTCCGGGAGGTTAAGCCATGTGAGTGGGTGGTAACATCTCTCTCAAATCTTCTCTCTTCTAAATACATCTCCTATCACTCTCTTTATATCTCTGAATATTTTACATTTTGCTATGATGCACCTCCTACCTATCTTCTCATTTCTACTGAATGCATATCTCTGCTATTAACTACATTTCCAATAATGAAGATACACAAATGCACATAATCACACTTTTTCTGTCATGGTGTCTCTACATTGCATATCTCTCATCTCACATCTCTATCTCATTTAGATCTCATATTTACAATTTCTCTGTTTTTTTATCTCATGTCACTATACCTTCATCTCTTGTCAGTCGTGTCTATCACTCACTACATCTCCACCGCAGTAGAGTATGGCAATGCCATATATGTTGTGGTATGTGCTGTACGCATGTCAGTGTAATACATGTCATGGTATGTGATGTTTTTATAACAGAGCTCATTTCTATTTGCGTACATCTCTTTTAAATATAGGTTATATAAGACAGCGGTGCAGGTTATGTATTTATTACATCATTCTCAGGCAAATTAAGTGCAAAGTATTTTGTGTTTTTAACAATGTATTTATTTGTAGTCATTTTTGACTGGGCTGATGCCATCAACTCACTACACTGGGGAACCCGGGTTATCATGGTGGTTGGTTCCCTACATTTCAACCCAGGAGCTCGTCATTTCTAGTTCAGCACTCTGACCTCTGAGCCACATAACTACCTCCCCAGTGCAACTTTTCAATGTCTTGGACATACAGGGTTACCTATCATATGATCAATATAATTTACAAAGACACATAACAAGAGTGGTTATTTAGCATGCTCGTGGTGAAAGCCTTACTGCATGTTAAAAATAAAATCAGGACAGCAGTACAAGGTATGTTTAAATAGCTCCTTATTGTCAGTGGACAGAAGCCGAAATGCCCAGAGAAAAATAATGAGAACATTCAACATCCACAGAGTGGCCAGACACCTACTTTACATACTGCCAATGACAGGTACCACCCAATTACCTTGCAGATAGGCGTCTTGCACATATGTGATCCACCAAACGTCTGGAAGTTTCTGGATTTTCTGGATTACACAGCCACTGTGTCTAGCAACATTAGAATTATAAAAATTGTATTCGCAATTATGGACGCATAACTTACAATTTTGGGGTCGCGTAAGTTCGTCTTCATTCTCGTCCTCAAAAACCCTTTCGGCTTCTTTCTGGATTCAAAGACTGTGTGCTTGAAAATCATAATGGCCATCTGAGAGCACACAGGAAACAAGAAACCCGAGTGAAAGTAGTTTACAATGCTATTGGCACACTTTGTACGAACACTTAAAATAAATAAATACACCACCAATCCTTTTTTCTTCGTATTTGTTTGTCTTGCCTCCCCGATTTTATCCCAAACGTGCTCTCGGCATCATTTCAAAAGATAAATAATCTCTCGCAGAGAAGTGCAACCCTTCATTTTTCGAGAAAGGCCCACAGAAGCGGAGATCACGGAGATCACAGAACTACTTCTAGGCGGCAGTACTTTTCAGCACACATGATATTTGTAACTCTCAGAGCTGGAATTCATGTCAAAGTTGGTGTAAAACGAAATGTAACTAGTTATTTTTTGTACTGTCATTGCGGACCAGGTTGAGACCATCAATTTGCTATATGTGTGATGCCGATTCAATCGAAAATGGCTGCTAGGAATCAAACCCAGGAATACAGTGGTGCCAGCTCTGTACCCTGACATTTGAGCCATCCAGCCACCGTGAACATATAATCATAATAATGACTAAAGGGTTGTGCAAGAGGCTTAAATATATCTATAAGAAAATATATTTATCCAGGAAAGCCTCAATAAGCATTGAGACTCATTCTCAGGAGTGTCCTGTATTGGAATGGCTTCCAAGTTCCCAAACTTGCATATTGCATTGGGTAGAGAACGGCAGTAACTGGAGATAACCCATAAATAATTGTCAAAGGTCCACACAGGTGGGGTTCATGAAACATTTTCTGTACTATCCCTTTGCCACCGTGCAACTCAATGGGTTTTTGAGCTTTACCAACCTCGAGGTGATCCTGCAACCATTGCCTTCAAAGTGCTGGGTCACAGGTGGGCATCACCACGGCTTAATCTTGCCTATTCATACATTTAATTATTCTGTTGTCATTTACCCATGAAATATTAACTTAGCTTTAACAACTTTATCAACACCAAGCTACATGTAGTATGCATTATAGTAACCCACATCTGACACTGGAGCTCTCGAAGGCCTCCCCGTGCCGTGTCAGTCATGGGGATTTGTTTGACCACACTTCACCACGCTGGTCAGTGCTGGTTGGTGAAGAGCTTGAGGAGGATCTAGGTCAGTGCAGATAACACTTGCCACTGACGTGCTGCGATCGGGACTCAAACTCAGGTCGCCGGGTTCATAGCACAGTGTGCTAACCACTGCACCACCGCTAACAGTAATTACTGTGGGTGCTACTGGGTTATACACGTACAAGTGAATACCCCAGCAAATAACCCATGACAAGTATCCTGCACCTTGATGGTGGCATCACGGAAAGCACTCTCAGCTTGTTTAGAGTGGGGAGAAGAACTCTGGCTTTCAAGTTCACTCAATTCGGCTATCTTCGCCAGACCACGCCTCGCAAATTCCTGCAAAGACACACACGCACGCAACAATACATAATTCCATTTAAATAAGGACAGGTGCTGTTTGAGAGTAGCTATTAAGTCCAGCGAACACCACTCAAGAAGGTAGTGATGGCCAGCAGCACCTTTGATAGAAAGCCTTCTTTCTGGAGCAGATAAATGTGTGGAGGGGTGTAAAGTGGTAGACAGGGGCAAGTCCATGAGGTTGAGTGCGATCTTGAAATTAATCTGGTATAAGATTGGGAAACAGTGGGGAGGTTGGAGGGTAGGGAAAATTTGATCTCATCTACAAGTGCAGGTGAGAAGTCTGGCAGCAACATTTTATTCATAATAAAGGTTTTTGGGTTAGATCGCGTTTATTTATAAATGTGTCGTAACCCTCCACCACCCGACACGGCCAATCAGCAAAGAAAAGTGTCACGTTGACAAAAGACAAATAATTCACTACTTCAGCCCACCGGTGTGTTGAAGAGTTAATCCACATTTACAGTTTGAGTACGACGTTTCGCTGGTAAATACTTCCAGCATCATCGGGCAATTCGCCAGAATGGTAAAGCCCTCGCTTGCTCCCGGTTTTATATAGAGCAGAAGAGTGACGTCATCACTTAACTCATCAGGTGCAGTGATTAGAGGCGGAGGGGGGGGTAATGTAATTATATAATCGATTAGTAATCAGTCATTGGTTATGATTAGTAATGAGTTGTAGATTAGTAATTCTTTAAATCAAAATGTAATGTGTATTATTTAATAATACGCTTCCAGGCCGCACTGAGCCGGTAGCTGTCAGAGCGATTAAAGTTATTCTTGTTCCTCTCAATTTCAATGGATTCTCTAATTAGTCTTTGCCAGTAATAATTAGTTTTACACACCACTGCAACATTGTCAAAATCAATTGAGTGTCCTTGTTGACAAGCATGTTCTGCCACTGCCGACAGTTGTGTTTGAGATAATTTAATATTTCTCTGATGTTCTTTTAGTCTTACGCTGATGTTACGTCCCGTCTGCCCAATGTAGCAGCTGCCACATGAACAATTAATCCGATATACACCTTCTGTTGATAGTTTAGGTAATGCGTCTTTAGTGCAAGATACTAGTTTTTGAATTTTGTGTACTGTACCAAATCTTACTGTAATGTTTTGCTTTTGCAAAACGCGGGCTAATTTGTCAGTTACTACTTAGTAGTACTACTGAAAGCGACCAGATTGTTAAAACAATAAAAATTCCATATATCTCAGGAGTAACTGACAAATTAGCCCGCGTTTTGCAAAAGCAAAACATTACAGTAAGATTTGGTACAGTACACAAAATTCAAAAACTAGTATCTTGCACTAAAGACGCATTACCTAAACTATCAACAGAAGGTGTATATCGGATTAATTGTTCATGTGGCAGCTGCTACATTGGGCAGACGGGACGTAACATCAGCGTAAGACTAAAAGAACATCAGAGAAATATTAAATTATCTCAAACACAACTGTCGGCAGTGGCAGAACATGCTTGTCAACAAGGACACTCAATTGATTTTGACAATGTTGCAGTGGTGTGTAAAACTAATTATTACTGGCAAAGACTAATTAGAGAATCCATTGAAATTGAGAGGAACAAGAATAACTTTAATCGCTCTGACAGCTACCGGCTCAGTGCGGCCTGGAAGCGTATTATTAAATAATACACATTACATTTTGATTTAAAGAATTACTAATCTACAACTCATTACTAATCATAACCAATGACTGATTACTAATCGATTATATAATTACATTACCCCCCCCTCCGCCTCTAATCACTGCACCTGATGAGTTAAGTGATGACGTCACTCTTCTGCTCTATATAAAACCGGGAGCAAGCGAGGGCTTTACCATTCTGGCGAATTGCCCGATGATGCTGGAAGTATTTACCAGCGAAACGTCGTACTCAAACTGTAAATGTGGATTAACTCTTCAACACACCGGTGGGCTGAAGTAGTGAATTATTTGTCTTTTGTCAACGTGACACTTTTCTTTGCTGATTGGCCGTGTCGGGTGGTGGAGGGTTACGACACATTTATAAATAAACGCGATCTAACCCAAAAACCTTTATTATGAATAATATTGGTCGCGAAAGCCTACGTGTTAAAGCAACATTTTAGATCATCTGCAGTTAAGAAACGAGGGATTTGAGGAGGCCATATAGGAGAGAGTTGCAATCGTGTAATAGGGAAGTGATTCATTCACACATTCATTCATACAATGCACTGAAATCGTAAGGGGCTTATGCGTGTTGGTGAATATCGTCAACCGTTCTCTCGTTTGCTCAGACAGCAATGGTTTGGCTGTACCTCTGCCTGTGCAGGTAGTTTGCAGTTGTAGTATGCTTGGCAAACGGCTGTGTACAGCGTTGCTCGCCAGCTCAGGTAGCGCACATCCAGTAGAGGCACGGAGCTCTCCATGCACACGCTCGCCCACAGCAAGTACTCACAAACCTAACACGCACAGCACGCCGGACAGACACATTTTATACATTTTTTCCACACACATATACCATCTGTGCTATTGGTGTCATGTCGTGAAAGAAACCAAGCATCAGTTAGAATCTCTTGCAGCACTTCGTGTTTGAGAATAGCCCACACAAGGGGCTATCACAAAACAACCACTGGGATTCTCTGGTCCACACAGTAGGGGGCAGCACTTTCTCACCCAAACCCGGGGTGCAGACAGTCTCATATTTGAAGCGTAACAGACAAATCGATATTTTTAATGTACCAAATTAAATCCAGAACAATTTTTTTTACGAAATTAGTTTTGTACGATATCAGTGGTGACTGGGATGAGACTCACTACACTTGAGAACACGGTTTAGTCTCAGCGGTAACAAAAAAACGCTCTGATCTCTGGGCCACGTGGTCATCTCCCAATGATTCCATTCTCAATCAATCAATCTTTATTTGTTACATAGTAAATAATAATAATTATTATTATCAGCTCCTTTAATATTACTTATCGTACCCAGGCACATCCTCAATATAATATCAACCTGGAATTTATTTGGAATATATCACAAAGAGGGCCAGATTAAGATTGTGTAGGCCCCTGGGGGCAGGTACTGTGATGCCCCCGGTAATATTTTCAAAAGGAAAACAAAGTTAAAGAAAAACATTTTTACAAGGATAACAACAAATAAACTTCAGCATTTACAAATGAAATAACGTTTGACTTAATCTCTGGAGGCCCTCCAGCTGGCGGAGGCCCCTGGGCTCCAGCCCCTAAAGCCCCCACGCCTTAATCCGGCCCTGATCACAAACCCACAATTACAATCTATGGAGCGGTTGCGAGGCCAATGTGACAGCGCATGTCGCTTGTTGCAGAGGTTTGCGATTCAAGTCCTGGTTAATACTGTGGGTGCATTAACCATTTGTCTGCCTTACAATGGACGTTACATATCCTTTGAAAAAGAGTAGGCCATGTGTGCCAACGTCAGGGTCCAAATTAGTAAAATTACCTTCAAATTACTCAACATGGAAAACACATAGCAATCATCAATGTCTACTGTGAACCTCAGCAGGAACCTCCGAATAAATGGTGTTGAGACAAAGTGAGGCTTTCCTGGTTAAATTGATGTTATAAATCAAAAATTATAGCCATTAAATCTTGATTTGAAGCTTTCGTGACTGCAGGAGTCCATACTCTTTGGTTCTTTCGGTAAAGTCACGTAGGTATAAAATAAAATAATTCCAGACGTTTTGATCGCAACACAAGCGGTCGTCCTCAGGTGGAAAAAATATAATCCATCTAGTTCCACTGTTATATATAATCCATCTAGTTCAACTGCTATATATAATCCATCTAGTTCCACTGCTGGATTATTATTTTCCGCCTGAGGACGACCGCTTGTGTTGCGATCAAAACGTCGGGAATTATTTTATTTTAAACTTACGTGACGTTACCGAAAGAACCAAAGAGTATTATAGCCCTTGTTTATCCAGAAACGCCTCAAAAAGAGTCCATATTTTTCCTGAAACATTCTACATTAGAGTACTTGGCCAATTACGGTAATAAGTTTGTGTGTGGGAGGAAACCAGAGGTCACAGAATGATTTGTACTCATAGCTCAGAAACGCGGAAATGAAAATCGAGTTCTCTAGAAGGATGTATTGTAAAGCCATTGGTGACTGGGCTGAAATCGTCAACTCAATATTCTCGGGATTCCAATTTAATTATGGGCGGCTGCTTAGATTCGAATCAAGGATCTAAGTCGTGCTGCCAGCTCAGTGCTCCGACAGGACTGTTATGAATAAACGAGGTACAAATCCATCGAAATAGTATAGCATTTCTAAGGACTCTACCTTTGCAGAATGGCCATGCTCCATGAGGTGTCTGCTAATGGTGTATATATGAACGGTGCCTGTAAAGAAAAAGTGTTGGCAGATTCAACAGTAAGCGCACATTATAAGGCCATGTAAGGAATAAAGAATGAACTATTGCTGAATATTATCATCAGGGTTGTCTTGACCTCATCGCCATTCCTCTAGGGTTAGTAGAATAAATACCATCTGGTGGGACTTCAAGATATTGTGCAAGGAAGACAACAATTTTTATTGTTTACCAGCATAAAAAAATGGATATTTCATGACTAAAGTTAGACAACCAATATAAATGCACAGCACTCATTTTTATGTTAACATGCGCACTTATATTAAAAATATATTTATTTTACATTGTACATGTGTAGCACTTAGTCACTACTCAGTTGGAAGAGAGCCTTCCCAAGCCATATGAGTTGTAGGGGTTATTTGACCATACTTCACTACGCTGGTCAGTGCAGGTTGATGAATGGGGAGGGGGCTAGGATTATTTAAGATATCACTCACTAACGATGTTAGCCATGGCTGAGAATCGAACTTGGGTTCATAGTGCCGTGCACTAACCACTGCACCACCACTCGACCCAGCTAAGGTAAGCTTTTTTTAACACATATATAGAGTCTGCTTCACTAAGTTTCAATATTTTTTCAGGTGGGCATGCTTTCTTTTTCCCAATTCCATTAATGAGTGGTTGGTATGTGGGAAGTCATCAGAGAACCCGGAACAACCCCACATTTGGCAGGATAACACTAAACGCTTCACACAGATAGATTCAAGAAAACATTGCTTTACTGTCATTGCCTGGCCGCTCTGCAACTCAAGCACACAACACATTGTACTTGCCAGGCAGTCTTACATTAAGTACTAAACAAAATCAACCCTACTTAGCTTCTGAGATCTGAGGGCGCATCTAGCATGATTTGGTCATAGTTTTACAAGAATCACGGGTATTTACGGTGACAGTAGCTATAGAATCAGGCAGTCAAGGTACCATTGTAGAGGAGCCAACAAAGTTTCTCGTCCTGCAGCAGTGCCTGTGTGAGGAGGCGCAGCAGGAACAGCAGCTGTAGGCACCCGCGCTTCATCTCGCCGCCACCACCACCTGCCACCAGTAAAGCAAACTGGCACGTGCAGAAACCCAGCAATGCACGTGCCTACAAGGTGCGACAGCACAGGTACAACAAAGAACACACACACACGGTTAGTAATCATAATATGGTACCAATGATGTGGTTGGGTAGCTCAAGAGAATTTGGGTTCGAATCCAGGCAGTTACCTTTGACTAAATCGGATTCTCAAATGTAATGAGTTGATTATGTTATCCCAGTGTAAAATGATTGCAGAAAATATCCATGATGTTAAATACAAGCGCTTAATTTAAGTTGGTTACATTTCAGCTCTGAAATATACAAAATTTTAGATTGACCTTTGTATGGCGAATATTACTCTCTGTAGCAGGGCAAGTGGGGTGAGTGAGGCACAATTCTGTGTGGACCAGAGGTCACTTGAAGGGGTCACTTGAAGAGGTCTCGGAGGTAGCTCTATGATATCTGCTTCCATGGGCTATCTTCTAACATGAAGGGTTGCACTGCTCTGAGGTGAAGTATCCGAATGGAAACATCATCCCATCTATGTATGTATGTTGAAGTTCTTTCGCACCATATGTAGCCAACCGTGCTAATCGGAGGTGCAGGGCAAGAACCACAAACTCAACACAAAAAGCACGACATGACACTGGCAGCACAATTGACACCGATGGCACAATCGGGATGAAATTGGGGAAAAAGTCAATGTACAGATAGTAACAAATAAAAAAAGATCAAAGTAAACATCATAGACAAGGGTGTGTTCACTACCACCAAAATGTTTTAATAAAATTACATTTTGGTTCTTCAGCCTATGAGCTTTCGAGACCAATGGTTTCCAGAAGCATTTGTTTAAGCAGGCAAACTCTGGATGACCAGTTTAAACTTTTTAGTCTCATCAGCAGAGCATGCCTGTACATTTTGCATGGCTTTGTTGTGCTGTGTTAAACAGGCCCCACGGTGTTCATGGAGCGCTTTAGTTCTCAACATTAGCTACCCCTGCAGAAAATGTATGACAGGCCATGCTGCTTTCTGGTCAAAGAATAATTATGAGTGAAAAGTTGTATTACAAACATTAAATAAGTCGTAGCAGTGATAAAAACGTAATATACCTTTTTCCTCTTAATGACGACCGCTTGTGTTGTGATCGAAACGTCATAGTTTTTATTTTATTTACTTTTATTTTTTCTATCTACGTGACTTTACCGAAAGAACCAAAGAATAAGAGTACAACCCTTCGTGAATCCACCGCTGGATGAAGGCCTCCCCACGTGCCGGTCATTGGGGTCGTTTGAACGTACTTCACCACGCTGGTCGGTGGTGAAGGGGAGACCCAGAATCGGTTCATATATCATGCGTCACCGATGTGAGCCATGGTCGGAAATCAAACTCAGGTAGCAAGGTTTGTCGTGCGTTGGCACACACCATGGCACCACCGCTCCTATGGGCTCCAATGTGCTCTTACCTGATCACTGCGTACATTTTTGTGGTTGTGCTGCAAAGTTCTCCGATGTGTTTTCAGTTTGTACGGCATGATGTCCGACGTTTCGCTCAACGAAACTGGGAGAACTATGCTCTTCACTAATTGTTGTAAAAGTGACAGATATATATGATGTACGTACCGTAAGTACACAGTCGCTGTCACCGAATTCTCGTGGGAAGAAGCGAGCCATCAGTTCGTTTAAGTTGCCGATGTCATGAAGAGAAGGGTAGATGTACTGGAGGTATCGTCCGTAACACAGATTCAACGCCATCTTATGGTTCTGTGAGACAGAAAATAAAAAATGAAATTCATAAGCAATCTTAGATTGGAGTTACAAACTAAAGTATAATAAGCATATATACTGATTGAAGCCATTAAAGAGGAATGTTATTATTTTTTTCAATAAAGATACGTGACAAATTATTGTATTTACTTATATATTGTGCCATATGTATTAGGAGAGGTCAAAACATTTGAATATGATAGTCAAAAACGACAACTCCTGACTCCAGTTTACAGGCAAGACAAACTCCATTTAATATTTTTTTTGTCAGCATGAGGCAACATGTGTAAGTGGTTAATGAATGCATCGAAAGCAAATGCCATGACAAGCACTGGTCTGTCATGCGGTGAGTGTTCCTCATAAGGTGCAAGATTTTCAGATTTTTATACGGTGGAGAAATTTATGAAGAAACCTGTCGTAATATTTTTAATAAAACTGGAAAATCCTAAGCAGAGATTACTCTACCACAAATCAAACTGAAGCCACAGCCATCAGTGAGATATATATATAGATAACTTAATTTACCAATCTGTCGCAACTTTTTACTTGATTCAATTTTGTTGTACAGGATCTAGCGAGGACTAATTCTAACTGCAAGAATCCTGGCATGTATGGAATTCAATTTTTCTTGGCACAACCTCTGATCTTTCACCTCGGTCAAAAAACAGTAACTGTTTCCAAAACACAGCTACCTTTCTTTGCAGCTACATATGTACAAATAGAGGGGAGCCGATGTTACCATGGTAATAGTTGAAAAGTGAGTGTGTGGAGATTGGTCAGTGGTGTCAGGGATGTAGTGTCTGACAAATGTGAGCGTGAGATGAGTATCCAGCAACTAGTGGCTGGTGAGTTGTCTGGTGCGACAGGTATCACATCAGCCCATCCATAGGATGTGATGTCATAAGCCGGTACAACTCCTGACAAAGACTACAAAGGACAGGCAAAATTGGAGAGAATTGATGGCCGGGCATCAATGACACCCACGCAAACCATTGCGAATCAGGGAGACATGATGATGATAATCTGTGCAATTTATAGTACATTAACAGTGTATATTTAACATTACAGTACTTACCTTTAATTCCACCAGTATATCCCCGGTGCTGAGAAGCTTGTTTCGGAATAATTCAGTTGAGATTTTATGTTCGTACTTATTCCATATGGCAAACAGCATATTCGAGCTGACAAAACCATGAAGGCACAGAGAGAGGCCATTAGTACAGATACATAACATTGCTGCCACTCGGCTACATTGTGAAATTGTATTTTTCTGCATTTGGGAGCAGTTGAACACACAGAACCATAGCGTGAGAGATGTGCGTTCCCAATTGTCAGATTCAGTCCGAAAAAAACTGAAAATTACGCCTCGATAGGAACCTGTCAATTGGCACAATGAAAACCCGTGAAAATGGTTAATCTGAAGGGATTTTCCACAAGTTCAATGTTTTTTATAACTAACATTTTCGGATTATATGAAAAATTGGCAGTAAATGACTGTTTGAAACGATGAAAATGCTCAAATTTAGTGTATAAACAACGAAAGTAATAACAAAAAGTATAACTTATGATTGTCATGATTCATTGTTGCACAGAACATGCCAACGTTGGTTGAACGTTGGCATGGGTTTGGAACCGTTGGATCAACGTTGGCCCAACGTTCTACTAATCCGCACTGACACACGAGCGGTGAAGTATGGTCACGCAAAAAAAAACACACAAACACAAAGATCACCCTTGTAGCCTGGAGGGGCAAGTGCTGTTTGCGAACACCTATGAAGGCCGGCAAGGTGCAACACCACGCCCGGCCGCCTTTGTCTCCCCAGCGGCTTAGGCAAAGTTTGACTTCCATATTTGGGGGGGGGAGGGCAGGCGTTCGCTTTGTCCCTCACATTATGAATTGTGGATGCAAACGATTATTTTATATGTAAGTCTTAATTGTAAATAACTGAAACTAAATTAATAGAGGTATCCAATTTGGACGGGTCATTGCCCCCCCCCTCCCAGCCGCAAACTGTGCCCATGGCCAGCGGCGAAGTTGTGTGGTGCCACGACCGGGGAGCAACTCCTTCCCGGCCCCTGCACCGAGCACGCAACCCGCGCGCAGCACACACGCCTCGTGTCCTGGCGGGGGATCGCCTGGCACGTCGGGCTTTAATCCGAAGGGCCCCTAGAGGGCAAGTCCCACGGTTTCCCGGCGCCAGGAGATTGGCCGACCCCCGCAGGACAGGTTACATTGCCGCTGCTCTCGTGCTAACCTGCGGGGCGCCAGCGCGTGTGAGAATACAAACGTCGGCAGGTGCTGCAGAATTAAGTCATTGTGTGGACGCGGTGTGGGGTACAACCGCTTCGGAGCGCGTCTTAGCGCGCGTGCGGGGTAAGCGGGTAGCCACCCGCCGGCGCGCACATTCGCGCAGCCGTTCGACGCCGGTCTTTGTGTGGAAGCGGATTTGCGGATAACCACGGGCAGACGTTCGCGCAGCCGCTTATCGCCAGGCTCAGTGCGGTGCGCTACATTAGTGTTGTGAGTAGCGGGGGCGCGCTACTCGCAACACTAATGTAGCGCTGCAGGCGTTGGCATCGGCGTGAGTGACGGTGCGCGCATGAGGGCGAGCGGAGAGAGCGCGTTCGTTAGAATCAGCGCCCGCAGAAGCGTGCACGTTCGCGCCGCCGCGATAGCGCTCGTCGTGCTACGCGCGCATATTAACGTGTAAGCACCAGCAGGGAAGCGTGCGTGGTGGTGGTGGTGGTGGTGTACGTGGGCGTGCGAGGAGTAACACCGTGCGGCGGTGAGCCAGCGCTTGAGGCCGTGTCTCTCCGTCGAGAGGGCGCTCGCGCGGCGAGGATCGATCACCCGATCGGTGGGGGCCCGGCGGGAGCTGATCGATGCGGTGGAGGAGGGAGTGGAGGGGGCAGACGTCGCTCCCCACTTGCCCCGGGGTGGACGCCGGCCCCCACTTGTTGACTACACACCGCACCAGGTACTCATTTGAGGCTGAGTCGACCATGGGGAGGCCCAGGCGCGGTTTCAGACAATCGTCGCCGGTGTTGGCCGTGAAAGGGGAACCGAACTCGCCGTTGCCGGGGGTTAGGAGCGCGGCGTAACCCCTCCCCGCGCCGTGAGGCCACCGTCCAGCAGTGGATCGACGACGGTCGGCACGTGCAACAGGAGGCGCGCAGGCGACTCGCGCGCGCGCCTACACCGGTGGACGCGTGCGCGACGAATCCATCATTCGCGTAACGTGTTGACAGTCAACTTTGCGCGCTGCGGCCGAGCCATTGTGTTACCGTCTCGGCCCCGTCTCGCCTCGGGACCCGCCGCCCGGCTCCCGCCTCACGGACCCCAGCAGCGCCCCGAGCTCCTGCTCCAGGGCCCGGGGAGCCGCGGGGCCCCGGGGACGCGCGACCAGAGGGCCGCAGCCGGCCACGGCGTCGTCCACTGTCGCTGAGCCCCGCGACGCCATCGCCGCCTCTGCTCCGGCGTCCCCCCCACCCCGCCGCGTCTCCATGGCAACGCGGTTGGAGGCGCGCGCCGCCATTGGTTTGTGTTGGGTCGGATTCTTGGGTTTCAAGAGCCCCGTTGGTTGGTATGTGGTGATGATTATTGGGTTTCAAGAGCCTTATTGGTTTGTATGGGGTGATGATTATTGGGTTTCAAGAGCCGTATTGGTTTGTATGGGGTAATGATTATTGGATTTCAAGAGCCCCATTGGTTTGTGAAGGGTAATGATTATTGGGTTTCAAACGCCCTTTGATGTTTATGGGAATTAACATTTTTCATGTGCCTGCCTACCAATGTGAGCATTGGGGTTTCTACCTGTCCGGGAACTGGCAGGATTCGTCTTTCACGGCCAAACCGTGGTCTCAAGTTCATCGAGTTGAAGATGTACGAATGTATGTTGAAACTCTTTCGCAGAAGTTGATGCTCTCAGCCCGGTTGCCAATGACCAAACAAGAACCATGTTGAATTGTGTTTGTCACTTGATGTTGGATTTTGATTGTACTGCGAAGAAAAACCTCGACAGCAGGGCAGCACGTGAAAAAGATACATCAGCCAATGTATGTTGACAGACAATTAAAGGGACACCAGAATTAGTTTTGGCATTATCATCAAGTGGCCACTCTCTTCACACAAACGTAGTGCACTGGCGACACTGTTATAGTTCACCTTAGCCTGGTGACCTCACGTGTGTCACGGTCGGATTTAGTTGTCTTTGGCTTGAGATACCAGAGCAGAAAAGACTCTGATTGTGCTCCGCTTACGTAATTAAACAAATAGGCCGTTAAGATCAGCGTGGATTGCCTTTGGAAAGTTAATGAAGGATAACGAATAGGAGCTAATCAATATAGTATACCTGAAGAGGAGAGTTTCCAATAAGTGCATACATACGTTCCCCAACCCTTCATTGCTGGGTGTCGGATGGGGAAAATTGGAGGATGAAACTAAAGCCTAATACAACGGCAATTGTATTCATATTAAAATGATGAGTGAACGCTCCTATTTTTCTGGATAAGAACGCGTATGTTTAGTGGGCCCTGGACAAGTGTCCTGTTTTCCTTCCCCTAAACCCGGTGCTGACCTCATCGCACAATTCGAATAGATTTGGGTGGGAACCTAAAATGCATTATTAAACTACAGGACGTACTACGTAGGTTTTGGCGACTGTACATCAGATGACAAACTCACATCGCTAGCAGCAGCCGCAGCTGACAACTTTACCTTCAAAAGCTCCCGGCAGGCGCAGCGAAACGTCGGACATCATGCCGAGCAACAAAGCAGTACAACCTGAAAACAAATCGGACCACAAATAATAACATGGTGGCCGCGTCACCTTAATTTCTGACACGGTGTCACGGTGTTTAAAATCTCCCGAGTAAGGAATGCAAGTGTCTTCAGTGCGTGCGTGTGCGTTGCATACATATATGGGGCGAGCTGCACTTTCATCGCAACCGATGTGGTGCGAGTGGAGTTATATGGTAGGGGAGAGTGGAGGAGATGAGGTGTGACCAGAGACCACACATACACGAGTCCACTCCGGGTCCACTTGTGTGTGTGTGGTCAAGTCAAAGTATCTGCTCACTCAAAGGAGCAATATGGGCTTATTATCATCTCCATTGACAGCCCTGAGCCAGTGGTAGGAAATTCCACATTACTGTGGTAAGGGCTGGCCTAGATATTTATATTGTCTCAAGAGGAGACAAAAGTGCTCAACATTGTCAAGGACACAATATTAACTGGAGAGCCCCTTTTAGCAGCCCACTGCTTGATGAGGGCCTCCCCACACTGTGGGTCGTGGGGGTTACATGTCCATACTTCACCGCGACTGTCACGCCTGACTGAAGGCTGACACCGTAGACATGGGAGCATAAACGTGCAGTACAACATAGTATGTTGCTGCACTGCACTCTGCTGCCCACAATGTATCCCCGCAGCAAATTTCCAATGGCATTGTAAGCTTCTTGGTCACCCATCCACGCACTATGCAGGCTGATACCTGCTTAGCTTCACAAGATCTGACGACATCGGCCACATTCCGGGTGCTTAGGTCATGGGTAGCGTGAAAGCTTTTGTGTGATGGGAAATCAGATGTTGTATTTCATTCACTTGGGGAAATGAGCAGACACAAATGTGTATCCGTTTCACTATATCACATTACTTGTCTGCTTAACATTGTACAGTAGTGCATCTTTCCATTGTTCTGATTTTCCTACAATATGTATGTTAAATAATAATAGGATTATGCATTTCAGGGGGGTTTTGTCTGAGTAATGGTGCATGGTATTGTGGCCCCCAATAAAGACCACTGGTCTCAACCCCCCAGTCCCACAATTGTTTCATGTTGTGTATTTGTCGTGTGCTGTTGCCACACGCAACGTTGCACTTACGTTTACCGAGCGCATTAAACAAAAAAATATCCTGCACGATATCCATGCGACAGCCTGCGTAACCTCCCTTAAATGGCAGGAGGACGCGACCGAGATTGGACGATGATTGCGGAGATTTCGGACTGCTGAGTCTCTGGTGCGTGTGATTTCTGAATGTTGATTGTCAAGTGAGTGGTCAGTTGAGTAGTGAGTACGTTGTGTGATTGCTGACTTGTGAGCGTGGTTGCGGAGTGATGAAGCGAGTTGTAATTACTGGAGAGACGTCGTCCTCAGATTGTAAATGTTGTGGCTTGACTCTCCAACACACCGGTTAGTGCTGTACTAGTGACGAATTGGCACGTTCTGTTTACGTGACAAGCCTTATTAGTTGGCTGTGTCGGGTGGTGGCGGGCTTAACGACACCTTTATATATGCACGCGATCTGACCCAAAAACCTCTATGATGGATAAGTGATGAGTGTCAGGTGAGTGGTTAGCGCGGTTGATGAGTGGTGAATGTCAGGCTACCGGTGAGTTATGTGATGTGAGTGTTAAGTGTCAGATGAGTGGTGAGTGTCAGGTGAGTGGTTCACTGTGAGCGTGGTTGCGGAGTGATGAGTGTCAGATGAGTGGTGAGTGTCAAGTGAGTGGTGTCAGGTGAGTGGTAAGTGTCAGGTGAGTGGTTCCCTGTGAGCTGTGAGCGTGGTTGCGGAGTGGTAAGTGTCAGATGAGTGGTGAGTGTCAGGTGAGTGTCAGGTGAGTGGTTCACTGTGAGCGTGGTTGCGGAGTGATGAGTGTCAGATGCGCGGTTTCAGTTTTTCAGGGGCGCTGCGGTGGCGAGATGTTAATTACCTCGCCTGATATACAATAGGTCGTGGATTCGATTCCAACCCTGACGCATGCTGTATGTTTGGAGTTTGCACGTTCTTCCCGCGGTCGCGTGGATTTTTCGCTGGGTTCTTCCGATTGTTCCCCCCCCCCTTTCCATATTTAGAATCAACGTGTGCGTTTGGAGTATTTGGCCGCGAGACATTTCCACGTGATGATAAGCCACTTCGTTTAGCTATCATTCGTGACGGCCAGGTCGCTTCTAAAAAGATAGCCACGTAGCTCAGTGGGCCTTACCTGGTCAAATAAAAAATAACACTATGGGGGCGGTGGTGGTGGTGGCTGCGGACTGGACGAGTGCAGCAGTGTAGCGGTGGTGGTGGTGGGCGAGGTCACCCTTGGCTTGCAACGATAAAGGAAGGCGTCCTTTCCCCGGCGCTGCGTGCGTGCACAGTATTTCCATAATCAGTAGTGGTCCGATTGTTTACACTAGTGGCCGGGAAGCGCTCTCGCTCCCTCGCTCGCTCGCTCCTCTTTCTCAAAGCCCCCTTACACCCCCCTCCCGCACCAAAAAAAGTCCTCTCTTGCCCTGCCCCACTCCTTCTTCTGCGTGACCATACATGGGCCTCGTGCACGCGTGAGCTCTGGGAGGTGGAACTGCGAGAAAGTGCCCAGAAAAGGGCCGGCTTTTTGCAAACACGATGCAGCTGTTTTGGCTCAACATCACAATTCGGGTTAAACACAAGACGGGCGAGGGCTTCATAGCTCATTGCTTAACATCGCCAGCACACCCGCCCACCCCCCTGAGTGCGCTTTAAGATATATATACACATTCATATATACGTATATTTGTTTACGTAGAAGCGACTGTAAAGGTACTGCTGCTACCGGCCGGTGATGTAATGGTTATCGCAGTGGACTTGCAAGCCTGCAAAAGGTCGCCCGTTCGATCTCTCGGCGTGGCAGTTGTAACAATGGGCGAGTTTCTGATACCGCTCCCCCCAGTCTGCTCAGGGTTATACAGGGGGGGGGGGGGGGGGTACACCACGTTAGGTGTGGTGGGGTTAAGTGTGGGAACTCCGACATGTAACCAGCGTGGAGAGGTCCGTCCAAAATGCTATTTTTAGCAGTGGTTCTTAACCTTTACTTCAGCCTTACACCCCTTTGGTTAAACCAGTATGATGTTAATACATACATTGGGGTTTGATGAAACAAAGTAATTGTAATTTTTGATTTAAAGCTTTCGTGACTGCAGGGATTCATATTCTTGGTTCTTTCTTTCGGTAAAGTCACGTAGAAGGGAAACAATAAAGTAATAAAAATATAAAACAATAAAATTATCACGATGTTTCGACTGCAACACAAGCAATCATCATCAGATGTGAAAACCACAGCAAGAAAATAACCGCCACTTTTTTCAAATTTTCTTGCTGTGGTTTTCACACCTGATGATGATTGCTTGTGTTGCAGTCGAAACATCGTGATAATTTTATTGTTTTATATTTTTCTTATTTTATTGTTTCCCTGCTACGTGACTTTACCGAAAGAACCAAGAATATAAAGTTATTGTACTTACGTGCCCGTGCTTAATTTGTGTTTCGATTATTTACCTTTTGAAAAATCGAGTCATGTCTCGCACCCCCAGGGGGTGCAAGCACCCCAGGTTTCAGAGCCACTTCTTTAGAGGGGGCTCTCTGGAGTTCCCTCTGGTGGAGGCACCAGCAGTGGAGTGAGCAAGGCCTGCACCGGGTACTTTCTCCTTTTTTGAAAGCTGCCGTAGCCCCACAAAATCGTGCCTCGTTCCGATTTGAATTGTAGCGATGGGTTGTGTGCATGCCATCACCAGCAGCCGTGGTCATTCC